TAAGTAATTTGTACGAGTCCCTGATTCATTCAGTGTCTCCAATCCAAACTCAACAGGTAGTTGTTAAGTAATTTCCACAAGTCCTTGATTTGTTCAGTATCTCCAATCCAAAGTAAACAGTAAGCTACTAAGTAAATTGCACAAGTCCCTGATTCGCTCAGTATCTCCATTTCAAACTCAACATGAAGCTGTTAAGTAATTTGCATGAGTTCCTGATTCACTCAGTGTTTCTAATCCAAATTCAACAGGAAGCTGTTGGAGTCGATTGGTGTAAATTGTAGGGGTGATACAGATGTTTGATCTAGATCAGGATCTTGAACCCTTGTTAACAGCTTGTTTATTTTGACTTTGGTTGTAATGTGGGTTGTATACTGTATGTGTATGTGTTAAATGGCCTATATATAAAACATATTTCTGTTAAGTGCTTTGCACGATTCCCAGATTCGTTCTGTGTTTCCAATCCAAACTTGACAGGAAGCTGTTAAGCAATTTGCATGAGTCTCGGATTCCCTCCTTTTCTTTCCATCTGCTGTTGTTGTCTTCAGATTGAATGAATCGATGCCCCTCCTAACGAGGCAGTTGCAGCACCTGTGGGGTGTCCATCTGATTCGCATCCTCTTCAGTGACGTCCTCAGCAAGAAACTCCAGGAAAACCAAGATGGTGCCCGAACTCAAGCCCCGGCTGCTTCCCCGCAGAACAGCCTCCCCATGAAAAGTCAGTATTAGAACCATTAGAGGACTCTAGCCTCCATAATCCCCTACATGAATGAGGGATGATGGGAGATGTTTTGAAAAAGTGGCATTCATAACCTTTTTGAAAAGAAAAATGATGTCATATCCTTTTGGCAAATGTGAATCTCCATGAATATCTGGAGACCACCTTTTGAAAACTACTAGTCAAGGAAACTTGTTAGAAGTCAACCCTTTGAAAAACTGATGTTCACAAGCATTCATGTAATGGCACACAGGTAACTCAGCTGTTCAGCTGATAAACCATGTCTTTGAACTGCCAGGGACAAAGACATGCCACTGCACAAAAACATGTATTTAGCTAGCAGAGTTTTGAAAATGTTTCTTTGAAGTTGAAATTGCAGTTTCCCAAAACATATACTTTCCCTTGAAACCTCTTAGTTTAAAATATACACTCAGAAACAAAAGCAGTCTTCTTTGAAAAGTAACATATCTTGTTTACTCACAAACATCTTGTATTCAACATACAGGCACATTTATAGATTGGATGCAGTTTCTCTTTGTTAAGAACACAGGGCATCATTCTTAATCAATAATCCAAAGTCTTTAAGGATACATTTTATGACAGCCCAAACTGTATAACTGTACTCACTGCTTCTCAAAGCAAACATATAGTAAACAGTTTCTGCATAAGTGCAAATGACATCTACTTCCACTGAAGTCCAAAAGCATACATACATCCACCTCCACTGAGGTCTAAAGTGGACTTCTAACATTGAGGTCTAAATCTGAGGTCTAAAGTGAACTTCTAACATTGAAGTCCAAAGCATACTGATAACAAAATGGAGTTGAGTCTGAACATGCTCAGTGCAATCACATGTCTGTAGCCTCTCCCATACCAAAGAGGTCAGCCAAACTGGCAAATCTATATATACATACAATGCAGGTTAGAAAACATATACATTAACAAGCAGATAGTGAAGGCTTGGAAGGTTATTGTTTCCAACCAGATGCATTTGAGGGATGTTGGGAGATGTATATGGCAACCGTATTGGATGGGAGATCATGGGAGATATCTCAGGAGACCCATGTTGACTTGAGGGTTGATGGGAGATGCATCTGGAGACCCAAGTTGACTTGAGGAATGATGGGAGATGTATATGGCAACCATATTGGTTGGGGAATCATGGGAAACTTTCTGGAGACCCATGTTAAGGGATGATGGGAAATGTGTATGGAGGCCATATTGGTTGGAGGATGATGGGAGACATCTCAGGAGACTCACATTGATCTGGGAGATGCATAGGGCAGCCATGTCTTTTCCCCATCCATAGACCTCTTCAAGAGGGCCTTCCAGAAGTCGGCCTCCGTCCGCCACATCCTGAAGCCTGTTGGCGGGAAACGGGTGGATTCGGCTGAAGTCCAAAAGGTCTGCAGCATCTGTGTCCTCTACCAGATGGCCCTCACCACCCTGACCCAGATCCGCCTGCAGATCCTGACCGGTTGGTTCCCGTCATTATTATTATTATTGTTATATTATTGTATTGTTGTGTTTGGGCTCGGCCTCATGTAAGCCGCATCGAGTCCCTTGAGGAGATGGTAGCGGGGTACAAATAAAGTGTTATTATTATTATTGTTGTTGTTATTAAATTGAGGCTTCTTCACTTTGCTATGTTGCTTTGGTTTCACTTTCAGTTGACTATGTTGCGTTGATTTCACTTTCCTTTCACTATGAAGCTTTGATTTCACTTTCTGTTCACTATGATCCTTTTGTTTTTCATTAAATTCAGTACTACGATTTAGTTTCACTAATATTGTTCACCTTCAGTTGACTATAATGATTTGGTTTTACATTCAGTTTACCATGATGGTTTGGTCACACTACCAAGCTTTGATTTCACTTTTGGTTCACAGCGATAGTTTAGTTTCACTCTTAGTTCACCTAAGTTTACTATGATGGTTTAGTTTCACTTTTCGTTCAGTATGATGCTTTGGTTGCACTTTTAGATCAGTACAGTGCTTTGGTTTGTATTTGGGTTCGTTATTATTGTTTAGTTTCATATTCAGTTCATTACGATGCTTTGGTTTTACTTTCATATCACCACCATGCTTTGGTTTGAATTTAGATTCACTACGATGCTTTCAGTTCATGATGCTTTGGTTTTGTTGCTTGGCTTCAGTTTCCTGTTCAGTTCACTGCAATGCTTTGGTTTGGATTTGGGTTCACCACGATGCTTTGGTTTCACTCTCAGTTCAATACTATGATTTAGTTTCACTTTTAGTTCACTTTCAATTGACTATGATGCTTTGATTTCACATTCAGCTTGCGATGTTGTCCTTAGGCCTGACCTACTTGGATGACCTTCTCCCAAAGCTGTGGGCCTTCATCTGTGAGCTGGGGCCTCAGGGTGGCCTGAAGCTCTTCCTGGAGTGCCTGAACAATGACACGGAGGAGTCCCAGCGTCTACTGGCCATGCTCACCCTCTTCTGTGACTGCTCAAGGCACCTCATCACGTAGGTCGCCACCAGATCCCCGATTCGTTCAGTATTTCCAGTCCAAACTCAAGAGGAAGCTATTGAATAGTTTGCACCAGTACCTGATTCAATCAGTATCTCCAATCCAAGCTCGACTGAAAGCTATTGAGTAATTTGTAGGAGTCCCTGATAGGAGATACTAAACTGATTCGTTTAGTATCTCTAATTGAATCTCAATGGGAAGGTATTATTTGCATGAGTCCCTGATTCGTTCATTTTATTTATTTATTTACACTATTTATATTCCGCCCTTCTCACCCTGCAGGGGACTCAGGGCAGATCAAAATGTACATATACAGGCAAACATTCAATGCCTTAGACACACAACACATATAGACAGTCAGAGGCAGTTTAACATTCCAACTTTTTCTGGCCACCAGGGGAGCTGTCGCTTCACTGTCCATATGCGACACTGATGAAGTACTTCCACATTCCCCGCATGCTCGCTGATCTTTATGGCCTCGTAAATTAGTTCAATTAGCCTCCCCACAAAGTGGTACCTAAATTTCCTACTTGATAGATGCATACTGCTTAACTGTTTTTAATTTGCTTTAGGTGTTGTATTGTTGTGTTGTGTTTTGAGGCCTTGGCCTATGTAAGCTGCATTGAGTCCTTCGGGAGATGCTAGCGGGGTACAAATAAAGTTATAATAATAATAATAATCCAAACTCAAGAGGAAGCCATTGAGTAATAATAATAACTGTCTTTCGAGCTTCAAAGGTCAACAACAAGCTACACAAATTTGGTTGGAAGCTCACTCTGACCTGGGCTAGCTTCGAACTCATGACCTTTCGGTCAGTAGTGATCTTAATGCAGCTGACACCCAGCCAGCTGCGCCAAAGTCCCGGTACAGTATTTCCAATTCAAACATGACAGGCTATTAAATAATTAAATAATTTGCACAAGCACCTGAATCATTCAGTATTTACACTCAAAACTCAACATAAAGGAAGGTGTTAAGTAATTTGCACAAGTCCCTGATTCATTCAGTGTCCAATCCAAATACAACAGGAAGCTGTTAAGTTATTTGCACAAGTCTCTGATTCGTTTATCATCTCCAATCCAAACTCAAGAGGAAGCCATTGAGTAATTTGCATGAGTCCATGATTCATTAAGTATTTGCACTCAATACCTGAAAGGAAGGAAGCTGTTAAGTAATTTGTATGAGTCCCTGGTTTGTTCAGTATCTCCAATTCAAACTCATATATATTCTATAGGATCCTGGACGATATTGAGGTGTACGAAGAACAGGTCTCCTTCAAGCTGGAAGAGCTGGTCACCATCTCCTCCTTCCTCAATTCCTTCGTTTTCAAGATGATATGGGACGGCATTGTGGGTAAAGGAACTCACATACATAGGCCAGGGACTTGACCCAATATACATACATAACTATTATTATTATTATTATTATTATTATTATTATTATTATTATTATTCCCTATGCAGAGAATGCCAAAGGGGAGACCCTGGAACTCTTCCATTCAGTCCATGGGTGGCTGATGGTCCTCTATGAGCGCGACTGCCGGCGACGCTTCGCCCCGGACGACCATTGGCTGCGCAAGTAGGGCCACCACTATTATCAATATTATTCAATATTATTTTTCAATATTATCGATTATTATTTTTATTATATGGATAATATATATAATATACATATAAGGATAATATTGATGATAATGATATATATATTATCAATATTATCATATACATTTTTGTCATTATAATATATTAATATTAAATGATAAAATGTATAAGATAATATTGATGATAATATAGATAACTTTATATATATCATATATATTCTCAATATTAATATCAGAGATATATCATTTGCATATAATAATAATATTGATAATAATATATGTATTGTCAATATTTTCAATACTATAATATGTTATAATATATAATATTAATATATATGATAATATAGAATAAATATATTATGATAATAATATATGATATTGATAATATTAATATTATTCATTATAATTATCAAGATTATTATGATGAATATTGTTCAATATGATTATCAATATTTCCAATGTTATTAATATTAATATTATGAAAATATAATAATTATTATAATATTATAATGATGATTCTCTTAGGGACCTGAAGCCCTGCCTGCTGTTCCAGGAGCTGGAGAAGGACCGGAAGCGGGCCCAGCTGGTCCTCCAGTACATCCCCCACGTCATACCCCATAAGAATGTGAGATTCCTTTGCATGCTTGCACCTTACTCAGAAATTATTATATTATATAAAATATTATTTATATACATATATATATATATACACACACACGCATAAAATATTAAATATCATCATGCTAAATATTATATTATATATAATAAAATAAAATATTATATTATATATAATAAAATAAAATATAGATATTATATATATAATATACATAAAATATTAAGTATCATTATGTCAAATATCATATTATATATTTTTATTATTTTAAATAATATTATATAGTATTATAATATCTTATTACATATTGTTATATTACATATATTTCTATTTTATATATTATTATTTATTATATATTGTTATATGAAATATATGTAATATCATTATATAATATCGTAAATATCTTTGTATATTTTATATTAATATTATATTAAATCATATTTTATATTATATGTATATTGCATATCATTATATTAGATATTATTATATGATATTACATGATTATATAATATATTACAATGTTACTATAACTATATAATATTAAATATTTTACATTAAATGTCATTATATTAAATATTATTGTAATTTTATTGTATATTATTGTTCCAAATCATATATATTATTATATTAAATCATATATATTATATTTTATATTACAATATTATTTATTATTAAGTTAAATACCTTTATATAATGCTAATTATTATATATTAATAGTATATGCTGTCATATTAAATATCATTATATTATATGTTATTGTTATATATTATTATATATGGTAGATTATTATTATATTAAATCATTGTATATTATAGGAGCCCCCGGTGGCACAATGGTTAAACGCTTGTGCCAGCAGGACTGCTGACTGGATAGGTCAGCGGTTCGAATCCGGGGACAGAGCAGATGAGCTCCCTCTGTCAGCTCCAGCTCCCATGTGGGGACATGAGAGAAGCCTTCCACAAGGATGGTAAAACATCAAACATCTGGTCGTCCCCTGGGCAATGTCCTTGCAGATGGCCAATTCTCTCACACCAGAAGTGACTTGCAGTTTCTCAAGCCACTCCTGGCACGAAAAAAAAAGTTATATTACTATTATGTATTATTATATTAAATATCTTTATATAATGCATATTATTATTTTATATGTTGTTATATTAAATACCATTATATTAAATATTATATATATTATTGTTATTATAATTATATATCATTATATATTATTATATTGAATCGTATATTATATATGATTGTTAAATAATAACATATCTTATATATTAATTATATAGTTATATTAATATCTATATTAATTATTATTATTATATATTATTATATTATCCTAAGCTGGCCTTTCCCCTTGCAGAGGGTCCTCCTCTTCCGGAACATGGTTGCCAAGGAGAAGGAGAAACTCGGATTGGTTGAAACCAGCTCTGCCTCCCCACATGTCACCCACATCACCATTCGCCGCTCACGCATGCTGGAGGTCGGTAGGCAGAAGAAATAAGAACATATAATTAATTAATTATTTGTTTATTATTTCAGGCATTTGTACCCCGCCCTTTTCAACTCCCTGGGGGGTACTCAGGGCGGCTTATAATAACATGTATAATAATAATATAATAGATGTTTTCAGAAAAACATCTATTGCTGTTCTATTGACTATTCTAAAGCCTTTGACTGTGTGGATCATAACAAACCGTGGCAAGTTTTTGGTGGTATGGGGATACCAAGCCACCTTGTCTGCCCCCTCAGGAATCTGTTTAACGACCAAGTAGCAACAGTAAGAACTGACCACAGAACAACCGGCTGGTTCAAGATTGGGAAAAGAATACGGCAGGGCTGTCTGCTCTCACTCTACGTATTCAACTTGTATGCAGAACACATCATGTGTTGTGCGGGGCTTGACGAATCCAAGGCTGAGGTTAAAATTGCTGGAAGAAACATTAACAATCTTAGATATGCAGATGATACCACTTTGATGGCCAAAAACGAGGCGGAGTTGAGGAGCCCGATAAGCAAGGTGAAAGAAGAAAGTGCAAATGCTGGGTTTCAGTTGAACATAAAAAAACCCAAAAAACAATATGGCAACTGGACTGATCGATAACTGGCAAATAGAGAGAGAAAACATGGAGGTAGTGACAGGGTTTGTATTTCTAGGTGCAAAGATTACTGCAGACACAGACTGCAGCCAGGAAATCAGAAGACATTTACTTCTTGGGAGGAGATCAATGACCAAGCTCAATAAAATAGTGAAGAGTAGATATCACACTGGCAACAAAGATCTGCATAGTTAAAGCAATAGTATTCCCCGTAGTAACTTATGGATGTGAGATCTGGACCATAAGGAAGGCTGAGCAAAGGAAGAGAGATGTTTTGAACTGTGGTGTTGGAGGAAAATTCTGAGAGTGCCTTGGACCGCGAGAAGATCCAACCAGTCCATACTCCAGGAAATAAAGCCCGACTGCTCATTGGTGGGAAGGATAGTAGAGGCAAAGTTGAAGTACTTTGGCAACATCATGAGAAGACAGGAAAGCTGGGAGAAAAGAATGATGCTGGGGGAAATGGAAGGAAAAGTAGAGGGGCCGACCAAGGGCAAGATGGATGGATGTTATATTTGAAGAGGCTGGATGATCTTGAAGGAGCTGGGGGTGGCCACGGCCAATAGGGAGCTCTGGCCTGTACATACAGGCGGGGTTTGGAGGTGATTGCCCTGGGAATCTGGGAGTTGTAGTTCTCCCTTATCCAGAGAGCACTGCACCCAGCCAAACTTGACAGACAAACCCAACATGGCCAGCTTTGAATACTGGCAGGGTTTGGGGTGAATGAGATACGATTTTGGGAAGTGCAGTTCACCCACATCCTTATGCATTTTCGAATGAGTGCATTCATAAAAGAAAACACCAGCAAAGACTGGCTTTATTTCTAAGAAATGGAGCTACAAATTACTGAACTGATATTACTCTGATGTTTTAAAGTGTCTAATTAGATAATGATATGTTATTATGTTTTTAACTGTTTTTAGCTGGTAAACTCTGTTGTTTGCTCTGGGCTTGGTCCCACGTGTAAGCCACCCTGAGTCCCTTCGGGGAGATGGTGGCAGGGTATAAAAATAAATTTGTTATTTTTATTATTATCATTATTATTATTATTACCTAACACCGCAAAACAAACAATGCCTTTTTCAAATAACCTGGGCACCGTTAGGTCCCTAAACTAGTATAATATAATAATGGCTATAGTTCTGTATGGATGCAATGCCCAGATGTGGCCATAAGGGGGTGTCATACAGAGATATATCTATATGTGTAATGCCTCTCAATAATTTAGGATGGCTATGAGCAGCTGCGCCAGTTATCACAGAACGCCATGAAGGGAGTCATCCGGGTCAAGTTCGTGAATGATCTTGGGGTTGACGAGGCCGGCATTGACCAAGATGGCGTTTTCAAGGAGTTTCTAGAGGAGATCATCAAGAAGGTCTTTGACCCCGCACTCAACCTCTTCAAGGTGTTATTACTATTATTATTATTAATAATATTTTCTTATATCATTATACTAGATTATTTATAATATTATATCATATTATATCATTATATATTCTTTTTATTATTTTATTATACCATTATATTATTATGACATTATATATTATATTATTGATCATAACATTATACCATTGTATATTATTTTTCTTACAGCACAACTATTATTATATTGTTATATTATTTTTATTATTTTATTATCATACTAATGTTTTATTATACCATTATTTTATTTTTATTACATTACTATATAATATTTTTATTATTTTGTCATTAATTATATTATTATAATTACTGTATTATATTATTTATATTATTAATGCTTTTATTATATTATTTTATATAGTTATATACATATTTATTATATAGTATCATATAATAAATTTATTTTAAATATTTTATCAATATATAATTTTCATACCATTATATTATATTATTTCTATATCATTATATTGTTATCATACCATTATGTATATTATTTTATTGCATTCTTATATTATTTTATTATATATTATGTTTATTATATTATCTTTTATTATCTATTATTTCTTCATATTGTTATCATATATTATATTTTTATATTATCATACCTTTATATTATATCATATTATTATCATACTATAATATTATACTATTTTTATTATTATATTTGTATATTATATCATTATAACATATTATCAGCATACTACTATATTATATCAATTTAATTATTATATCATCTGCATACCATTACATTATATTTATTATTATATCACTATTCCCCACAGACTACCAGTGGTGATGAGAGGCTCTACCCGTCCCCGACATCGTACATCCACGAGAATTACTTGCAGCTCTTTGAATTCGTGGGGAAGATGCTCGGGAAGGCCGTCTACGAGGTAACCTATCATAAAAAAATAATACAATATAATAATATACTGATATGATCATAATAACAACAATAATATGATATAATAAGTATAAGGATATATAATGATTGCATTCTTATATTATTTTATTATATATTATGTTTATTATATTATCTTTTATTATCTATTATTTCTTCATATTGTTATCATATATTATATTTTTATATAAATATAATGATATAACATGATATAAAAATAATATCACAATAATGATATAATGATATAATAATAAATATAATATGACAATAATATAATGATATAAAGCCAATCAATGATTTATTATGGTCTATGACCAGCACACTATAGAATGGGGCACAGGTACCCAAGGAAGGGAATCACAGTTCCCAAGTAAGTCAGATAAAAAAACAGATTAAAAACATGTTATAAAAGAGACAGATTAAAAAACAAACTAAACTTACAGTTTAAAGTGCACGTATGAGTCTAAAAGAGGGGGCAGCTAATAGGAGATATCAAACCACTGGGAGGCTCTAAAGAGGGATGAGAGGGGAGCATTTACAGCATTTCAGTTATTACAAATTACTCTAGCTGTATTCCCTGCAGGAAGTTGCCTAGTGGGGTCAGTCATCGACCGTCTAATGTTAATCGCTGCTGCACAGAACTTGGCAGCACTATGGGTTATCGCAGAGCAGGAGTCCGAGAGCAGCAGGAAGGTGTAATAATGATATAATAATAAGTATAACATCTATGTATAAAAGTGTATGTGTGTATGTGGCAGAAGTGTCCACTCACACTGACAGCCTCCCACCTCCACAAACAGCTATAACCCACAGTACCCAGGAAACACCAATGGCCCTCCTTCCAAGGACATTGCAGGTTATAGTGAGCACCATGAACATGTCCAAGAACCCTGCCAGTGTCCTCCGCAAACACCATACTGTCCGCCACCCAAGGAAAGCTGACTGGACGGTAATGGTTTGGGTCGTCCTTTTTTCCCTTCTTGAAGATAGGGACCACATTTGCCCTCCTCCAATCTGCTGGGACTTCTCCCTTTGTCCAAGAACTCTCCAAGATGATTGCCAGTGATTCTGAAATTATTTCCACTAGTTCCTTCAATACTCTTGGATGTAGTCGACCCGGCTCCGAGGACGTGAATTCTTTTAGATAAGCCAGGTATTCCTGGACCAGTTGTTTTCCTATTTGGGGTTGGATTTTCTCTAATCCCTCTTGCTGGGGTTGAGAACGGCTTTCTTTTTATGAGAAGACTGAGGCAAAGAAGACATTAAGTAGCCCTGCCTTTTCCCTATCCCCTGTCAGCATTACCCCATCTTCTCTTCGCAGAGGCCCTATCGCCTCCTTGTTATTCCTTTTTCTACCAGCGTAAGCAAATAAGCCCTTTTGATTGTTTTTAATGTCACTGGCAATGCTGAGCTCATGTTGCGCTTTAGCCTTTTGAACCTTTTCCCTACAGGAGTTGGTTATTTGTTTGAATTCTTATTTGATGATTTCTCCTTTTTTCCACTTCTTAGCACAGTTAGAAGTTCTTTGGACATCCATTCAGGCTTCTTTGCACTTGTCTTATTTTTTCTCTTTGTTGGCGCTGTTTGCAATTGCGCCTTGAGTATTTCACTCTTGAAAAACTCCCATCAATCCTGAACTCCCTTCTCCTTTAATATCAGCATCCACAGAATGCCACTCAGTATTTCCTTCATTTTTCGGAAGTTAGCTCTCCTAAAGTCCAGAATGCGTGTATGACTTGTCTTAGTTTTGGCCTTCCTTCGTATCACAAACTGCAGGGCCACATGGTCACTTGCCCCTAAGGATCCGACCATTTTGACTTTGATCAGGTCCTCTGCGTTTGTTAGGATGAGATCAAGAGTAGCTGACCCCCTTGTTGCCTCTTCTACCTTCTGGACCATAAAATTGTCTGCAAGGCAAGTGAGGACTTTGTTGGACTTCGTACTCTTGACTGATGTCATGATCTCGATCTCATGCCACCCAACTATCCGCCTTTCTGACATAGAGTACATGGCCCCATGGGCCAAAAGGGAGGACAGGCCATACGAACCAGCCATAAAAGTCAATTGCCCCAAGAAAGGGGCTAGCTCCAGGCGTCAGGACTCTTGAGTGATTTATGATATTGTAGCTAGGCCTATATAGACAGGCAGTAGTGCGAGACTCTTGTATTCTGAACAATAAAGACATTGGTATCTGCAGCCCTTGTGCATATCTGTGTGATCTTTCAGAGAAGACCGATCCACAGCAACACAAGCTGGAACTGAGAAACATTACAGCCGAGTTTATTTTCCAGCAAATGTCGAGATAGTTTAAATTGCCCATGACTAGTATGTTTCTTCTTTGTGCCTGTTTGGTCAACCGTTGCCAAAAGGCTTTGTTGAATTCTTCGTCCTGGCTCAGAGGTCTGTAGTAGACACCCACAACGAGATCTTTTTCAGTCCCAGTTCCCTTGATTCTTATCCAGATACTTTCAAGCTGGTTTCCCGGATTTTAGTCTTGCATCTCTTCTGCAACATAACTGTTTTTGACATATAAGGCTAGCTACCCTCCCTCCTCTCCCCCTTTGTTCAGTTTCTGTGAAAGAGGGTATAGCCCTCAATGGCTACATTCCAATGATAGGAATCATTTCACCAGGTTTCAGGGATGGTTTTGTTGGTCATCAGATGCCTGATGACCAACAAAACATACTGGAGGTGTTTGTGGGGGGACCGACCCATCCACATGGGAGTTGTTGTTTACCCTGCACCCAGAGCACTCTGAAACCCACCAATTATGGATCTGGACCAAACATGGCACACAGAACCCTGGTGACCAACACAACATGCTAGAGGTGTTTGTGGGGGGACCGACCCACCTGCATGGGAGTTATAGTTCACCTGGCACCCAGAGAGCATTCTGAAGACCCCAACGGTGGATTTGGAACACAAGTGGCACACAGAACCCTGATGGCCAACAGAACATACTGGAGGGGTTGGGGAAGGAATGACCCACCCGCGTGGGAGTTTAGTTCGCCCTGCATCTGGAGCTCTCTGAAGCCCTTCAATAATGGATCTGGACCAAACTTGGCACACAGATCCAACATGCCAAATTATGAATACAAGTGAAGTTTGGGCGGCGATTACCCTCAGAATCTAGGAGTTGTAGTTCACCTGCATCTAGAGATACTATGACCGCCACCGACAATGGAGCGCGATCAAACTTGGCACAGAGAAGCCCCATGACTAGCTGAACATACTGCAGGGGTTTCTGGGAATTGACCTTCTTTTTGGGAGTTGTAGTTCACCTGCATCCAGAGAGTAGTAAACTGTTGAGATTAATTTCACAATTCAGCAGCAGATCAGTTGCACAACTTCAGTGCTTTCCAGTAGCTTCTTCCTGCACAGTATTTTCAGTCAACTGCTCCCACAGCCTGCAGTCACTCTGGAACCTTTTACAGACACTTGAGCACATGCCCGGCCATTGTCAGTTTTACCATTGTCTTTTCCCCAGTCTAGATGATATTACAGACTTACCACAGCATACAGTTGTATCTTGTCTTAGCAGGCAGGTTCTTTTAATTACATATAGCCTTCGACGAACAACATCACACCACAAGGAGAAATATACACTGTACATGACTTCCTTATATACAATTCTATACAATTACACATAGCAACCCAGACCCAAGATTACATCATTCACAATCACCTGGACTAGGCCAGAACACATTCTCCAAATGAAGTTCTATATACAGTTAATGCATGACTCAGCATTTCCAATAGAAGCCCATTAGCAGTGCATGACTCAGCTATATTACATTACAATACCTGACATAAACCCAGCCAATGTTGGATTTGGACCAAACACAGACCCAACATGGCTATCTGTGCATACAGGCCTGGTTTGGGGAGGATTTACACACGATTCTGGAAACTGTAGTTCACACACATTGTTACGTATTTTCTAATGGGAGCATTCATAAACAACAAAATCAAAGACTCGCTTTTTGTTAATAACTAGTGTTACTGATTAACTAAATGATACTACCTAAAACCCTTTTTCAAATAACCCGGGTCCTGCTGTGTACCCAAGCTAGTATTATTATAATATAACGATAAAATAATAAAATAATGAATATAATACAATATCATATACCATACCATTCTATTTCTGGTCAGGGGATCGTGGTGGACGTGCCTTTTGCCTCCTTCTTCCTCAGCCAGCTGCTTGGTCACCATCACAGCCTCTTCTACAGCTCAGTCGATGAACTCCCTTCCCTGGATTCAGAATTCTACAAAAACCTCACCTCCATCAAGGTGCCATTATTATTATTAGTTATATTTGTTATTATTTATTATATCATCATTGCTTTAATAATGTTGTTGTTCATTCGTTCAGTCGTCTCCGACTCTTCGTGACCTCATGGACCAGCCCACGCCAGAGCTCCCTGTCGGCCGTCACCACCCCCAGCTCCTTCAAGGTCAGTCCAGTCACTTCAAGGATGCCATCCATCCATCTTGCCCTTGGTCGGCCCCTCTTCCTTTTGCCTTCCACTTTCCCCAGCATAATTGTCTTCTCTAGGCTTTGCTGTCTCCTCATGATGTGGCCAAAGTACTTCAACTTTGTCTCTAGTATCCTTCCCTCCAGTGAGCAGTCGGGCTTTATTTCCTGGAGGATGGACTGGTTGGATCTTCTCGCAGTCCAAGGCACTCTCAGAACTTTCCTCCTGCTTTAATAATATTTATTATTAATGTTATTATATTTCGTATATTAGGATTATTATATTTATTATATTTATTCTTTTATTTATACTTTCATTATTATTGTTATGAAATAACATTATTATAATGATTATTGTTGTTGTTAGGGGAACCCTGGTAGTGCAGCGGGTTAAACTGCTGAGCTGCTGAACTTGCTGACCAAAAGGTTGGCGGTTCGGATCCAGGGAGCGAGGTGAGCTCCTGCTGTTAGCCCTAGCTTCTGCCAACCTAGCACTCTGAAAACATGCAAATGTGAATAGATCAATAAGTACTGCCTTGGTGGGAAGGTAATGGCGCTTGGTGCACCGTTACCTTCCTACCGGAGTGGTACCTATTGATCTACTTGTATTTCCATGTTTTCAAACTGCTAGGTTGGCAGAAACTGGGGCTAGCAACAGGAGCTCACCCTGCTTTCCAGATTTGAACAGCCTTTCAGTTAGCAGCAGCTCAGTGGTTTAACCCGCTACACCACCAGGGGGCCTTATTTATTATTATTATTATTATTATTATTATTATTATTATTATTATTATTATTATTATTATACTAGCTGTCCCCTGCCACGCATTGCTGTGACCCCGTCTGTGTATATGTGTTTTTGTGTGTGTGTTTATTTGTGTATATGTGTATATATATGTTTTGCGCATGCATTGTAATGTAATTTTTGTTTTTTGACTTTTTAAGTCTCTTCTGCTATGTTTTTCAGTATTTTTATGAGTGATGGTCACTTGGCCTGATAGGTATATTGCGTCCAAATTTGGTGTCAGTTCGTCCAGTGGTTTTTGAGTTATGTTATTTATATAGATGGATGCAGTGCTAGACACATTCCACAAGGGGGCAGCATAGAGATAGTTCTATAGTTGTGCATTACTATTATTATTATTTGAAACACAAGATGAGTCCACAGCAGACACTCTGCTGGCTGTTGTATTGGATCACACATCGGACATTTCCCAAGTGTCTAGGACTGTGTGATGTATTGGCGAATAATGCATGCAGATCCCAATTAGGTGGCCTTCTGCAGCTGGCAGATGGTAATCTTGTCAGCGCCGATTGTGTTTAAGTGCATGCCAAGGTCTTTAGGCACTGTGTGCCAATCACCACTGGGACTACCTTGATTGGCTTGTGCCAGAGTCTTTGCAGTTTAGTCTTTAAATCCTCGTATCGTGTCAGCTTTTCCAGTTATTATTATTTGACAAGATGAGTCCACAGCAGACACTCTGCTGGCTGTTGCATTGGATCACACGTCAGACACTTCCCAAGTGTCTAGGACTGTGTGAAGTATTGGTGAATAATGCGTGCAGATCCCAGTAAGGTGGCCTTTTGCAGCTGGCAGATGATAATTTTATCAGCGCCTATTTTGTTTAAGTGCAGGCCAAGGTCTTTAGGCACTGCACCCAGTGTGCCGATCACCACTGGGACCACCTTGACTGGCTTGTGCCAGAGTCTTTGCAGTTTGATCTTTAAATCCTCATATTGTGCCAGCTTTTCCAGTTGTTTCTCTGCAATCCTGCTGTCACCTGGGATTGCGACATCAACGATCCATACTTTTTTTTTAACACGATTGTGAGGTCATGAGTATTATGCTCCAAAACTTTGTCTGTCTGAATCCAGAAGTCCCAGGGGAGTTTGTCGTGTTCATTCTCTGTAACTTTTTCCGGCTTGTGATCCCACCAGTTCTTTGTCGCAGGTAGATGGTCTTTGTGGCACAAGTTCCAATTAATCATCTGAACAACGTTGTGCCTCTGCTTGTAGTCTGTCTGCGCAATGTTCTTGCAGCAGCTGAGGTTGTGATCTGTTGTTTCATCTGCTTCCTTGCAGAGTCTACACTTGGGATCTGTTATCGACTTTTCAATTCTGGCTTTGGTGGCGTTGGTTCAAATGGCTTGTTCTTGGGCTGCCAGAATCAGGCCCTCCGTCGTCTCCTTTTTCAGAGTTCCATTTGTGAGCCACAGCCATGTTTTTTCTTTGTCAATTTGGCTCTCCATTTTTGCTTGAAACTGTCCATGGAGAGCCTTCTTTTGCCAGTTTTCTCTTCTGCTTTGGATTGTGTTTTCACTCTTTGTCTTTGGCACTTGAAGCAGTTGACTACTATTGACTTCCCTCACTGTTGGTTCTTGACTGCCTTTCACATAATCTGCCAGTGTGTGTTTCTCTTCTTCTACCATTTGTTTCACTTGCAGAAGCCCTCTCTTTGCCTCCTGATTTTCTGGGCAGGTCAAGTCTGTCAGTGACATCTCTACGCGGGTGTAATGAGTAGTGGGGCTGTCATCAGTTTCCTTGTTTTTCTGTCCAGATCATCCAGCTCTGCTTGTGTCCAGTTCACAATCCCAGCAGTGTATCTAATGACGGGGATGGCCCAGGGGTTGAGAGCCTTGATCGTATTTCTGCCATTTAATTTGCTCTTCAAAACCTTTCTGACTCTTTGGATATATTCTTTGCTGACCACATTTTTCACATGCCCATGCTTGATATTGTCCACTTGTAGTATGCCCAGATATTTATAGGCTTCAGGCTGATTGCACTTTATGGTTTGTCCATATGCCCTCGCTGTGTGTAATTTTCCCTTTCTTTAATGCCACTGTGGCACATTTGTCTAGGCCGAACTCCATACTGATGTCAGTGCTGAAGATTCGATTTCAGCTTCTGATTTTCCATAAAGCTTTAGGTCATCCATGTACAGCAAGTGAGAGCTTTTTAGTGAATTTCTTGTTGTTTGGTAGCCTAGGTTTGTTTTCTGTAGAATTACTGACAGTGGGATCAGTGCAATAATGAACAGCAGTGGTGACAGTGAGTTGCCCTGGAAAATAATAATAATAATAATAATTATTATTATTATTATTATTATTATTATTATTATTATTATTATTATTATGTGGATGTAATGCTCAGATGCAGCCATGAGGGGGCAGCATATGGATAGAAAGGATCAACTCCATACCTATGTTATTCTCTTCTTTCTCCTTTTTTAGCGTTATGACGGTGATGTCAGCGACTTGGGCCTGACTCTCTCTTATGATGAAGATGTCATGGGTCAGGTATTATTATTTATATTTGTTATTATATACATTAATTATAATTATTATATGCATTTAAATCTATGCAACATCACATTAATTCTTCTCTACTTCCTTCTGTTAGCTCGTTTGCCACGAACTCATTCCAGGTGGGAAGACCATCCCCGTTACGAACGAGAACAAGTAAGTTTGGAAATAGGAAGTCCCACCTCCAATTCCTCCTCGCTTACTGTTTCTGAATACAACCCCTAGGAGATCTACTTTCTCCAGTTCTGAGAGGTAGTCCTACTTTGGAAACAGGAAGTCCCACCTCCAATTCCTCTTTATTTCTTGTGTCCCTATACAACTCCTAGAAGGCTTACTTCCGCTCTTCTGCAGCTTGGAGAGTAAGGACTTGATTTGGAAACAAGAAGTGAGGGGGTGGGATTTCCTGTTTCCAAAGGAGGACGTCCTTTCAGATTCGGAGAGCTCAGAGCTACTTCACCTGCTTGGAGAAGAATGCCTCCTGTTGGAAACAGGAAGTTCCACCTCCAATTCCTCACTTCCTGTTTCCATATATGTTCCTTAGAAGTTCTACTTCCTCCCTTCTCCAGTTCTGAAGGAAAGCAGAAGGTCCTGCCTCCTTCTTACTTCCTGTTTTGAAAGGAATCCTTCCTCTCCAAGCTGGAGAAGGGAGCAAGTAGGTCTTCTAGGGGTCAGATATAGAAACAGGAAGAGGGAAGGAGGAGGCGGGACTTCCTGTTTTCAAAGGAGGCCTTTCTCTCAGAGTGGAGAAGGGTGGACATAGCTCTGAGCTCTCCAGTTCGAAGAGGAAGGCCTTCTTTGTGAAACAGGAAGTCTCGCTTCATCCTCACTTCCTGTTTCCAAAGGAAGACTTCCTTTCAGATTTGGAGAACGTAGAGCTACTTCCTCCCTTCTCAGGTTTGGTGAAGAAGTCCTCCTTTGGAGACAGGAAGTCCCCTTTGGGAGGCAGGAAGTCCTGTCTCCTGGTCCTTCCACTCACTTCCTGTTTGCTCCCTTCCTGTTGCAGGATCAGCTACATCCACCTGATGGCACACTTCCGGATGCACACGCAGATCAAGAGTCAGGCATCCGCCTTCATTGGGGGCTTCCGCTCCATCATCCGCCCTGACTGGATCCGCGTCTTCTCTGCTCCTGAGCTCCAGCGTCTCATCTCCGGAGACAATGCTCAGATCGACCTCGAGGACCTCAAGTGAGTGCAGAGAATGATGATGGGGATGAGGAGGAGGATGATGAAAAGAATAATGATAATTATAATATGACCAAGCGCAGATCGACCTCTAGGGCATCGAGTGAGCAATTGGAATGGGAAGCAGAAGGAGGGTAAGGATTATAATAATAATGAAAATAATAATAATAATAATAATAATAGTAGTAGTAGTAGTAGAACAACAACAACACGAAGATTGACCTTGGGGACCTCAAGTGAGGAATGAGAATGGGAAGCATAAGGAGGGATAAGGATGATAATAATAATAATAATAATGAAAATAATCATTATAATTATAATAATATAACAACACAGACATCGACCTTGGGGGCCTTAAGTGTGAAATGGGAATGGGAAGGAGGGATAAGGATAATAATAATTAGAAATAATGGAAAATATTGATAACAATTGTAATGATTAAATGATTATAATAATAATGAAAATAATTATTATAATTCTAATAACAATAGAAATCATAATAAAAATGATAATAAATTGAAAAAATAAATAAATTTTTAAATGATATAAAAATAGAATAGAATTAAAATATAATATAATAAAATAAATAGCAAATAAATAAATGAAATAAGTAAAATAATAATAAAACAATAAAAATGAACATTGTTGTGTAATGATACATATATCTAACTTGACATTATTGCTCAATAATAATATTTATTTCTTACTCGACATTGGTCTCTGAGAGGATACATAATAATAATAAATAAAATATAAAATATATTGTTGTTATTATTATTATTTCAGGAAGCACACAGTCTACTATGGGGGCTTCCACGGGAGCCACCGGGTCATCCTGTGGTTGTGGGACATCCTGGCCAATGACTTCTCTCCCGATGAAAGAGCCATGTTTCTCAAGGTGAGTGGAGGAGATGGCCATCTGCCTGGAAGGTTTTCGTTGGGCTCCTACCCATATATAAAATCGACACCATTTCCTTCGTATTCCCAGTTTGTGACCAGCTGCTCCCGTCCACCGCTCCTGGGATTTGCCTACCTCAAGCCCCCTTTCTCCATCCGCTGTGTTGAAGTTTCAGATGATCAGGTAGGTTATTATTATGAATAATATATTTATTAGTATATTATTTATTATATTAATATAGGTTACATATATTTCATTATTATATAATAAATATTTATTACATTTATTGTTATGAATTATGGGGAGATAAAGCAGGGTATGAATAAATATAATAATATGTTTATTTTATTTTTATTATATATTATTATATTTTTGTTACATGTTTAGATTATTTATATTATGTTATATTTATATTGATTATATTATCTATATTTCCATTATTACAATTATTACATATATTATTTATATCATGAAATAAATATTGATAATATTTATTATTATATTTATTTATATTTCTATTATTACCATGATATCTTAATATTACATATATTATATTATTATATCATAAAATAAATATTTACAATATTTAATATATTTTCATTATTATATAATTATATTGATTTTTATTATATTATATTAACTTATTTTCCTTGTTACTATATTATATATTTATATTTATATTATGTCTTTTTTATATTTGTTATTATATTATTTTATTATTACTATATTTATTTATTTTTATTATTAATATTATTATTATATTGATGGAGGTGCTCTTACATTGTGTGATACAGGACACGGGGGACACACTGGGGAGCGTTTTGCGGGGCTTCTTTGCGATCCGAAAGCGGGAGCCAGGGGGCCGCCTGCCCACCTCCTCCACCTGCTTCAACCTGCTCAAGCTGCCCAACTATGCCAAGAAGGCCCTCCTCCGAGAGAAGCTGCGCTACGCCCTCACCATGAACACCGGCTTCGAGCTCTCCTGATGCCACTCGCGCATTAAACACAGCCTGCACAGCCTATGCCTATGCCATCTTTCCTTTGGGAAATAACAGTGGGGAAAGGCTGTGCCGTGTAGGTAGGCAAGAAGGGCAGTAATATCTAGCTACTCCAAAAGGATATTTACTATTATTTATATTATATTGTTATTATTTTATTCCTATTTATAATTCTAAGGTAGAGAGGAAGGACGGTAATACCTGGATTATTGGATTATTTATTATTATTTTAATAATACTATATTATTATTTTATATTATTACTATTTATAATTATAAGGTAGGCAGGAAGGGCGCTAATACCTGGCTACTCCGAATTTATATTATTATATATTATTATTATATTATTGGAGCCCCTGGTGGTGCAGCGGATTAAACTGCTGAGCTGCAGAACTTGCTGACTGAAAGGTTGGTGGTTTGAATCCGGGGAGCTGGGTGAGTTCCTGCTGTTAGCCCCAGCTTCTGCCAACCTAGCACTTTGAAAATGTGAGATCAACAGGTACCGCTCCTGCGGGAAGGTAATGGCGCTCCATGCAGTCATGCTGGCCACATGACCTAGGAGGAATCTATGGATAATGCCGGCTCTTAGAAATGGAGATGAACACCAACCCCCAGAGTTGGACACGACTAGACTTAATGCCATCAGATACCTTTACCTATTATAGTATTGCTATTTATATTTATTATATTACAATTATCATATATTCCTATTACATTATTATATGGATTCTTATTAAATTATATCAAATTATATTATATATTACTATGATATTATTACATGGATTATTATTATTACTAGCTTGGGACCCCAGCGTTGCCCGATTTATTTGAAAAAGTGATTTTTTTTAATTATCCAAAATGCATAAGGTTGTGGAAGAACTAGAACTCACATCATGCCAGGTTAACCCTGAAAAACTTCATCAGTACTTAAAGTTTGTTATGTTGGGTAAGTTTGCTCTAGATGCAACATCAGTGGGGTTCAGTGTGCTCTCTGGCTGTAGGGTAAAGTGTAACTCCCATTATGGTGAGCCAGTCCCCTCACACCCCTCCCGTAGGTTGAGTTAGTCATGGGGGTTCTGTGTGCCAATTTTGGTCTAGGTCCATCATCGGTTGAAGTCAGTTTCTCTGGTTGTGGGTGAACTACAACTCCCAGAAAGGAAGGTCAGTACCCCCCCCCCCCCCCAAGTAATCAAATTTCAGCTTATCAGGAATGTGTGCCAAGTTTGGTCCAGATCCATTGGTGTTTGGGTTCACGTTGCTCTCTGGATGTAGGTGAATTACAACTCTCTGAAATTAAGACCTCCAGTATTTTTTGCTGGTCATGGGGCTCTGTGTGCCAAGTTTGGTCCAAATCCATGTTTGGTGGAGTTCAGAGTGCTCTTAGATTGTCCATAAGTATTCAGTTTTGAGCATATCAAGTATGCATTCCAAATATGGTCCAGATCTATCATTGTTTGGGTTCATGGTGCTCTCTGGATGAAATACAACTTCTCTAAATCCCTTCAAAGACCTGTATGTTTTGTTGCTCATGGGGGTTCTGTGTGCCAAGTTACTTCCAGGTCCATCGTTGGTGCAGTTCAGAGTGCTCTTAGATTGAAGGCAAATTATACATCTCAGGACCTACAACTCCTATAAATCATGGTGAATTCTCCCCCAAACCTCTCTAGTATGTTCAGTTGCTGATCAATTTCTCTCTTTGCTGTTTGCCATAGAAAAGAATAGGAAAGGGTTAAGGAAGAGGCAGTGGGCGGGATCATGCAAATTCCACACCAAAGGAGAGTCAGAAACACTGGTATGCCTGAATCTAGGATAGAATTGTCCCCGTATAAAAACCTTCACTTAGGTGGTGGGCAGTTCGCTGTTTGGGGAGGACATTGGCAGGGCTCTTGGACATGTTCATGGCACTCGCTATAACCTGCAATGTCATTGGAGGGAGGGCCATTGGTGTCTCCTCAGCTGATTGTGGAGGCGGGAGACTGTCTAAGTGGGCACCCCGGCCACACACACATACATATTTTCACTTTTGTTATGTGTATAGATAGGCAGGAAGGACACTAATACCTACTCCAAATGGATTATTTATTACTATTTTATTTTATTATTATATATTTTATTATTACTATTTATAATTATAAGGTAGAGAGGAAGGGCGGTAATACCTGGCTACTCCAAATCCATTTATTGTGGGTCGAACCCTGCCAGTATTCATAGTTGGCCATCTTTGGTCTGTGTGCCAAGTTCATTCCAGAACCATCATCTGTTGGGTTCAGTGCTCTCTGGATAAGGGTGAACTATAACTGCCAGGTTCCAAGGTAAACTCCCTCTAAACCCCACCAGTTTACCATGTTGGGTCTGTGTGCCAAGTCTGGTCCAGATAGGTCATCGGCTGGGTTTACTGCGTTCTGAATGTGGGAGAACTACAACTCCCAGATTCCTGGATCAACTTCCTCTGAACCCCTCCAGTCGGTTGTATGTGTGAAGTTTGGTTCAGATCCATCACCTGCTGGGTTCAGTGTTCTCTGAATATGGGTGAACTATAACTCCCAGGTTCCAAGGTCAATCACACCAAACCTCATCAGTATTCACAGTTGGCCATGTTGGGTCTATGCGCCAAGTTTGGTCCAGATCCATCATCGGCTGGGTTCAGGGCTCTCTGGATAAGGGTGAACTATAACTCCCAAAAACAAAGGTAATCCCCCCCCCCCCAAAAAAAAAACTTCTCCAGCATGTTCAGTTCATCATGGGGTTTCTCTGTGCCATGTTTAGGTCCTGGTACATTGTCGTGGGGGGGTCACAGTATCTCTGGAAGCAGGTGAACTACAACTCCCACACATCAAGGTCAATTCCCTCCAAACTCCTGCACTATGTTCAGTTGCTCATGGAGTTTCTCTGTGCCAAGTTTAGTCCAGTTTGGTCATTCCTGGGGGTCGCAGTAGTCTGTTGAAGTCAGATCCAAAGCACATGAGGTACTGCAAATTCCATCGTCCATGGTCAGTTCTCCCCCAAACTGCACCAGGGTGTAAAGTGGGTCATAGAGAAGTCTGTGTGCCAAGTGTGGCCCAGGTCTGTCATTCATGGGGTTGCAGTGGTCTCTGGAAGTGAGTGAAGGTACTGCAAATATCATCATCCATGGTCCATCCTCTCCCAAACTGCTGCAGCACATAAAGTGGGTCACAGGGTGTCTGTGCACCCAAACTTGGTCTGTCATCTGTGGGGGTTGCAGTGGTCTGTGGGAACCGAATCAGATGAAGTGTTCTTTGATTGCTGGTGAACTTTACATCCCAGTAACTACAACATCCAAATGTGAAGGGCAATTCTCCCCAAAACCCACCAGTATTCATATTTGGCCATATTGGGTTTGCGAGCCAAGTTTGGTCCAGATCCATCTTTCTTTGGGTTCACAGTGTTTTCTGGATACAGGTGAACTAACAACTCTTATGAATCAAGATGAATCCCCCGCCCCCCAAACCAATTTTCCATTGCTCATGGAGATTCTGTGTGCCAAATGTGGTCCAGGTCCATTGTCGGTGGGGGTCACAGTGCTCTGTCTTGATGCAGGGTGAACTGTAACTTCCATCATGTTGAGTCAGTCCCCCAAACCCCTCCAGTGTGTTCAGTTTCTGATCAATTCTGCTCTGTTTGCTGGGTGCCATAGAAAATAATGTGAAAGGGTTAGGCAGTGGGCGGGGTCATGCAAATTTCACACCAATGGAGAGAGTCAGAAACACTGGGATGTCTTTGGTGGAGGAAACACATAAAAACTATGATGAAATTTCCCCATATGAAAGCCTTCACTTGGGTAGTGGGCAGTATGGTGTTTGTGGAAGAGATTGGCAGTGCTCTTGGACATGTTCATGGCGCTCTCTATAACCTTCAATGTGATTGGAAGGAGGGCCTTTGGTGTCTCCTGAGTAATGGGAGCTATAGCTGTTTGTGGAGGCAGGAGCCTGTCTGTAAGTGGACACCCCAGCCATATACATACACATACATAATTTCACTTTTATTATATGTATAGATAGATAGACGATAGATTATTATTCTAATATTTTAAGGCCAGAGAATGGAGTTAGGTTAAGGCAGCACTATATAGACAAAAAGGCAACACAGCAATACCTGACTACTCCAAATGGAATTCAGTATGTCATAATATTAATTTATTTTCACAGTTTCTTCTTTCCGTACATAAATTAATTCCTTCTTCCCTTCCTGCTGGGCAGCAAAGCGAGCCAAGACAAAGAGGTAGTCGCTCAGCCTGAAAAAGCATTATAAGACTATGTATTATTATTATTGTTATTATTCTATTAATTATAACAATTGATTATTATTTACCTGTTGAGGTATTTGGCCACGTTGGCATCCGCTTCCCCAGCTTTCACCAAAGGGACAACCCTAAGGATTTAAAATATAAAATATATTTTAAATATATATTTAAAAGCAAAGATAGACTCTAATGTATACAGTAAATATATAATTATATATTTAAATATATATAACTTATTTAAAATACATTTTAAATAAATATATAATAATATGAAGTAAAATATACTTTTAATATATATTTTAAAACTTAAAATGTATTTAAAATAAAATATGAAATATTTTAAATCTATACATCTCTCTATGTTTCTAGACACATAATAAAAGTGAAAATCTGTGTATGTGGCAGGGGTGTGTCCACTTACACAGACAAGCTCCTGCCTTCACAAACAGCTATAACCCACAGAGCTGAGGAGACACCAAAAACATTCCCTCCAGTGACATTGCAGGTTATAGTGAGTGCCAAATCCCAGTGTTCTTTTCTCTCTCAATTGGTATGGAATTTTCATGGCCCCACCCTCTCCATCTTCCTTAAGCCTTCCCTACCCTTTTCAATGGCACACAGCAAACAGAGGAATTGATCAGCAACTGAACAAGAGGTTTGGGGAAAATTCACCATGATTTAAAGGAGTTGTAGTTCACCTACATCCAGAGAGCACTGTGAACCCAACCAAGGATGGATCTGGACCAAACTATAGGACTTGTAGTACCTCACTCACTTCCAGGGACCACTGCAACCCCCACAAATGATGGTCTTGGACCAAACCTGGCGCACAGACACCCCCCCCCCCCACCATGACCAACAGAACATACTGGAGGCATTTGGAGGAAATTGACCTTGATTTATGGGAGTTATAGTACACCTGCATCCAGAGAAACTGACCTTACCAACATTGGACCGGGACCAAACTTGGCACAGAAAAACCCCATGACCAACTGAACATACTGCAGGGGTTTGGGTGGAATGAACCATGACTTTGGGAGTTGTAGTTCACCCTTATCTAGAGAGCACTGAACCCAGCCGATGATGGATCTGAACTAAATTTGGCACACAGACCCAACATGGCCAACTGTGTGTATACAGGCGGGGTTTTGGGGTGAATGACACACAATTTTGGGAATTGCAGTTAACCCACATCCTTATGCATTTTGTAATGGGAGCATTCATAAAATCAACATGAAAGAATGGCTTTTTCCTAATAAATAGTGTAGTGTTACAGATTACCTAAGTGATATGACCTAACACCCCAAAAGAAACAATGCCTTTTTCAAACAACCCAGGCACTGCTGGGTCCACAAGCTAGTGTAGTCAAGAAATCCTATAATCTTTATAGTCAATATATAATTATACAGTATATTCAAATACATATTAATTTATTCATCTATCTATCTATATATCTATATCTATCTGTATAATATACAATATAATTTTAAAAGCGAAGAAATACTCTGTATGTATAAACATATAATCAATATATTTAAATATATATTTAAATTAATATTTTAAATATATTTAAAATTAACATAGAAAAATAATATAAAATATATATTTCAAATCAAAGAAATATGATAATCTATATATTAAACATATGTTATATATATATATATATATCTCCCCCTCACCGTCTTTCGGCTCGACGGCAAACGGCTCTGGAAAAATGGAGGGCGGCTGCGGTTTTTCCTCCTGACTATAAAATATAAGTATAAAAAATATAGAAATAACACGTTCAATTAAGAAGGTAATATTTTATGCATAATAAAAATAAATAAATGCAATGAAAAGACAGCAAAAGATACATTAAAATAATAATGTAAAATAATAAATAGATATAATACAAAATCTATACACATATTAAAAGTGAAAATATGTATGTTTGTGTGTGGCTGGGGTCCCCACTTCCACAAACAAGCTCCCACTTCCACAAACTATAGCTCCTACTACTCAGGAGACACCAATGGTCCTCCCTCCAATGACACTGTGGCATTTGCATGACCCCCACTTCCTCCTACTTAACCCTTTACTATTCTTTTCTATGGCACACAGCAAACAGGGAAATTGATCAACAACTGGACATGCTAGAGAGGTTTGGGGAGAATTCACCATGGTTTATAGGAGTTGTAGGTCCTGGGATGTTTACTTCACCTGCAATCTAAGAGCACTCTGAACTCCACCAACAATGGACCTGGAACTAACTTAGCACACACAACCCCCATGACCAACAAAACATACTGGAAGTCTTTGGGGGGATTTATAAGAGTTGTAGTTCACCTACATCCAGAACATACTATGTTTTTATGTATCTGGCAGGCGATGTTTCTCTGCTCTCTGATTGGCTGCCATTTCCACAGGCCACTGTGAGCCCCTTGAATGACAGATCAGGACTAAACTCGGCACAAAGAGCGCTGGTGACCAACATAACATAGAGGATGGGTTTTGGGGGGACTGACCCACCTGTGTGGGAGTTATAGTTTACCCTATGTCCAGAGAACATTGTGAACCCCAGCAGTGATGGATTTGGACCAAACTCGGCAGACAGACCCCTCCCCCCACCATGACCCACTTTACATCCTGGTGCACATTGGGAGAGGATGGACCATGGATTATGGGATTTGCAGTACCTTCACACACTTCCACAGACCACTGCGACCCCCATGAATGACAGACCTGGACCAAACTGGTCACACAGACTCCCCATGACGAACAGACGAAACTTGGCACAGAGTAGCCCCATGACCAACTGAACATACTGTAGTACTGAACCCAGCCGATGTAGGGTGAAGACTTAGCACACAGAAGCAACATGCCTGCTATGCATTATGCAAAAAGACGAGGTTTGGGGGAGATTGGCCTTGATCTGGCAGTTATAGTTCACGCTTATCCAGAGAGCACTGAACCCAGCCATTTCCACAGACCTCTGTGATCTCCATAAATGACGGATCAGGACCAAACTCGGCACACAGAACCTTGATGACCACCATAACATACTGGAGGGGTTTGGGGTAACCCACCCACGTGCGAGTTGTAGTTCAGCCTGCATGCAGAGAGCATTGTGAACCCCACCAATGACAGACCTTGACCAAACAAGGCACTCAGTCCCCCCCCCCCCCCCCCCCCCCCCCCATGACCCACTGTATGTCCTAGTTTGGTTTGGCAGACATTGGACCACAGGTGATGGGATCTGCAGTACCTTCACTCACTTCCAGAGACCACTGTGACCCCCATGAATGACAGACCTGGACCAAACTTGGCACACAGACTTCCTATGGCAACAGAACATATTGGGAACAATGAACTTGGCCGACGTCAGATCCGGACCAAACTTTGCTCACAGACCCAACGTGGCCAATTGTGGATAGTGCTCGGGTTTGGGGATGTCTGGCCCACAATTCTGGGAATTGTAGTTCACCCACATCCTTATGTGAATCCAAACACTGATGGATCTGTACACATACCCGATATGCCAAAATTTGATTACTGGAGGGGTTTGGGGGGAAGTGACCTTCCTTTCTGGGAGTTGTAGTTCATCCACAACCAGGGAAACTGTGACTTCCACTAATGATGGACTTGGACTAAACTTGGCATACAAAACCCCCATGACTAAATCAACCTACTGGAGGGATTTGAGAGGATTGACTCACCATAGTGGGAGTTGTAGTTTATCCTACAGCCAGAGAGCACACTGAACCCCACCCATGATGCATACAGAAAGCAAACTTGCCCAACATAGCAAACTTTAAGTACTGATGGAGTTTTTTCGGGGTTAACCTGGCATGATGTGAGTTGTAGTTCACCTACAACCGAATGCATTTTGTACAATTTAAAAATTCCTTTTTCAAATAAACCAGGTAATGCTGGGGACCCAACTAGTTTAGAAATAAATATAACATAACATACAGTAAATTAAAATAATAAAATATAATACATATAATTAATATAAAATTAAAAACATACCGGCAAAATGAATGACTGCAGGGGAGGAAGCCGATCAGTGTATCCATCGATCCATTTTTCCAGCTCTGAAACCGGCTTTTCGTCGAAGCTAGTTCGTTCTGGGGGAGGTAATTTATCCCTAATCAATTCCCGTTATTATTATTATTTTAATTTAATTGTTATATTTAATTATTTTAATTACTTAAATGAGCCTCTCGGGCCGACGAGACAGGGGTCGCGATGTTGGCACCAGCATCTTGCAGCCTGCATTGAACCTATACAGATATAGACTTATATAATATGAAAAATAATATGAAAAAATCTTTTAAAATACCAAACCCAGAAATTAATCTTAAAAAAATGAAAAAATCTGAAATATAGTCTGAAAAACAACTAGAAAAAACATAAAAAGAATCTGAACAATATAAACAAAATCTAAATGAAAACAACACCAAAATAAATTAATGAATTAATCTGAAATATAATTTGAAAAATAAATATGCAAAATAATATAAATAAATTCAATAAAATAAAATAATGTGAAAATTATTTCATTATTTAGGAAAATCTTAAAATAATATGGAAAAATATTAATAAACTCACCTTATGAAGTTCTTCTGCAAAAGAGTGACCTCCTTCCTTCCCAAATTCAGAACTCAATCTAAATTAAAATTATTATTATTTATTTATTTTTATCCTGCTAGGGATGTTTATTTTTATGTATTCTTAAAATATATTTACTGAAACATTATATTAAAATAAATATATATAGCAAATATTATATTTATTTTAATTTATATATTATATTGATTGAATAGAATACCCAATGGCTGAACTGAGTTCGTCCAAAGTACCCAAAGCATCAAATATCCAGTCGTCCTTTGGCCTCCGTTCCCCAGTAAATGTGCTGGAAAAACCTAAATAATAATAATAATAATAATAATATAAACATAAACAACAATAATGTAAACATAATAAGCACATAAATAATATTAAAATCGATACACATAATAAAATTGAAAATGTGTATGTGGAGGAGGTGTAATTACACAGGCTACCGTTTCCACAAACATCTGTAACCTCCACCATTCAAGAGACACAAATGGCCATTGCAATGTAAATTGCAGGGTTACAGTAAGCGCCACATCCCAGTGTTCCCTTCTCTCTCCATTGGTGTGCCTTTCCTATGACACACAGCAAACAGGAATTGATCAGCAATTGAAGAAGAGGTTTGGGAATAATTCACCATGATTTATAGCAGTTGTAGTTTACGTAAATCCTGAGAGAACTGTGAACCCAACCAAAGATGGATGTGGACCAAACTTGCCATGGATGATGGGATTTGCAGTACCTTCACTCACTTCCAGAGAGCACTGAGACCCCCACGAATGACGGACCAGGACCAAACTTGGCACACAGACCCCCCATAACCCACTTAACGTCCTAGTGTGGTTTGAGGGAGAATGGACCACGGATTATGGGATTTGCAGTACCTTCACTCACTTCCAAAGGCCACTGCGACCCCCATGAATGACGGACTGGGACCAAACTTGGCACACAGAGCCCCCATGACCCACGTCCTGGTGCAGTTTGAGGGATAATGGACTATAGACGATTGGGTTTGCAGTACCTTCACCTGATTCAACCTCCAACATACACAGAAAACTGTGACCCCTCACAAATGACAGACCTGGACCAAACTTGGCACACAGACTCTCCATTACCAATAGAACATACTGAGATGTTTGGGGAAAATTGACCTTGATTTATGAGAGTTATAGTTCACCATCTATAGAAACGATGACCCCCAAAGACAATGGATCTGGACCAAACTTGGAACAGAGAAGCCCCACAACCAACTGAACATACTGCAGAGGTTTGGGGGCTTGACCTTGATTTTGGGAGTTGTAGTTCATCGTTATCTAGAGAAAAATGAACGCAGCTGACGTCAGATCTGAACCAAACTTGGCACACAGAGCCCTGGTGACCAAGATAACATACTGGAGGGGTTTGTTTTTTTTTGGGGGGGGGGGGGAGTGGAATGAGCCACCTGCGTGGAAGTTGTAGTTCACCCTACATCCAGAGATATTACCAAACTTCCCAAAACAATGCCTTTTTCAAATCACCCAGGCATTGCCAGGCCCCCAAGCTAGTAATATAATTTTTAAAAATTATACATACACACACACCTATATAGATAGATAGATTATAAATGGGAATATAAATAGGAATATGAATAAGAATAGGTCAATGATAAATAATACAAATATTAAATTATATATGTATATATGTAGACATACAGATAAATAATATAAAGGATACAAATAAATAATATTATTAATAATAGGAATATAAGAATAAGAAATTTGATATATAGATAAATAGTATAAATCATATAATATAAATATATAATAATATAAATAATAAAAATATTGCAAATAAAGGAGAAACAAAGAAAAGTAGACATAAATAATACAGATAAACAATCATATAAATAAATAATATAACTATAACATAATCCTGACCTGTGTCCCCTGTCTTGGTGTAGATCTTGAGTTTGGCTTCCTGCCTGCAAAAGCAGGGGGAAAGGGTCATTGCGCTCTCTGCACATGTTCACCGGCAGCCTTGTCTCCCCCCCGCGCATTACCTGGGCTTCTCCCCTCCCTCGTGGCGGTTCCTGATCCCAAACTGAGCCGCCAACGCCCTTTTAAAACAAACGCGAACTCCGAAAAGACCCATCTGATTCGCCATTACGGGGAAAGAGTGGAAACGCTTTTTTTCCGGGAAAGTTTGTCCCTTCAGGGCCGCCGTGAGGAGGCGGGCCTGATGGGGAGACGCCAACCACGAATACCTATCGCCTCATTGGTCGCGTGAGGCCCAAAAGAAAGGCGCTCAGCCAATCGGCGCGAGAAGTAAATGTGGCGCCCCTCTCCCATTAAGATAAAACGAGAAGCCGGAGTTTTCGGAAGCAAAGCCACTCTTGGCTGCTGCTCGATTGGTCGAGATGACAGAGACTCGAATTTCTATTGGTCGAGATAAAAGAAGAGGCGGGACTCTTTGTATAGCCACGGTTGATTGGTCGAGAGACGTTCATTGGGAACCTCAAGGAGAGGGCGTACTTTTGTGCTTTACCCTCAGAAGCCAAGCCACGCCTACCAGCCGCCTGATTGGCCGAGAGACGGCTATTAGGCAACACAGAGAGGGCATGGATTTTTTTGGCCGTGCCTACATATTGCGTCATGGGTCGAAATGGTTTTGTTAGGAAACAGAGGGCATGTTGTGTTTTCCCCTCAGAAGCTAAGCCACGCCTACTTGCCGCCTGATTGGTCGAGAGAGTCATTTAGGCAACAGAGGGCGTGCTTTTTGTCCTCTGGCTACGCCCCCTCACGCATGATTGGCCGAGAGGGGAAAGCAGAGGAGTCGCTCCTCACTGTTATTGGGCGGCGCGCACAGCCTGAGGCTTGGCCACGCCCCAATGGAACCTTCAGGTGAAAGCGTCAGGCGAGAGGAGTGTGCCGGCGGTGAAGAAGAGGCGGCCATGCGGAAGAAGAGGCAGCTCGTGCTCTCCGCTCCGGGGAAAGTCATTCTGCACGGAGAACACGCCGTCGTGCACGGAAAAGTAGAGATTATATTCTACATTCAATATTTCATTTTGTAGATATATGGTATTCATAATATTTCGTATTTAATTGTGATATTTAATATTTGTATTTAATTATATAATCTAATTTTCGTTATTTATTTTTATTATGTTGTATTATTTATCTTTTAATTAATATTTCATTATTATTTTCCTTAATATTAATACATTTTATGTCATTATTTTATTTAATATTTATAATTGTATTATTATTTATATTTCCTTCCATTTAAATATTATAAATAAATAATAATTTTATTATTTTATTTTATGTAATATTTATTATTTTACTTAATATTTTTATTTTATTATTTTATTAAATATTTAATGGGAGGGTTGTCCGCTCCCTACAAATCGCTCCAGTTAGCAACCTGGCCGCCAACCTTTGTACCATTTGCAATTTCTGGGCTGTCTTCAAAGGCAGCCCCACGTAGAGTGCATTGCAGTAATCCAATCTGGAGGTAACTAAGGCATGGACCACCATGGCCAAGTCAGGCTTCTCAAGGTACGGTCGCAGCTGGCGCACAAGCTTTAACTGTGCAAAGGCCCTCCCGGCCACCGCCAACACCTCAGCATCAAGTGTCAGCACTGAGTCCAGGAGGACCCCCAGACTGCAGACCTGTGTCCTCAGAGGGAGTGTGGCCCCGTCAAGCACAGGTTGCCACCCTATACTCCCATCAGCCCTCACAACTTACCAGGAGGACTTCTGTCTGGTTAGGATGAAGCTTCAGCTTGTTAGCCCTCATCCAGTCCAGAAGAGCTTTTGACCCAAAGAGTTATAGATGGAAAACATATTTGATTTAAACATCCAGTCCATCACAACGGAGTAGTAGAGTTGAGTGTCATCTGCATAGAGATGGCACCAAACTCCAAAATTCTGGATGACATCTCCCAGCAGTTTCATGTAGATGTTAAAAAGCATGGGGGAGAGAATAGAACCTTGCGGGACCCCACAGGTCAATGGCCAAGGGCCCGAGCAGGTGTCCCCCAGCTTCACCAACTGGGTGTGATCCTCCAGGAAGGACCGGAGCCACTGCAAAGCATTTTCCCCAAGACCCATCCCAGAGAGCCGGTCCAGAAGTAGACCATGGTCGATGGTATCGAAAGCCGCTGAGATGTCCAAGAGAATCAACAAGGACACACTTCCCCTGTCCAGCTCTCTACGGAGGTCATCCACAAGATGATCAAAGCAGTCTCCATACCATGACCAGGCCTGAAACCAGACTGTAATGGATCAGTTTCATCCAAGAATCCCTGGAGCTGAGAAGCCATCCCTCACTCCACAACCAAGAAGGGGAGATTAGAAATTGGCCAATGGTTATTCAATAATGATGTCTTCTTCAGGATTGGTCTGTTTTAGGCAAGATTGAATTTGTCCTTGATCCAACAAGGGATTCATAATCCTTGCAAACCACTCAACTAATCCCCAACTGGCAAGTTTGATAAGCCAAGAAGGGCAAGGATCTAGAGCACATGTGGTTGCTCTCGCCGCTCCCAAGATCTTATCCACATCATCAGTCTGCACAAGCTGAAACAAACCCAACAAAACTGGACAGACAGGTCCCTCAGTTACATCACTTGGCTCTGCACTAAAACTGGTGTCAAAGTCATAAAGTATCTGGGCGACTTTGTCTGCAAAATGATGAGCAAACTCGGCACATTGAGCTGTCAAGTGGTTGGGGGTCCCCTCCTACTTTCAAGGATGAAAGAGTTCCCCAACCACCCAAAACAACTCGGCTGGTCTGTTAGTTGCAATGTGGGCAGCCAAAAAAGCCTTTCTGGCTGCCCTCAATGCCACAGAGTAGGCCTTACATGAGGCTCTAGCCCGTGATTGATCAGACATGCTCAGAGTTTTCCGCCAAAAGCACTCTAGTCTCCATCTCAATCACTTCATCATAGCCAGCTCCTCAGTGAACCAAGGAGCTGGGTTGGGTCTGTATGATGGCAAGGAGATCGTGTCCACCGCCCTGGCCACCTTGGTGTTAAAAAGGCTTAGCCAGGATTGTCTACTGCCATGACAGGAAGAGTCCCAAGAGAAATCAGGAGTCCATCCAGATCCATAAGTCTCCTGAGGTGGACTATCTTGATTGGTCCACCACCCCTACAGAGGTTGGATGCTGCGATTAGTCTAAAACCGATGGTCGGTCCATGACAATGGGAGAATGGTTACACTCTGTCTGAAGGCACAGGTTCACAGCTTAGGAGTCCTAGATTCGTTGTGGAGCCTGAAACCACAGGTCTCGGCAGTGGCCAGGGGAGCATTTGCACAACTAAAACTTGTGCACCAACTGTGCCCTTACCTTGGGAAGCCAGACTTTGCTACAGTCGTCCACACTCTTGATCCATCCCGAATAGACTACTGCAATGCACTCTATGTGGTTTTGCTTTTGAAGACTGTTCAGAAGCTTTAAGTAGTCCAACAGGCGGCAGCCAGGTTTCTCACCGGAGCAGCGTACAGCGAGCATACAATCCCTTGTTTCGTCAACTCCACTGGCTGCCAATCTGCCACCGAGCACAATTCAAAGTGCTGGCTTTAGCCTATAAAGCCCTAAACGGTTCCAGCCCAGCTTACCTATCTGAACACATCTCCCTCTATGAACTCCCTCTATGAACCGAGGTTAAGATCTTCTGGGGAAGCCTGGCTCTCAATCCTGCCTCCTTCGTAGGTGTGGCTGGCAGAGACAGGGCCTTCTCAGTGGTGGCCCCTCGGTTGTGGGACTCCCTCCCTAGCGATATTAGATCAGCCCCCTCCCTCCTGACCTTCAAGAAAACCCCAAAGATGTGGATGTGGGACCAAACATTCAATTCATAATCTGTCAGTGCAATAAGAAAAGATGAAATAGTCCAACGGCAAATTGGAACAGCCACAGACTACAATATTGGTTGGCGTGATTTGAAATATTTTTAAAGGTTTTATATGTTTTAATGTTTTATTATATTTAACATTTGTATTGAGTTATATAATTTCTTTTTATTTGTATTTATAGTTCATTTATTATCTATATTTTATTATTAATTATTATTATTATTTCCTCCTCCTCCAGTTGGCTCTGGCTGCAGCCTTGAACCTGCGTACCTTCCTCCGTTTGACTCTCATTGAAGAAGAAGAAGGTAATGAAGAAGAAGAAGAAGAAGAAGAAGGAAAAGAAGGCGGCCAAGTGCGTCTCCTTCTTCCGAACCTTGGGCTAAGATTCTGCTGGGAGACGCTTCACCTCAATTCGCTGCTTTTGGCCAAATTCAAAAACCAGGTTCCCAAAACAGAACAATTGGAAGCCGTTAAGGCCTTTGTTCTCCTCCATCAAGAAGAAGAAAGAAAAGGAGGAGGAGGAACCCCTTGTGTGGCCGCCATCGCCTTCCTCTTCCTCTATCTCGCCATCGCCTCCCAAAGGGAGGCAAATTGGTATTTATTGCATATTATTATTATTATTATTTCATGTCAAAAGCATTGCATACATAAATATACAACTGATAAATCTAAAGGGAGCACAAGCGGCTAAATAATTTTTGATCAAAACTAGGAAACAGCGACTGCCTTGTCTGTAGCTTTAAACAGTTCTGTGCATGAGGCGGGGCATTGTGGGCAAAGACATAGGTGCAGAGTTGTTTGTTCTGCTCCACAGTCGCACATAGTGCTCTTTGGATGTAGGTGAACTACAGCTTCTCTAAATCCCTTCAAAGACCTGTATGTCTTGTTGCTCATGGGGGTTCTGTGTGCCAAGTTAGTTCCAGGTCCATCATTGGTGCAGTTCAGTGTGCTCTTAGATTGCAGGCAAATTATACATCTCAGGACCTACAACTCCTATAAATCATGGTGAATTCTCCCCAAACCTCTCTAAAGAAGGGGAGCCAGGAGGACATTGCCATCTTGTCCCCTGTGACATCAGCACCCCTCCCCTAGCAATAATGTAATATTATGTAGTACTAGTGTTATGAATAATGTAATAGTACTATGCTAGTTATGTATTATGTAGTATGTTGTATGTACTTATGACTTGTAAGCCGCTCTGAGTCCCCTTCGGGGTGAGAAGGGCGGCATATAAATGTCGTTAATAAATAAATAAATAAATAAATAAATAAATAGTATGTTCAGTTGCTGATCAATTTCTCTCTTTGCTGTTTGCCATAGAAAAAAATAGGAAAGGGTTAAGGAAGAGGCAGTGGGCGGGATCATGCAAATTCCACACCAAAGGAGAGTCAGAAACACTGGTATGCCTGAATCTAGGATAGAATTGTCCCCGTATAAAAACCTTCACTTAGGTGGTGGGCAGTTCACTGTTTGGGGAGGACATTGGCAGGGCTCTTGGACATGTTCATGGCACTCGCTATAACCTGCAGTGTCATTGGAGGGAGGGCCATTGGTGTCTCCGGAGTAGTGGGAGCTATAAGTATTTGTGGTGGCAGGAGCTTGTCTGTGTAAGTGGACCCCCAGCCACACACACACATACATATTTTCACTTTTATTATGTGTATAGACATTATAGTATTTTATTACTATTACATTTTATATTATATGTTATTTCATAATATTACATTATTATTTTATTTCATTTTATAGTGTATTATTAACATTATTTATTGTTTATTTTATTATTTTATATTATAATATTATATTATAATATTATATTATATTTATTTCATTTTATATTATTTATTATTATATATTTTATTTTATTTTCTATATCTTATAGTATATTATTATATTTTATTAGTATTATTTATAACATTATATTATTATTGTGTATTTTATATATTTATTTTATTGTTATTATTCATAGCATTATTATGTTTTATTGTCTTTTATTATTTTTATTTTATACTATTATAATATTTATTCTCTGCAGTTCGCTTTGCAGCCTGGAGGTGGTGCTATGGTCTGAGCTGCCTACTGGATCAGGCCTGGGTTCAAGCGCTGCCTTCTGCGTTTGTTTGTCAGGAGCCTTGCTCTCCGCATTTGGGATCATTGACTTCCCTTCCCTCCAAAAAGGAGAAGGAACACACAGGTATTTCATTATAATATATATTATACTAGCTTGGGGACCCCGCAATATCTAGGTTATTTGAAAAGGGCATTTGTCAGCTGGGTTCAGTTCTCTCTGGAGGTGAACTACAACTTCCATATTTCAATGTCAATCATGGCTAACCCCCATCTGTATGCATAGCTGGCCATGTCAGATCTGTGTGCCAGGTTTGGTCGAGATCCGGCGTTGGCAGGGTTAAGTGCTCTGAAGATAAAGGTGAACTACAACTCTCAGATCCAAGGTCAATAACCCAAACCAGGCCTGTTTGCACAGTTGACCATGTTGTGTCTGTGTGCCAAGTTTGGTCCAGGTCCATCATTGGTGGAGTTCAGAATGCTCTCTGGGTGCACTACAACTCCGAAGTGGGTGGGTGAGTCCCCCCAAAATCCCTCCACAATGTTCTTTTGGTCATGGGGAGTCTGTGTGCCAAATTTGGTTCAGGTCCATCCTTCGAGAGGGTTGCAGTGGTCTCTGGACGTGAGTGAAGGTACTGCAAATCCCATCATCCGTGGTCCATCCTCCTCCAAACTGCACCAGGATGTAAAGTGGGTCATAGGGGGTCTGTGTGGCAAGTGTGGTCAAGATCCATCATTTGTGGGGGTTGCAGTGGTTTCTGGATGTGAGTGAAGGTACTGCAAATCCCATCATCTGTGGTCCATCCTCCCTCAAAGTTCACCAGGATGTAAAGTGGGTCACAGGGGTCTGTGTGCCAAGTTTGGTCCAGGTCTGTCATTCAAATTACCCAGGCACTGCCAGGTCCCCAAGCTAGTATAGTATATATAATAGATGTAATATACATAATGTGTGTGTGTGTATACATTCTCTCTCTCTCTCTTTCTATATGTATAATACATAATATATTAATATAAATATAATATAATACAATAATAAAATGTAATAAAAATTAAAAATTAAATAATATAGTACCATAATAATATACAATACAACATAATATAATACAATAAAATATTATAATATAATGCAGCAATAATATATAATATAATCACATAATATAATAACATAATACCATAATAATATGTAATATTATTATACAATAAAATAATATAGTATAATGTTACATATTACATATGTTTATATTATTTTTAAAAGGTGGACTGAGGCTGAACTGGAGGCTGTCAATGGGTGGGCCTTCCGCGGAGAACAGATCATCCACGGAAACCCCTCAGGAGTGGACAACGCCGTCAGCACATGGGGTCAGTATTATTGTCATTATTATTAATAATAATATTTATACTTTATTATTATATTATTTTATACATTTTATATATTTATTATTTATTTATTTATTTACTCTATTTGTATACCGCATATATCAGCCTGAGGCGGCGACTCAATGTGGTTTACAATAAAAAGCAACACTAAACAATGTATGAGACACACAATACAGACAAACACATAATCATCAACGCCACACTTAGAATCAGATTCCGATCTCAAGATCCTTTTTCCATTCCTTGTCCGATGCCGTCATTATTGAGTTAGTTGCCGAAAGCCTGCTCGTAGAGCCACGTCTTCACCCTCCTCCGAAACACCAGTAACGAAGGGGCCTGCCTGATGTCCACCGGTAACGCATTCCATAGCCGAGGGGCCACCACCACCATTATTTCTATTTTATCGTTATTCTGTTATTTTAAATTACATTTGATAATTGATTATTTGATTTTATATTACTACAAGCTTGGGTACCCTGCGTTGTCTGAGTTGATTTGAAAAAGGCATTGTTTGTTTTGGGATGTTAAGTAGTATCATTCAGTTAATTAATAACACTTTTTCTTAGAAAAAAACGAGAATGTGATTTCATTTTTATGAATGCTCCCATCATAACGATGTGGGTGAACTACAACTCCCAAAATTAAAGCCAATTCCCACAATCAGTTGGTCATGGGGCTTCTCTGTGTCCATTGTCAGTGGGGGTCACAGTTTCTCTGGATTCAAGTGAACTAAAACTGACATATTCCCGAGGGCAATCACCCCCAAACTCTGCCTGTATTCACAGCTGGGCATGTTGGGTCTGTGTGCCAAGTTTGGTCCAGATCCGTTGTTGATGGGGTTCAGAGTGCTCTGTATGTTCTGTTGGCCATCAGGGTTCTATGTGCCAGATATGTTCTAGAGTTGCCATTGGGGGCTTCAGAATGCTTTCTGGATGCAGGGTGAACTACAACTCCCATGTGGGTGGGTTAGTCTTCCCCCAAACTCATTTGGTCACCAGGGTTCTGTGTGTCATGTTTGGTCCAAATCTGTCATTGGTGGGGTTCAGAGTGCTCTGGTTGTAGGTGAACTCCAGCTCCCATGCAGGTGGGTCGGTCCCCCCGTTCCGTCTTCCAGGAGCATGGTTTACTTTGCCTTTTAGCTGCATGGGATAGCATTCCTTTGCATTTCCCCAGGGCTGCTATAGACCCAGCAGCACCCTGGAAGTTAAACAGTATCAGAGTCTGGAGAGCCAGGCTGCAGGCCCTCTGCAGTTATTGGTTTAGAAAGTATCTCTTTGGGTTAGGAGTCCGTCCTTTTTCCTGACCTTGAGATCTCCATTTTGGAATCTCCCCTGCCTCCTTCAATAGAGAAAAGAACCTCAGATGTGCTATTGGTCAGGCAAGGAGCTCTGAAAAACCCATTGTGAGTACAATTGAGTACAATTGAGGTACATAGAATAGCAATTGATATATTGAGATAGATAGATAGATAGATAGATAGGGAATTGAGCAGTGGGAAATCCCGACTGTATATTTTATTTTGCCTTTGCTCCTTCCAATATTTATTAAAGACTACTTTCACTGACACCAATTTATTATTTTATAGGCCACCTCCTTTACTGAAATGTTTAAAAGCCACATGGAGATTTCAGTTGGAATCAAACAGGAAATTGTTGTTCATTTTGAACTGTCAATAAGCATAATGGTTGCAGATAACTTATCAGGCTTAGAATAATTTAAAATAATATTAAAATAATTTATTCTTATTTTATATATTTAATTTATTATTTGGGTGTTTTAATTAATATCAATTTTTATTATTGGTATGATTATTATAATGTCTTCATATGTCTTCATATTATGATGTTCTTTATTATTATGATGTTATTATGATATTATTTTATATTATTTTTAGGTGGAGCTTTGAGGTACCAGTCTGGGAAGATCTCCCCATTAAAAAAGTAAAAATGTAATTTTATTTCTTACAATATATTGTTTATATTTATACATACACAATATCATATTTCAAGCTTTATAATACATAATATAATAATAATACTATAATAAGAATCATATCTCAGACTTATATAATATAATAATAAAGGCAGAGGAACGAGAGACCAGATTGCCAATATCCGCTGGATAATGGAGAAAGGCAGGGAGTTTCAGAAAAACATCTATTTCTGCTTCATCGACTATTCTAAAGCCTTTGACTGTGTGGATCATAATAAACTGTGGCAAATTCTTGGTGGGATGGGCATCCCAAGCCACCTTGTCTCTCTCCTGAGGAATCTGTACAAGGACCAAGTAGCAACAGTAAGAACTGACCACGGAACAACAGACTGGTTCAAGATTGGGAAAGGCGTACGGCAAGGCTGCATACTCTCACCCAACCTTTTTAACTTGTATGCAGAACACATCATGCGATGTGCGGGGCTTGATGAATGCAAAGCTGGGGTGAAAATTGCTGGAAGAAACATTAACAACCTCAGATATGCAGATGACACCACTCTGATGGCCGAAAGCGAGGAGGAGCTGAGGAGCCTTCTAATCAAGGTGAAAGAAGAAAGCGCAAAAGCTGGGTTGCAGCTAAATGTCAAAAAAACCAAGATTATGGCAACAAGAATGATTGACAACTGGAAAATAGAGGGAGAAAATGTGGAGGCCATGACAGACTTTGTATTTCTAGGTGCAAAGATTACTGCAGATGCAGACTGTGGCCAGGAAATCAGAAGACGCTTACTTCTTGGGAGGAGAGCAATGTCCAGTCTCGATAAAATAGTGAAGAGCAGAGACATCACACTGGCAACACAGATCCGCCTAGTCAAAGCCATGGTATTCCCTGTAGTAACCTACGGATGTGAGAGCTGGACCTTAGGGAAGGCTGAGCGAAGGAAGATCGATGCTTTTGAACTGTGGTGTTGGAGGAAAGTGCTGAGAGTGCCTTGGACTGCGAGAAGATCCAACCAGTCCATCCTCCAGGAAATAAAGCCCGACTGCTCATTGGAGGGAAGGATACTAGAGACAAAGTTGAAGTACTTTGGCCACATCATGAGGAGACAGCAAAGCCTAGAGAAGACAATTATGCTAGGGAAAGTGGAAGGTAAAAGGAAGAGGGGCCGACCAAGGGCAAGATGGATGGATGGCATCCTTGAAGTGACTGGACGGACCTTGAAGGAGCTGGGGGTGCTGACGGCTGACAGGGAGCTCTGGCGTGGGCTGGTCCATAAGGTCACGAAGAGTCGGAGACGACTGAACGAATGAACAACAACATAATAATATAAGTATAACATATTATAATATAACAAATTAATAGTTATAATATAAGGTAATAATATAATAAGTATAAGTATAATAACATAATAATAATATAAGTATAATAATGTATTATTTAATCATTTATATTATTAATATTATAATATTAAATAATTAGTTTGAGATTATTCTTATTATTGTTATATAATTAGCTTGAGATGTATTTAATATTAAATTATTATAAATACAATTATAATAATTTAATAAGTGTAATAAGTATAGTGATATAATATTATATTGTTATATTATTGTAATATTATAATATTAATATCATTTATAATAATATTAAATACATCTCAAGCTAGTTATATATTGTGATAATATGATAAATAATGTGAATAATAAATATAATTTAATCTACTATAATAGCTCAAGCCAATAATATAATATAACAAAACAAAAATAATAATAGATATAATATAATAATATAATAAATACAACAAATGTATCTCAAGCTAATTATATAATAATGTAATATAAAATATATGAATTGTAATATAAAAATAATATGACCTATGGTATCTCAAACTAATTGCATATTATACTATAATAGATATAATATAAATACAATAATAAATACATTGATATATCATGCCAATTATAATAATATAAGAATATAATATAATAATATAAATGGGAATCTAATCTGATATATTATTAATAATAAACATAATACATATAATATATTATATTGCTATTCCAGGGATGAACATTCTATGGCGCCAAAGCCATTTACAACCAATCGCTCTTTTTCTATTAAATCTACTATTCAATTACTGAACACTAGATATATCTAATATTTCTCTTTTTTATTTTATGTAAAGGTTCCCTACTTTGCGTATCTTGTTGACAAACACCAAAGTCCCCCGAAGCACCAAAGTCCTGGTTTCCGGCGTCAAAGACAAGCTTTTAAAGGTATATATTATTTTAATGCATTTTAATTGCAATTAACTGCGTTGCTTTTATGTTTTTCTTATTTTTTTCTGATTAATTTTCTAAGTTCCCTTCGATCATGGATCCAATCCTGATGTCAATGAATGCCATTTCAGAGGAATGTGAAAAGACCCTGCAGAAAATGGCCGAGGCAGAAAGTCCCTCCAAAGAACATTACGTTATATTAGAGGTGGGGAATATTACATATTAATTATGTTATATTATATATTTTACATATTATAATATATATTATATTATTTATTATATTAATACTATTTTATTATTATTATAATTACATTATGTTTATTATATTATACAGTATATTGCTTTGCATTATATATTTATTTGCATTATTATTATTTTATATTATTATATAATTATGATACTATATAGTATATTATTTTATTAATATATTGTGTTGTGTGTATTATATTTATTTTAAGCTTGCAATATTAAATGTATTGTGTTATATTTATCATTAGTAATTATATTACTAGCTTGGGGACCCAGCAGTGCCCAGGTTATTTGAAAAAGGCATTGTTTGTTTTTGGATGTTAGGTAATATAACTTGGGTAATATGTATTAGAAAAACACCAGTCTTTGCTTTTGTTTTGTATGAATGATCCGATTAGAAATTCCGTAAGGATGTGGGTGAACTACAACCGGATTCCAAGGGCAATCACCTCCAAACCCTGCCAGTATGCGCAGTTGGCCATGTTGGGTCTGTTTGCAGACTAATCCAGATCCATCATTGGCTGGATCCAGTGCTCTCTGGATAAGGGTGAACTATAATTCCCAGATTCCCAGGGCAATCTCCCCCAAACCCTGCCTGTATACACAGTTGATCGTGTTTGGTCTGTGTGCCAAATTTGGTCCAGATCTAATGTCGGCTGAGTTCAGTGCTCTCTGGATAAAGGTGATCTGCAACTCCCAGAATTAAAGGACAATCACCCCCAGACCCTAACCTGTATTCAGAGTTGACCATGTTAGGTCTGTGTGCCAAGTTTGGTCCAGATCCGTTGTTGGCTGGGTTCAGCTTTCTGGATAAAGATGAACTACAACTCCCAAAATCAAAGTCAATCCCCACAAACCCCTGCAGTATGTTCAGTTGGTCATGGGGCTTCTCATGGGGAATCTGTTTGGTTCTAGTCAGTCGTTTGTGTGCAGGTGTCAGTGGTCTGTTGAACTTGGAGCTGAATCGGGTGAGGGTACTGCAGATCCTATCATCTGAGGTCCACCCTCCCTGAAGCCACACCAGGACATAAAGAAAGTCATGGGGGGGGGGGGGGTCTGTGTGCCAAACTTGCTCCAGGCCTGTCATTCGTGGGGATCACAGTGGTCATTTGAAGTTGGAACCTAAGCAGATGAAAGTACTGAGTATCCCATCATCCATGGTCCATCCTCTCCTAAAGCGCACCAGGACGTGGTGTGCACCATGGTGGTCCTGTGTGCCAAGTTTGGTCCAGGTCCGTCCTTCGAGGGGGTCACAGTGGCCTCTGGAAGTGAGTGGATGTACTGCAAATCCCATCAACCGTGGTTCACCCTCCCCCAGACTGCACCAGGATATAAAGTGGATCATGGGCTCTCTGCATTCCAGGTTTGGTTTTGAACAGACATTGGTGGGGGTCACAGTGGTCTCCGGAAGTGAGTGAAGGTACTGCAAGTCCCATCATCCATGGTCCATCCTTCCCCAAACTGCATGAGGACGTAAAGTGGATCATGGGGCGGGGGGGTCTGTGTGCTAAGTTTGGTTCAGGTCCATCATTCGTGGTGTTTTCATTGGTCTGTGGAAATAAATGAAGGTACTGCAAATCCCATAATCCGTAGTGCAGCCTCCACCAAACTGCACCAGTACGTAAAGTGGTTCATGAGGCGTCTATGTGCCAAGTTTGGTCCAGGTCCGTCATTTGTAGGTGTCGCATTGGTCTGTGGAAGTAGCAGCCAATCAGAAAGCAGAAGGAAACATAGTTGCATAAAAGGTAAAGGTAGTCCCCTGACATTAAGTCCAGTCATGTCTGACTCTGGGGTGTGGTGCTCATCTCCATTTCTAAGCCCAAGAGCCAGCGTTGTCCGTAGACACCTCCAAGGTCATGTGGCCGGCATGACTGCATGGAGCGCCGTTACCTTCCCGCCAGAGCGGTACCTATTGATCTACTCACATTTGCATGTTTTCAAACTGCTAGGTTGGCAGAAGCTAGGGCTGACAGCGGAAGCTCACGCCGCTCCCCGGAATCGAACCTGCGACCTTTCGATCAACAAGCTCAGCAGCTCAGTGCTTTAACCCACTGCGCCACCGGGGGCTCCTACATACATATAAACACTGACTTTTATTATATAGATAAATAGAAGATAGATGTAGATAGAATTATTAATATTATTACCATTTCTTCCCCTGATAGGAGCTGGTAGACATGAGCCAGCACCACTTGGCTGTGCTTATTAAATCATATTTATTTATTTATTTATTTATTTTAATTATTATATGAAATATTATTATTAAATGTTATTACTATTAAATATTATTATTAAACATATAATAGTATTATTAAAAATTATTATTATTATTATTATTATTATTATTATTATTATTATTATGTCTTTCTTCCCCTCCCCTCCCCTGCTAGGAGCTGATAGACCTGAACCAGAGCCACTTGAATGCACTGGGTGTGGGCCACCCTTCACTGGATGCCGCCTGCCGAGTGACCGCTGCCCTCGGCCTCCACACCAAGCTGACCGGCGCCGGAGGAGGGGGCTGCACTCTCACTCTACTGCCACCAGGTTCACCAACATTATTATTATAATATATTACTAGCTTGGGGACCCGACAATGCACGGGTTATTTGGAAAAAGCATTGTTTGATTTTGGATGTTCGGCAACATCATTTACTGAATTTGTAACACTATTTATTAGGGGAAAAATCAGTCTTTGGTTTCATCTTTTACTAATGCTCCCATTAAAAAATACATAAGGGTGTGGGTAAACTGCAACTCCCAGGATCATGGGTCAATCCTCCCCAAACCCTGCCAGAATTCTCAGTTGGCCATGTAGAGTCTGTGTGCCAAGTCTAGTCCAGATTCGTTGTTGGCTGGTGTTGCCTGGGTTATTTGAAAAAGGGTGAGCTCTGTCTCTCTCTTTACACACACACACACACACACACACACACACACACAAACTAGCTTGAGTACCCAGTGCTGCCCAGGTTATTTGAAAAAGTCATTTTTTTAATTGTACAAAATGCATAAAGTTGAGGGTAAACTACAACTCAAATAATGACAGGTTAACTCCGAGAAACTCCATTAGTACTTAAAAGTTTGTCATTTTGGGCAAGCTTGATCTAGATGCATCATCAGTGGAGTTCAGTGTGCTCTCTGGCTGCAGGGTAGACTACAACTCCCACTATGGTGAGTCAGTCCCCTGAAACCCCTCCAGTAGATTGAGTTAGTCATGGGGGTTCTGTGTGCCAAGTTTGGTCCGGGTCCATCATCGGTGGAGATCACTGTTTCCCTGGTTGTGGGTGAAGTACAACTCCCAGAAAGGAAGGCCAGTTTTCCTCAAACCCCTCCAGTATGTTCAGTTGGTCATGGGGGTTCTGTGTGCCAATTTTGATCCAGATCCTTTGTCAGTGGGGTTCACAGTTGTTCTGGTTGTGGGTGAACCACAATTCCCAAAAATCAATGTGAGTCTCTCCCAAACCCTTCCAGTATTCAAATTTGGGTGTACTGGATGTGTGCCAACTGTGGTCCAGATCCATCATTGTTTGGGTTCACAGATCTTTTTGGATGTAAGTGAACTAAAATTTCCAAAATCAAGGTGAATTCCCCCCAAAGCCCTCCAGTATTTTTGGCTGGTCATGGGGCCTCTGTGTGCCAAGTTTGGTCCAATTCCCTTTTTGGAATTGCTTTTTGATTGCAGGTGAACTATAAATCCCAGTACCTACAACTCCTATTAATCATGGTGAATTCCCTCCCTCCCAAAGCTTTCCAGTATTTTTTCTTTTGGTAATGGGGGATTCTGTGTGCTAAATGTGGTCCAGGTTGTGTCAGTGGAGGTCACAGCGCTCTGTCTTGATGCAGCGTGAACTACAACTTCCATTATGTTGAATCAGTCCCCCAAACCTCTCGATTGTTGGAGGGGTCACGGTTTCTCTGGATGCAGGTGTACTCACATAAATCTAGGTCAATTTCCCCCAAATGGTATTGTTTCTTTTGGGGTGTTAGGCCATATCACTTAGGTCATCTGTAACACTATTAGGGAAAAAGCCAGTCTTTCTTGTTATTTTTATGAATGCTCCCATTAGAAATGCATAAGGATGTGGGTGAATTGCAATTCCCAAAATCATGGGTCAATTCCCTAACCTCCGCCTGTATGCACAGTTGGCCATGTTGGCTCTGCGTGCCACGTTTGGTCCAGATCCATCATTGGCTGGGCTCAGTGCTCTCTGGATAAGGGTGAACTACAACTCCCCAAATCATGGTCCATTCCACCCAAACCCCTGCAGTATGTTCAGTTGGTCATGGGGTTTTTCTGTGCCAAGTTTGGTCCCGGTCCAATGTTGGTAAGGTCACAGTTTCTCTGGATGCAGGTGTACTATAACTCCCATAAATCATGATCAATTTCTTCCAAACGTCTCCAGTATGTTCTGTTGGTCATGGGGGGGGGGGGGGGGGGGGCGGTGTCTGTGCGCCAGGTTTGGTCCAAGTCCATCATTCATGGACCACTTCCAGAGACCACTAGAAGTGAAGGTACTGCAAGTCCCATAGTTTGGTCCAGGTCCATCTTTGGTTGGATTCACAGTACTCTCTGGATGTAGGTGAACTACAACTCGTATAAATCATGCTTAATTCCCCCCAAACCTCTTCAGTTGCTGATCAATTGCTCTGTTTGCTGTGTGCCATAGAAAAGGGTAGGAAAGGTTTAAGGGTGAAACAGTAGGTAGGGGTTATGCAAATTCCCCACCAATGGAGAGAAAAAGGAACGCTGGGGTGCCTGTGGTGGAGGAGACACATGACATCAATGTTGAAATTATCCCTGTATGAAAGCCTTCACTTGGTTGGTGGGCAGTATGGTGTTTATGGAGGACATTGGCAGGGCTCTTGGACATGTTTACAGTGCTCGCTATAACCTGCAATGTCATTGGAGGGAGGGCCATTGGTGTCTCCTGAGTGGTGGGAGCTACAGCTGTTTATGGAGGCAGAAGCCTGTCAGTTTAAGTGTACATCCCAGCCACACACACACACACACATTTTCACTTTTATTATGTGTATAGATTATATTATTATTACACTATTATGTATTTGGTACTATTATAATATATTATTATTTCCCTGTATTCTTCCCCTAGATGTTGATCCTGAGACGATTGCATCTGCGCTTGCAGGCCTTTCTGACTGTGGCTTTGACTGCTTTGAGACAGTGCTTGGAGGTCCCGGCCTCTCTTTACACCTCCTTCCTTCCTTGAAAGCAAATGTTTTGCAGGCTTTCAATGAGGCTTAAAAAAAAACCCCTTTCCTCCTCTTTCCAACGATGCCACTTTTGTGAGGGTTTTCATCTTATTTCTTATTAAAAAATGGCTTTTATTTCCTAACTACTTGTGTATTGAATGGAGTATTTCACCAGGTGGCCGCAGAGATCCAGGTGTTGCATTGAAAGCAAGGCGAACAAAAACGTATATAATAATAATTATAATAATAATATATGATAATATTGTAATAGTATAAAATAATGTATCATAATAAAATGAAATAATGAAATAATAATATAAATAGTAGTATATATATTGGACAGAGTCATAAAAATATTTCCTTTCGATTTGCATCTTCTCTGTTTCAATATGTAAAGGAAATGCACAGCCGATTGTGCAAAATGGAAAGGTAGAAAAGCACACCCAAACAGTGAGTGGGCGAACAAGTGAACAAGGGTGATTTGATGTCAATGCAGGTTCGATGGAGAGTTCACCATGGAATGCATGATTGAGTGTACAAATGGATGCGAATGTAGGTCCAACCCTTCATTGAGTGTGCAACTGAAAGTACAAGTGTGTGACTTGATGAAAATGCAAGTCAAATGGAGAGTTCACAATTGAAAGTGCAAAGGCATTGAATGTTTGCCTTTTTTGTTGTTGGGAAGACAGGGCAGAATGCAAATAAAGTATTATTATTATTATTATTATTATTATTATTATTATTATTATTATCCTCAGCTAAAAAGATGGGAGCTACAGCTTGACATATCTTGAGCTGTGAGGCAAAGACCAAAGGGCGCCGGCTGTTAGGAACTGTGGTACTGGAAGTCCAAAACACCTGGAGGGCCAAAGTTTGCCCATGTCTGATGGACCATAACTGCTCTGTCTTAGGATCCTCAGTTGGATTTTACATGTTTTGTATAGATGCTTGTTAGATATTGTTTCTGTTGGTGTAAATGCATATGACCATTGGGCGGAGCATTAATAAATTTATTGATTGATCAATACAAAAGGGATGGGGAGGGGCTGGCGAAAGGGGCGCCCCTCAGACGACGGCCTCAGCCTCGGATGGCTCGTCCTCTTCCAGCATGCCGTAGGAGGCATGGGTCTGGAAGGGCCGCTGCAAGGGGTGGGCTAGCAGCTTGGCCATGCAGTTGTGCAGCTCCACCGCCGGGCCACCCAGCGCCACCTCATACTTGTAGTGCGTGCCTTTGGAGTCCAGGCTGCTGAAGAAGGCAAAGGTCTCCTGCCAGGGGCAAATAATAATAATAATAACAACAACAACAGCAGCAACAACAACAACAACAACAATGCTTTATTTATAACCCACTCTTTCTCCCCGAGGGGACTCAGGGTGATTTCCAACAAAATTAACAAGACGGTAAACAGTCAGTGCCAGAAACAGACAAACAACAAATCAAGTCAAGGCAACAGATAAACAATCTCAGTATTAATGTATTAAACTTGTAAAACGGACTGAAAAGTAACCAAAAATTAAACTTAAATAAACATAATATAACACATCTCTTCCAGGTCTATTATTATTATTATTATTATTATTATTATTATTATTATTATTATTATTATTCAGAGGGCATTTCTTCCTGCCTGGGGTCTCTTCCAACTCTATTATTATTATTATTATTATTATTATTATTATTAATCCAATGCATGAAATTTACTGCACTTTAGATCTTTAGACCTAGCACTTTATAAATACGCCGAATGGCGCATAGTTGCTGACTAAATCATTGTTACTGACGGTGTTATACCTAAGACTTGTGCACTTTTGATTTGGTTTATCGGTGTGGCCGGAAGATCTGACACCATCTTGTATTGCTGCAATCCATGTGGTCCCCCATCCCTCTTTGTATACTATCCCTGTTACTACTGTATAGTGTAAAGGACAGAGGAGGAGGTGGGTTGGAGTATGTGAATAAAAACGAGGGGAGGAGGGGGGAGGGGGAGGAAAAAGGGTTGGCAAGGGCCAACAAACCAAACATCTAACGAAACAAGAACTAAGACCTTGATTTTGGATTGTGGCATGGAGGAGGAGAGGTGTTCCACTAGCCGAGGGGCCCCCATAGAGGTCGTGGTGGGGAGGGGGAGATGCGGAAGAAGGAGACCTCAAATTCGGCCTAATTCGGACCGCTTACCAACATTAATAACCCTAAATCGGTCTCCTAAGGTAAATTGGTGTAACCAGGTGAGCGGGCCCTCAGGATTGAAGGTGGTGTTGTTGAACGCCAGATCTGTCAACGGAAAAACAACTTGGATCCAGGATTTAAGCCTGGAGGAGCGGGCAGATCTGGCGTGCATCACGGAGACCTGGTTGGATGAAGCGGGGGGCGTAAACCTCTCCCAGCTTTGTCCTCCAGGTTTCTCCGTGCAACACCAACCAAGAGCCGGAGGACGGGGAGGCGGAGTTGCAGTGGTCTATAGAGATTCCATCCGTCTGACCAGGGCCCCCATCCCGCAGTCAACAAATTTTGAATGCGTCCACCTGAGGGTGGGTGACCGGGACAGATTAGGGATTCTTGTAGTGTACCGTCCACCTCGCTGCACTACAGTCTCCCTGCCTGAGCTAGCGGGGGTGGTCTCGAGCCTGGTGGTGGAGTCCCAACGGCTTCTTGTGCTGGGGGACTTCAACATCCATGCCGAGGCAACCCTCACAGGAGCAGCTCAGGACTTCATGTCTGCCATGGCAACCATGGGGCTGTCCCAACAAATAACTGGCCCCACCCACTGTGCTGGACACACATTGGACTTGGTTTTCTGCCAGGGATGGGAGCAGGGTGGCGGTGTGGAGGAGTTGTCTATCTCTCCGTTGCCATGGACCGACCACTTCCTGATCAGATTTAGGCTCACTGCGCCCCCTAACCTCCGCAAGGGTGGAGGACCCATTAAGATGGTCCGCCCCAGGAGGCTTATGGATCCGAATGGATTCCTGACGGCTCTTGGGGATTTTCCCGCCACCTCGGTAGGTGACCATGTCGAGGCCTTGGTCGCTCTCTGGAATGGGGAGATGACCAGGGCAATTGACAGGATCGCTCCGGAACGTCCCCTCTCAAGTAACCGAGCTAAACCAGCTCCTTGGTTCACTGAGGAGCTGGCAGCGATGAAGCGAAGGAAGAGGGAACTAGAGAGCGTGTGGCGCTCGGACCCAAGCGAGCCAAATCGAACACGGTTTGTGTCCTTTTTAAGGGCATATGCCGCGGCAATAAAAGCCGCAAAGAAATCTTTCTTTGCGGCCACTATTGCGTCTGCAAAAAACCGTCCAGCGGAGTTGTTCCGGATTGTCAGAGGTCTATTAACTCCCCCTATATCAGGTGGGAGCCCTGACAACTCGTCCACGCGCTGTGAAGCATTTGCTCGGTTTTTTGCAGACAAAGTCGCTTTGATCCGTTCTGGGCTGGACGCCACTTTAAATGCAGTCTCTGTGGATGTGACACAAGCACCTGCTTGTCCTATTTTGATGGATTCTTTTCAGTTTGTGAAGCCCGAGGATGTGGACAAGATACTTGGAGGAATGAGGCCCACCACGTCCATCCTAGACCCCTGCCCATCCTGGCTTCTGAAGGAGGCCAGAGGGGGATTGGCTGAGTGGGTAACGGTGGTGGTTAATGCCTCCCTTCGGGAAGGCAAGATTCCAGCGAGCTTAAAACAGGCTATTATAAAACCGCTGTTGAAGAAACCATCACTGGACCCCACTAAATTTGACAACTTTCAGCCTGTTTCCAATCTTCCCTTTTTGGGCAAAGTCATGGAAAGCGTGGTGGCCTCACAACTCCAGGTATTCTTGAGAGACACGGATTTTCTGGATCCGGCACAGTCTGGTTTCAGACCGGGACATGGTACTGAGACGGTCTTGGGCGCCTTAGTGGATGATCTGTGCCGGGAGCTAGACAGGGGGAGTGTGTCCCTGTTGGTGCTCTTGGATCTCTCAGCGGCCTTCGATACCGTCGACCACGGTATTCTTCTGGGACGCCTTGCAGAGATGGGCCTTGGGGGCACCGCTTTGCGGTGGCTCCAATCATTTCTGGAGGGACGTACCCAGAAGGTGTTATTGGGGGACTCCTGTTCAACACCACAGCCGTTGACCTGCGGTGTTCCTCAGGGTTCCATACTGTCCCCCATGCTGTTTAACATCTACATGAAGCCGCTGGGTGAGATCATCCGGAGTTTCGGGGTGCGGTGTCATCTGTACGCAGATGACGTCCAACTCTGTCACTCCTTCCCACCTGCTACTAAGGAGGCTGTCGAAGTCCTGAACCGGTGCCTGGCCGCTGTAACGGTCTGGATGAGGGCGAACAAACTGAAATTAAATCCAGACAAGACAGAGGTACTCCTGGTCAGTCGCAGGGCCGAGCAGGGTATAGGGTTACAGCCTGTGCTGGACGGGGTCGCACTCCCCTTGAAGGCGCAGGTTCGCAGCTTGGGTGTGACCCTGGACTCATCGTTGAGCCTGGATCCCCAGGTTTCAGCGGTGACCAGGGGAGCATTTGCACAGCTCCGGCTCGTGCGCCAGTTGCGCCCGTACCTTGGGAAGTCTGACTTGGCCACGGTGGTACACGCTTTGGTCACATCCCGTCTTGACTACTGCAACGCTCTCTACGTGGGGCTGCCCTTGAAGACGGCCCGGAAGCTTCAGCTAGTCCAGCGCGCGGCAGCCATGTTGTTAACTGGAGCGGGACGCAGGGAGCACACGCCCTTGCTGTCCCAGCTCCACTGGCTGCCGATCTGCTACCGGGCCCAATTTAAGGTGCTGGTGCTATCCTACAAAGCCCTAAACGGTTCCGGCCCAAAATACCTTGCAAACCGCATCTCGGCCTATGAGCCCACGAGGACCTTGAGATCATCTGGGGAGGCCCTTCTCTCGGTCCCGCCTGCCTCACAGGCACGCCTGGCGGGGACGAGAGAGCGAGCCTTCTCGGTGGTGGCCCCCCGGCTATGGAACTCCCTCCCTGCTGAAATCAGACAGGCACCTTCCCTCATGGCCTTTCGCAAGGGCCTGAAAACTTGGCTCTTCGAAAAGGCCTTTAGCTAGTGCTATGTTTCCTTGGAATGATCACCGGAATGGACTATGACGATGAGATTGACTATGACCCTAATCTAGACGAAGCGGATTTTTATATGTGTGTGATTGTCTTGTTCCATTGTAAATTGTTGTTTTTTCTATGTTTTGTACACCGCCACGAGTCGCCTCCGGGCTGAGAGTGGCGGTTAACAAGTGCAAGTAATAAATAAATAAATAAAATAAATAAATAAATAATCACAAACATACAGTGAAGACATCTGCCCTTGCACTTTGCTACTCTGCTGCTGAGTATGCAAGCCCAGTGTGGAACACATCTCACCACACTAAAATAGTGGATGTGGCTCTTAATGAGACATGCCGCATTATCATGGTGTGCCTGTGCCCTACACCACTGGAGAAATTACATTGTTTAGCCGGTATTGCACCACCTGACATCTGCCGGGAAATAGCAACCAATAGTGAAAGGACCAAGGCAGTGACATCTCCGGCCCATCCCGTTTGGATATCAGTCAGGACTCCAATGACTTAAATCAAGAAATAGTTTTCTAAGATCTACAGAGATACTCGCAGGGACACCCCAGCAAGCTAGAGTTCAAAAGTGGCAGGCTGATACCAAATGAGAGACTCCCTTCTGGGCACACAGAAAACTGGGCAACGTGGAAGGCGCTGAACAGACTGCGCTCTAGCACCACAAGATGCAGAGCCAACTTAAGAAATGGGGCTACAAAGTGGAAGCCACAACATGCGAGTGTGGAGAAGAGCAAACCAGAAGACCCACTACTACAATGCAACCTGAGCCCTGCCACATCCACAATAGAGGACATTCTTATAGCCACACCAGAGATACTCCAAATGGCCAGCTTCTGGTCAAAGGACATTTTTTTATACAACTGTTTGGTTTGCTCCTGACACGATAAATAAATTATTATTTATTTTGTGTCAGTAAAATAATAATAATAATAAGCAGAGGCTGGATGGCTATCTGTTAGGAGGGATCAATGATGTTCTTCCTTAGTGGCAGAAGGGGGTTGGACTGGATGGCTTTTGGGGGCCTCCTCTAACTCTGTGATCAAGCTGTGTGTAGCCAGTCCTGCCTGCCCACCAATTTTGTGAGCGTGGATTTAACCAGCAAAATAGAGCAATTCGACCTCAATGTTTTTGAGGAATTCCTTGACCGCAAGAGCTGCCGGGCTCTCCCTCTTTGGAGGAGGCTGGACAGGCCTCTCTTAGGAGTGCTTTAGCTGTGTCCTGCCGCATGAAGAAAGGTTGGGCTCCTTGGGATCCCTTCCAGCTGGAGAAGAAGAACTCTTTCGCAATAGAAGAATGAGCTCCTTTGGAAACCAAAGGAAGAAAAGGCTCTGCAAGAAAACAACAACCCCATAACGGAGCTCCGGGGGGGTCTTACCTTGCAGCTGGCTTCTTCCTCTTTGTCCTCGGTGCCGTTGTGGAGGTAAAGCACATCGAAGAAGTAGTACGGGCACTGGAGCATCTTCTGCAGAAAGGAAGGGCAAAGGGAGCACTTAGTGTTGCCAGTGCCATTTGAAACCCCCAAAATCGTTAACAGTGGCTGTGCTGGAAAACACATAGATACAAGCAAACGTTGGCTTTGACTATAGATCTAGACGTCTCTCACCTTCATCTGCTCCGTGATGGCTGCAGGGGGCTGGCAGGCGGGGCGGCTGTAGACCAGGATGGCTCTGACCACGTAAGGAGGCGGGATCGTCTGCACGTTGTCCGTCACTGGCAGCTCCGTCTTCTGCTGTCTACATTGGGGAGGGGGGAACACAGTGGGATCCTATTGGGACTACACATCCCAGCACCCCTGACAAAGGCAAAATGCAGGCAGCACCCCCCCCCCCCCCAATGGAGCGGCTTCCCAGCTCAAGGGAAGAAGGAAAGGAGGGAAGGAAGAAAGGAAGGGGGAAGAAGGAGAGGAAGAGAGGAAGGAGGAAGAAGGAAGAGAGGAAGGAAAAGGAAGAAGGGAGGGGAAGAAAGAAGAGAAGAAGGAGAAGGAAGAGGAAGGGAAGAGAAGGAGGGAAGACGGAAGGACGGAGAAAGAAAGACAGGAAAGGAAGGAAGATTGGGAGAGAAAAGGAAAGAAAAGAAGGAAAGAGAGATGGAAGCAAAGAAAGAAAGAGAAAAGGAAGGAAGAAAGGGAAAAGGGAAGGAAGGGAAGAAAGAAAAGGAAAGGGAAAAGAGAGGGAAGAAAGGGGAAAGAAAGGGAAGAGAGGATGGAAGGAAAAAGAGAGGGAGGAAAGAAGGAAAGAAAGAAAGGGAAGAGAGGGAGGGAAAAGGGAAAGGAAGAGAAAGGGAAGGAGGGAAGGGAAAGAAAGGAAGGTCCCAACGCCTGGTCTCGACCTATCTGCCATTGGGGAAAGCAGCCTGTTTTTCATTTGGGACCCCCACTATTCTCCCTCCCAAAGGGATACAACCAAAAGGCAGGAGAGAAGAAAGAAGGAGGCTTACTTACATGAGGTTGAAAAGGCCTTCCAGATTTGAGAGAGGAGAGTTAAGGTCCAGTTTGAGCCAAAGTTCTGCTGCAATGCAAAGCGAGCCTTGCCAGGCAGACCTGGTTGGACTATGGCGCCCATCACCCACTCCCCGAGAGGTTGGCCAACCCTCCCGATGAGCAACAAAAGCCAAGGATATTGAAGGATTTGCACTCGGCTGTCTCCAAGTCGTAGAGGAAGCTGCAGACCTCCCTGGGATCGGAGGTGAACCCCGAAAGCTGAGAGGAAGGAAGGAGGGAAAAGGCAGGGTGGGTGATCGGCCCTCACTGAGGATCACCACAGAAGGGGCCACGCAAGGCCACATACCCAGGTGACATCGTTGTTGACCACCACCAGGGCAAACTCATGGCTCTTGTCGATTTTATGCTTGGTCCGGACAAACATTTCAATCATCTTCTGGGAAATGTTCAGGGCGTTGGTTTTGGAGCTGTAAAAAAGGAAGGAAGGAAGGAAAGAAGGAAGGAAAGAAGGAAGGAAAGAAGGAAGGAAGGAGAAAAAGGGAGAGACGGAAGGCGGTAGAAAAGAGTGAAGGAAGAGAGGGAGAGAAGAAGGAAAGAAAGAGAAAAGGAAGGAAGGATAGGGTGGTGAGAGAGAGAAGAAGAAGGAAGGAGGAAGGAGGAAGGAAGGAGAGGAAGGAAGGAAGGAAGAGGAAGGAAAGGAGGAAGGAAGGAAAAGGGAGAAGGAGAAGGAGGGAAAAGGGAGAAGAAGGTGGAAGAAGAAGGGAAGAAGGAAGGAAGAGGAAGGAGAAGGGATGGGAGGGAATAAAGGAAAGGAGGGAAGAAGGAGAAGAGGGAAGTCAAAAGAAAGAGAGGAAGGAAAGAAGGAGAAGGGATGAGAGAGAAGGAAAGAAAAGAAAGATAAATGGAAGGAAGGGGAAGGAAAAGTAGAGGAAAAGGAAGAGAAGGGACAAAGAAGGGGCAGGAGGGGAGAAAGAAGGAAGGAAAGGGAGGAGAAGGGATAGAAGGTGAAGGGAAGGAAGATGAAGGAAAAGGAAGAAAAAGATAGAAGGAAGGAAAGGAGGGGAAACATGGGAGGAAAGTAGGAAGAGGAAGGAAGGAAGGAAAAAGGAAGGAAGGAGAAGGGAAGAAGGAAGGAAAGGATGAAGTGAAGAAAATAGTGACGAAGGAAGGAAGGAAGGAAGGAAGGAAGGAAGGAAGGAAGGAGGAAGGTGAAGGGCAGAAGGAGAAGGGAAGGATGGAGGAGGAAATGAAGGAGAAGGAAAGGAGAAAGACAAGGATGGAAAGAAGGGAAGAAGGAAGAGAAGGAAGGAAGGCAAAGGAAAGGGAGGGGAAAAAGAAAGGAAGGGAAAGGAAGGAGAATGGAAGGGAGGAAAGGAGGAAGAAGGGGAGGGAGGGGAAGGAAGGAAAAAATAAAAAGGGCAAGGAATGGGGGAGGGAGGGAAAAGAAAAAAGGAAGATAGACAGTCATTATAAATTCTTCTGAAACGGTGGCTCTCCTCTTTCCCCTGCCTGGAAGGGACCCCGACTCACCCATTGAATGACTCCAGCTTTGGGTGGGACATTTCTTCCGACAGATCCAAGCAAATGATCTGGAGAAGCGAATAATGAGAAAATCAGTAAGGAATAAGAATCATTGTATGTCTTCCTCTTCTCGTGAATCGAGGTGGGTCCAGACACAGCGAGGACCATATCCTCATCCTCATCATAAACACTGCACTATGAAACAACATTTCAAAATAAACTCTGTCCCTGGTTTGAAAGCGTTACTTCCTGTTTCATTGTGCAGCCCTGACTTTGAAAGTCGTTATTATAATTTTATATTATTATAAGAATATTATTATCACTATTATTTTGCAGTTTGATCAACTTACACCATGCTTTTTATGACAGAAGCCATTAGGAAATGACATTGATAACCCAGGAACAAATATTGTGCTACGTAATGTAATAATAGAAGAATCTGGCTGGGATCCCATTGGGTCTCATGGTGTTTCTCTCCTTTGCATTCAATTGTTGTTGTTGTCGTCATTATAACGGAAAGCCTTAAGGCAGGCATGGGCCAACTTTGGTCTTCCATGTGTTTTGGAATAAGTGTATCATAGTCCCTTAGTTAGAAGAGATCTCCAAAGGCCATTCATGTCAAGCAGGAAAGACCAATCCGATCCCTCCCAACAGATGGCGATTCAGCCATAGAAAGGATAGAATTCTGATAGATAGGCAGGTAGACAGATATGTGGTAGATATAGATAGATGATAGATAGGATTGAAACAGAGAGAGAGAGGGAGGGAGAGAGAGAGATTATAGACAGGATTTAGATCAGTCGGTCCCAACCTTTTTTTGACCAGGGACCACTTTGACCAGGGGACCACTCTCCAACATTAGTACCAAAAGGGTTACAAATCAGTTTTTGATCAACTTTAGATTTGGTTTGGTTATTTGGGGTGCTGATTCAGAACATTGCATAGACTACATCAGCTCTACTTTCTGATAAAGAACATATGCCACCCAGTAGTCACCATCTGCTCACCCAGAGAAAACCACATTTAATCATCTAGAGCTGATGTGGTCTATCCAATGCAATTTTCTTAATCAGCACCCCAAATAACCCCAGGAACAGGCCTAAAAACGAAAATACACTGCCATCATCATCATCATCATCTCTCCCTCTCCTTTTCTCTCTCACTCTCCTCCAACAGCGGCACGCACCCCCAGCACCAATTTCTCCCGCATGTCTCGTGGACCTTATTTTAGGACTCACGGAACCATATTGGGAACCACTGATTTAGATAGATAGATATAGATGAGATTGAGATACAGATAGATCAATAGATAGCTGAGATAGGACTCAGATAGACAGACAGACAGACAGACAGACAGATAGATAGATAGATAAAGGGTTGAGACAGATAATTATGTAAGAGATACGATTAGGATCAATAGATACAGGATGTAGAGAAATATTTGATAGATAGGATTGAGAGATAGATAGATAGATAGATAGATAGATAGATAGATAGATAGATAGATGATAGGATTGAGATGGATACAGACAGCTGATAGGTAGGATTGAGATAGATAGATGGGTATATAGAGATAGATATGATAGATAGGATTGAGATAGATATGATAAGACTGAGATAGATAGATAGATAGATAGATAGATAGATAGATAGATAGATAGAGACAAAGAGATAGATATAGATAGATAAGGAGAGAGATAGAGATGAATAGATGGATAGAGGAGATAGACAGACAGACAGACAGATAGATAAAAAGAGAGAGCTAGAGATGAATAGATAGGTAGAGATGGAGAGAGACAGAGATGGATGGATAGAGAAGGAGATAGATAACAGACAGACAGACAGACAGACAGACAGACAGATAGATAGATAGATAGATGTAGGATAGATATGTAGCTGATAGATAGGATTGAGATAGATAGATAGATAGATAGATAGATAGATAGATAGATAGATAGATAGATAGATAGATAGATAGATCGGTAGGCTGTTAGAAATTGTCTTGGCCCAACGGCTCACCACTTTCTCGGCGCAGTTGACCCTGGGCGTCTTGACCCGGAAGTCGGCTGGAGGCGGCCAAGAGGCCGGAGAAGCAGGGCCAGCAGCAGTGGCACTTTGGGGTCCAGCCTCTCCCTCGCCTTCACTGCGGCTGCCCACCAGGTTGGGGGCCGAGGGGCCAGGGGCAATGGCCATGGTGGCGCTCGGGGCCCGGTCCTCGGCCCCCTCCGGGTTGGAGCGCGTCCGCGGGCGCAGGGGGGGCTCCTCCGCTGCCGCCAATGGCAGTGAGGATGAGGAGGATGGTGCTGGGGCCGCCCTCTTCCTCTTCTCCACCTCAGCCTCCTCCTCTTCCTCTTCCTCCGCTGCGCTGGCCCCAGCCTCTGAGGGGTCCATCCTCAGAAAAGAGGGAGGGAGGGTCCGAGAAGCCTAGGAAGGCACACAAGGAATAATAATAACAATAATAATAGCAGTTATAAAAATAAGGTAATAAAGGAGGCAGTCAGGGAATCCTAGGAAGACATAACAATGATGATGATGATGATGATAATAATAATAGGGTTGTTGTAGGTTTTTCAGGCTATATGGTCATGTTCTAGAGCAGTGGTTCTCAACCTGGGTTCCCCAGATGTTTTTGCCTTCAACTCCCAGAAACCCTAACAGCTGGTAAACTGGCTGGGATTTCTGGGAGTTGTAGGCCAAAAACATCTGGGGAACCCAGGTTGAGAACCACTGTTCTAGAGGCATTATCTCCTGACATTTCGCCTGCATCTATGGCAAGCATCCTCAGAGGTACTGAGGATGCCTGCCATAGATGCAGGCGAAACGTCAGGAGAGAATGCCTCTAGAACATGGCCATATAGCCTGAAAAACCTACAACAACCCAGTGATTCTAGCCATGAAAGCCTTTGACAATACAATAATAATTATAATTATAATTATGGAAAATCAGGAACTGCAATCAAGTCACTGACCAACACAGTCAGAATCTTCAGCACTGACATCAGTATGGAGTTCGGCCTAGACAAATGTGCCACAGTGGCATTAAAGAAAGGGAAAATTACACACAGCGAGGGCATAGAGATGCCAAATGGACAAACCATAAAATGCAATCAGCCTGAAGCCTACAAATATCTGGGCATACTACGGTTGGATAATATCAAGCATGGGCATGTGAAAAGTGTCGTCAGCAAAGAATATGTCCAAAGGGTCAGAAAGGTTTTGAAGAGCAAATTAAATGGCAGAAATACGATCAAGGCTCTCAACCCCTGGGCCATCCCCGTCATTAGATACACTGCTGGGATTGTGAACTGGACACAAGCAGAGCTGGATGATCTGGACAGAAAAACAAGGAAACTGATGACAGCCCACTACTCATTACACCCGCGTAGAGATGTCATCGACAGACTTGACCTGCCCAGAAAATCAGGAGGCAGAGAGAGGGCTTCTGCAAGTGAAACAAATGGTAGAAGAAGAGAAACACACACTGGCAGATTATGTGAAAGGCAGTCAAGAACCAACAGTGAGGGAAGTCAATAGAATCATAGAATCATAGAATCATAGAATCAAAGAGTTGGAAGAGACCTCATGGGCCATCCAGTCCAACCCCCTGCCAAGTAGCAGGAAAATTGCATTCAAAACACCCCCAACAGATGGCCATGCAGCCTCTGTTTAAAAGCTTCCAAAGAAGGAGCCTCCACCACACTCCGGGGCAGAGAGTTCCACTGCTGAACGGCTCTCACAGTCAGGAAGTTCTTCCTCATGTTCAGATGGAATCTCCTCTTGTAGTTTGAAGCCATTGTTCCGCATCCTAGTCTCCAAGGAAGCAGAAAACAAGCTTGCTCCCTCCTCCCTGTGGCTTCCTCTCACATATTTATACATGGCTATCATATCTCCTCTCAGCCTTCTCTTCTTCAGGCTAAACATGCCCAGCTCCTTAAGCCGCTCCTCATAGGGCTTGTTCTCCAGACCCTTGATCATTTTAGTCGCCCTCCTCTGGACACATTCCAGCTTGTCAATATCTCTTGAATTGTGGTGCCCAGAATTGGACACAATATTCCAGATGTGGTCTAACCAAAGCAGAATAGAGGGGTAGCATTACTTCCCTTAGATCTAGACACTATGCTCCTATTGATGCAGGCCAAAATCCCATTGGCTTTTTTTGCCGCCACATCACATTGTTGGCGCATGTTTAACTTGTTGTCCACGAGGACTCCAAGATCTTTTTCACACGTACTGCTCTCGAGCCAGGCGTCACCCATTCTTTATCTTTGCATTTCATTTTTTCTGCCAAAGTGGAGTATCTTGCATTTGTCACTGTTGAACTTCATTTTGTTAGTTTTGGCCCATCTCTCTAATCTGTCAAGATCGTTTTGAATTCTGCTCCTGTCCTCTGGACTATTGGCTATCCCTCCCAATTTGGTGTCGTCTGCAAACTTGATGATCATGCCTTCTAGCCCTTCATCTAAGTCATTAATAAAGATGTTGAACAGGACCGGGCCCAGGACGGAACCCTGCGGCACTCCACTTGTCACTTCTTTCCAAGATGAGAGGAAGCATTAGTGAGCACTCTCTGTGTTCGTCCACTTAACCAATTACAGATCCACCTCACCGTAGTTTTGCCTAGCCCACATTGGACTAGTTTTCTTGCCAGAAGGTCATGACGTAAAAACACAATTCAAAGCAGAAGAGAAAACTGGCAAAAGAAGGCTCTCCATGGACAGGTTCAAGCAAAAATGGAGAGCCAAATTGACAAAGAAAAAACATGGCTGTGGCTCACAAATGGAACTCTGAAAAAGGAGACGACGGAGGGCCTGATTCTGGCAGCCCAAGAACAAGCCATTTGAACCAACGCCATCAAAGCCAGAATTGAAAAGCTGACAACAGATCCCAAGTGTAGACTCTGCAAGGAAGCAGATGAAACAACAGATCACAACCTCAGCTGCTGCAAGAAGATTGCGCAGACAGACTACAAGCAGAGGCACAACACCGTTGCTCAGATGATTAATTGGAACTCGTGCCACAAAAACCATCTGCCTGCGACAAACTGGTGGGATCACAAGCCGGAAAAAGTTACAGAGAATGAACACGCCAAACTCCTCTGGGACTTCTGGATTCAGACAGACAGAGTTTTGGAGCGTAATACACTTGACCTCACAATCGTGTTAAAAAAAAAGTATGGATTGTCGATGTCGCAATCCCGGGTGACAGCAGGATTGCAGAGAAACAACTGGAAATGCTGGCACAATATGAGGATTTAAAAATCAAACTGCAAAGACTCTGGCACAAGCCAGTCAAGGTGGTCTCAGTGGTGATCGGCACACTGGGTGCAGTGACTAAAGACCTTGGCCTGCATTTAAACAAAATAGGCACTGACAAAATTACCATCTGCCAGCTGCAGAAGGCCACCCTACTGGGATCTGCACGCATTAGTCGCCGATACATCACACACTCCTAGACAGTTGGGAAGTGTCTGACGTGTGATCCAATGCAACAGCCAACAGAGTGTCTGCTGTGGACCCATCTTGTTGTGTTTCCAATAATAATAATAACAACAACTGAAACAGCCTTGGTCGTCTTAGTGGATGATCTGTATAGGGAACTGGACAAGGGGAGTGTGTCCCTGTTGGTTCTCCTGGACCTCTCAGCGGCCTTCGATACCGTAGACCACGGTATCCTGGAACGCCTGTTGGGAATGGGGCTTGGATGCATTGTTCTGCAGTGGCTCTGGTCCTTCCTGGAAGGTCATTCTCAGAAGGTGTTACTGACACCTGCTCGGCCCCACAGCCATTGTCTTGTGGGGTCCCACAGGGCTCAGTATTGTCCCCATGTTGTTTAACATCTACATGAAGCCACTGGGAGAGATCATCTGGAGTTTTGGAGTTCGATGCCATCTGTATGCAGATGACGTCCAACTATATCACTCTTTTCCACCTGCTACTAAGGAGGCTGTTCAGGTCCTGAACCAGTGCTTGGCAGCTGTGATGATCTGAATGAGAGCAAACAAACTGAAACTGAATCCAGACAAGACAGAGGTGCTCCTGGTCAGTCACAAGGCCAAACAGGGTATAGGGTTATGGCCTGTGTTGGACAGGGTCACACTTCCCCTGAAAACGCAGATTCGCAGTTTGGGAGTTCTCCTGGATTCCTTGATAGTAATATAATATAATAATAATAATATAGAATTGGAGGAGGCCCCAGGTAGAAAGACACAACCCATGCCCTCCTGGAAGCTCTGAAATATAACAACAACAACAATAATAATATAATGATAAAATTAGAATTATAATTATAGACAGGAAGATATCATCCAAGCCCTCCCAACAAATGGTTATCTAGGCTCTGCATAATATAATAATAATAATAATAATAATAATCACCATAATTTTATTATTATTATTATTATTATTATTATTATTAGTTTCCTTTTCTAATGGTGGAGATTGATCTTGCCATAACAAATGCAAGGAAATACAATGTGCTTTCCCCCTATAGGGCAGGTTGATTAACAATAATAACAATAACAATAATAATAATAATAATAATAGTGTTCATGCCCTTTCCCCATATTAGCAGCTATGCATTGCACCATAAACCTATACATAAACCTTTTTCTCACCTTTAAGCGGCTAGATGAAGACTCCTTCCCTTTGCAAACCGAGCCGGAAGTGGGTAGGAGGGAGGGCATTCCTTTGGCCCCGCCCTTCCGGCGCAAGGCCTTCTGGGATTTGTAGTTTCCCTGCCAAAAACCTAAACCTCTTGCCCAAATCAAGTCATTTTTTTTAAAAAAGGAAATATTACTTTAATAATACTTTATTAATATATTATATTATTAATCAATTTCATTATATTGTTTTATATACGTTTTGATTATACTATATTAGATATATCTATATCTATACACATAATAAAAGTGAAAATCTGTATATGTGATTTATGGGAGTTATAGTTCACCTGCATCCATACAAACTGTGACCCCCACCGTGAATGGACCGGGACCACATTTGGCACAGAGAAGCCACCTGAACATTTTGGAGACATTTGGGGGAAATTGACCTTGATTTTGGGAGTTGTAGTTCACCTGCATCCAGTCATACTGCGACCCCCACCGATAATGGGCCAGGACCACACTTGGCACAGAGAAACCCCATGACCACGTGGACATACTGGAGAAGTTTGGGGGGAAATTGACCTTGATTTATGGTAGTTCACCTACATCCATACAAACTGTGACCCCCACTGACAATGGACCGGAGACCAAACTTCACACAGAGAAGCCCCATGACCAACTGAACATACTACAGGGTTTTGTGGAAATTGACCTTGATTTTGAGAATTGTAGTTCGCTCTTATCCAGAAAACACTGAATCCAACCAATGTCGGATCCGGACCGAACTTTGCAGTGCGTACAGGTGGGGTTTGGCGGCGATTGACCCACGATTCTGGGAGTTTTCATTTGCCCTTATCCAGAGAGCACTGAACGCAGCCGACGTCAGATCTGGGCCAAACCTGGCACACAAGCCCAACATGGCTAACTTTGAATACTGGTGGGGCTTGGGGTGATTGGCCCACGATTTTGGGAACTGCAGTTCACCCACACCCTTATGCATTTTCTAATGGGAGCATTCATAAAAAAACAACAGGAAAGACTGGCTTTTTTCTAATAAATAATGTTACTAATTAACTAAATGATATGACCTAACACCCCAAAACAACCAATGCCCTTTTCAAATCACCCGGGCACTGCCGGGACCCCAAGCTAGTAATAAATATAATATAGTAATAATAAATACATAAGTAAATACTTCCACCCCAGTTTCTTTAGGGTTAAAGCACTGGTCCGGATATAGCTGGCTTCCTTCCTCTCTGGAAAAACAGGAAGGCCTTTTCTTTATTATTATTTTTATGGGAATGAACAGGAACCAAAGGGCTGGGCTTTGGCTTATTTTGATGCTGATGCTGCCTTTGGAGCCACTTTTTGGACAGAATGGAGCAGGTAAGGGCCACATTCTCTCAGCCTCTGAGCAGTATAGTCCCTATAATATTATTGTATTATTATTATTATATAATAGGGGCTGTGGTGGCGCAGCAGGTTAAACCGCTAAGCTGCAGAACTTGCTGACTAGAAGGTTGGCAGTTCAAATCTGCGGGATGCGGTGAGCTCCCGTCGTTAGCCCCAGCTCCTGCCAACCTAGCAGTTCGAAACCATGCAAATGTGAGTAGAACAATAGGTACTGCTCCAGCAGGAAGGTAATGGCACTCCATGCAGTCATGCCAGCCACATGACCTTGGAGGCGTCTGAGGACAATGCCAGCTCTTTGGCTTTGAAATGGAGATGAGCACCACACCCTAGAGTCGGACATGACAAGACTTAATGTCAAGTGAAAACCTTTACTTTTTTATTTTTATATAATAGGACCGTTGCTTGGATGCAGCTCTTGCCCAGGTCAAGCACACACCTTGGATCCATAGTAGCCACACTTGAGGCCTTTGCCTGCCATTGATTCAACTCATTTTTTTTCCCGAAACGCAGGAAGGATCCAGGCCTGGAGGTGACAAAGGATCCCCCGAAAAGGCTTTGCCACCAGATGAGCGAGAAGCCCTACGCTGCGAGGAGCACATCACGGCACTGCTAGTGACGGTGTCCCGCCTTCACGGACACATCCAATGCCTCCAGCGGGAGAAAGACAGGTAACTGGTCACTGTCACCTTGTCTGTTCGAAGCAATTGTGGTGTTGCAGTGAGCAGCCTTGCAGTTGCAGAGTCAATCAGTGAGGGTATCTGCATAGAGATAGCCTGGCCTCTGTTGCCTGGAAACACCCTCTGCTTGGGAGCTGTCCAGTGTGTGCTTGATGTCTGGAGTTTCCCTGTTTTAAAGCTAGTGTGAATGTTGCAATTAGCAACCTTGAATTAGCGTTGAGGAGACTTGCAGCTGCAAAGTCAATCAGTGAGGGTGTCTGCATAGAGGCAGTGAAGCAAGTGGAGTCTGTGCATATCCCTATAGAATAATGTCCAGGGTGGGAAAAAGAACCTTTGTCTCTTTGAAGCAAGTGTGGATGTTGCAAGTAGCAAGCTTGAATAGCATTGAGTAGCCTTGAAGTTACAAAGTCAATCAGTGAGGGTATCTGAATAGAGGTAGTGAAGCAAGTGGAATGTGTGTGTGTGTATGTATGTGTATGTATATGTATGTATGTATGTATGTGTATATATATATATATCCCCCTGTGGAATGATATCCAGGGAGGGAGAAAGAACCTTCTCTGTTTCAAGCTAGTGTGGCTGTTCCAATTAGCATTGATAGTAGCCTTGCAGCTGCAAAGTCAATCAGTGAGGGTCTCTGCCTAGAGGGTGCCTCCAGGCATCAAAGACCAGGCTACCTCACCCTGATCCAGGCTTGAACTACCAATCTTTTGATCAGCAAGATTTTTTGCAGCTGGTGGTTTAACCCGCTGTGCTAAAACCTGGCCCTAACTTGGATGTTATCCTGTTTTTGAAGATTTAGTCGGGTATGTTCTAGATCAGTGTTTCTCAACCTGGGGGTCGGGACCCCTGGAGGGATCGCGAGGGGGTGTCAGAGGGGTCACCAAAGACCACCCTGAAAACACAGTATTTTCTGTTGGACATTGAGGTTCTGTGTGGGAAGTTTGACCCAATTCAATTGTTGGTAGGGTTCAGAATGCTCTTTGATTGTAGGTGAACTATAAATCCCAGCAACTACAACTCCCAAATGCCATGGTCTGTTTTCCCCAAACTCATCAGTGTTCACATTTGGGCATATTGAGAATTCATGCAAATGGTGCCGAGAGCCCCCGTCCAGTAACTGGTCTATACTGCAGCGGAGAGTTCCACAGTTCCTGGAAGCCGAAATTGAAAAAAAACTGATGAAATGTGCCCCAACAAACAGCTCAAGGCCAGGACTGCTTTCAGCTTTCATCACTTTCCCTCTAGCCCTGACTTTGTATCTAATCTCTAATAAGGGTACTTGAGTTATAGTTCCCCAAGGACCGAGCGATGGATCTTGTTATTTATCAACTCAGCGCCCATCTGCTAACTTCTACCAGGAGAAAATGACTCTCTGCTGCTTGCTTTGAACTGCAAGCCACCTCCGTTTCCACGAGCCTCCCTCAGAAACCTGGGACTTCAAGTTTTCAAATAAAAAATCAATTATTTTATTAAATAATTAAGATGTGGGGTGGAAATGGGGTTTTTCTTACATGAACTTTGTATAAATAATAATGCATGAAATATTGTCTGCCTTCCCGCCTTTCCCCTTGACTTTTGCCCTAAAAGAAGTGACCAAGGACCGTTGCAATGCCTGAGGGAGGACCCCTGCCTCCCTCGAAACTCATTTTGATTATCTCACATCAGCATGGACAATAGCATATTTGGGATTTCCTTTCTCGCTCTCTGAGTCGGTCTGGCGAGATGAGGAAGTCTATATGGACATTATGATTGATTTACAAAGGGCAGGGTCGACCCCCCTGAGGTCCCCTGCCCCGATCCTGTTTGTTTCCCCACCAAAACCCATCAAGGACAGGAAAGCCTTTCTTGTGGAAATCACACCTAGCCGGCCCAGGACAAAAGCCTCACATTCCAGCTGGCCGGCTATCAGTAATCCCATCATTTCCTCCATTGTCCGCGGTCGGCCCGCCTCCTCTTTTCTGATTCGTCCATCCTCAGAAGCGAGAGAAGCACGCCGATTGGCCCTCCAGAGGCGGAGAAGCTTGCTGATTGGCCCAGGGCAGGGCGGGCCGCCAAGCCTCCTCCCAGCTGTTCAGGCTGTCAACCAATCAGCGTGAAGCCGGGCGGAGAGGGGTGGGCGGGAAATTCAAAAGGTTTTGCTGTATTTTCTCTATAAAAATGCTTGTAAATTCTTTAGCGGTATGCTTGTAGTGGAACTATTCCTACAATGCATCCGATCTCAGCTGAATCGCTAATAAAGACACCTCGGTCGCTGACTTCTTCCGCTTTGGTGAGGATTATTATTTTTAATATTTTCACTGCTGGAATTGGCTTCGCTGCCCTCACCAAGGTTCAAGGACCCTTTTCGGTACGGTCCTCAGGATCTCCTCGGCTGGGGAGGTCCTCCAAAAAAGAGGCTCGATATCACAAAGAGAGTCCACAGTGCTCTCTGGATGTAGGTGAATTAGAACTCCAAAATTCAAGGTCAATGTTGGCCAAACCCTTCCAGTATTTTCTGTTGGTCATGAGAGTTCTGTGTGCTAAGTCTGAATCAATTCCATTGTTGGTGGAGTTCAGAATGCTCTTTGATTGTAAGTGAACTATAAATCCCAGCAACTACAACTCCCACAGGACGAAAATTAATACCCTCCCCCAATCCCACCAGTATCCAAATTTGGATGTATTGGGTATTTGTGCCAAATTTGGTTCAGTGAATGAAAATACATCCTGCATATCAGATATTTACATTACTATTCATAACAGTAGCAAAATGACAGTTATGAGGTAGCAACAAAACTAATTTTATGGTAGGGGGTCACCATAACATGAGGAAGTGCGTTAAGGGGTCGTGGCATTAGGAAGGTTGAGAACCACTGTTCTAGATGTTTGATTTGTTTCTCTTGTAGATTACATTTGATCCCTCTTTCCTGATAGGGAGGAGGAGGAAGAGTTTTCCGACCTCTGCTCCGAATATACAGCAAGCCTCCCACGATGCAGTGTGCCGTTTCTGCACCCGGAAGCGACGATGCCTCCTCTAGAGAAAAGTACGAACCATATATCTAAGCTTGGGCCTTGGTCGGAGCCATTCCCCCTGATTGGACCGTTCCTCCCGGCAACGCAGCTCTCTGTGCATGCCCAGGAGGCCAGGACAGATATTTCCCTGTCTTTATCCTTGCAAGACTAGCTTCCTTGTACCTTTCTCCTTGAGCAATAGGGATTCTGGTCATGCTTCCTCCTACAGGAGTCGGAGCATCAAAGGGGGGAGTGAAGGGGTCGGTAAGATCATCCAGACATTTCTGCCTGCGTGATGTTGTTTGAGACAGTAGGGGGGACCAGGGGATCAGAGAATGAACACTATGTCCCATCTTGCTTGTTTAAGCAATTTTAATCAATAGAGAAAAGTTACTGTTTTGTATGCGTCACCTCCACTGTTCCTTTTGCTCCAGATAAACTATGTAGTGCCTTTAAAATGCTTTGAATGTAAGCCAAGAGTATTAATGTTGTGTGTGAACGGGCCACGGGGTCTTTGGGAATTTTCGTGGGTGTGATCTACCCAGTCAAAATAAAATTGTATTTTTCTTTTCCCACTTCAAGTAAGGCTTGGCGTGTTTTCTAAGGACCCATCATTACACTGGGATCATGGTATTGCTTCCTTCTCTCATCTTTCCTCCTTCTAGGGCATCCAGACCTTTTCCTCGCCGCCCTCCAAGCTGTCTCCTCCCTCGAGAACACAGTCTTCTCCCACCGCAGCCGTCGGCCCAGCACCAGATCTAGAACAGAGGGCGGTCCCAACGCAGCCAAAGTGGGTTCAGTCTCTGGCCTTTCAAAGCATGGTCCTTCCCAATTTTTTGGCATCTCTCTGGACAGAGAGAGGGACCAATCTGTTGTCAAAGGCTTGCATGTCCAGATTGATTTGGATTGTCTTTGTTTTAGGCCCAGGGCTTTGATGAGAGTCTGGCGGGCTCCCAAACAGGTCACCAAGGTCGGCAACTTTTGGGGCCAAATCCAGACTTTCTGTCGACGGAGAGCATAGTCTATGGACAGGAAGTGGCCCTTTGCCGGGAGAGGAAAGCGGCCCTCGAGAAGGAGCTGGGCGTCCGGAACAAGGAGCTGCAACATTGCAAAGAGACGCTCCTGGTTTACCAGGAAGAGAGGGACCGGTTAAGGAGGAAGGTATGGCATCAGACCAGAGGAAGGCATCCATGGGCAGCAGGTAAGGGATGCAATAGCAACACTCCTGACAGGTGTCTCCATTCAGGTCAAGGAGCTGCAGGAGGCCCTTGTGGAAGAAGAGGCCCTCCAAGAAACAGCCTCCAGCCCTCTCTGCAAACAGGTGAAGAACGGACCAATTTATATTATTATTATTATTATCATCATATACTATATTATTTTTATGATTATATTATTATTATTATTATTATTATTATTTATATTATTATTCTTTACTTTATTATAGTTGTTATTATTATTTTATTATTACTATTTACTATCTTATATTTCTTATTTTATTATTTTTATTTTATTGTATTATTATTATTACTAACTTGGGTACCTGGCAGTGCCCGGGTTATTTGAAAAGGCATTGTTTGTTTTGGGGTGTTAGGTAATATCATGTAGTTAATTGTGTTGTTGTTCATTCGTTCAGTCGTCTCCGACTCTTCGTGACCTCATGGACCAGCCTACGCCAGAGCTCCCTGTCGGCCGTTACCACCCCCAGCTCCCTCAAGGTCAGTCCAGTCACTTCAAGGATGCCATCCATCCATCTTGCCCTTGGTCGGCCCCTCTTCCTTTTGCCTTCCACTTTCCCCAGCATAATCGTCTTCTCTAGGCTTTGCTGTCTCCTCATGATGTGGCCAAAGTACTTCATCTTTGCCCTAATATTCTTCCCTCCAGTGAGTAATCGTGCTTTATTTCCTGGAGTATGGACTGGTTTGATCTTCTTGCAGTCCAAGGCACTTTCAAAATTTTTCTCCAACACCACAGTTCAAAAGCATCTATCTTCCTTCGCTCAGCCTTCCCTAAGGTCCAGCTCTCACATCCGTAGGTTACTACAGGGAATACCATGGCTTTGACTAGGCGGATCTTTGTTGCCAGTCTGATGTCTCTACTCTTTGCTATTTTATCGAGATTGGACATTGCTCTCCTCCCAAGAAGTAAGCGTCTTCTGATTTCCTGGCTACAGTCTGCATCTGCAGTAATCTTTGCACCTAGAAATACAAAGTCTGTCACGGCCTCCACGATTTTCTCCCTCTATTTTCCAGTTGTCAATAATTCTTGTTGCCATAATCTTGGTTTTTTGGATGTTTAGCTGCAACCCAGCTTTTGCGCTTTCTTCTTTCACCTTGATTAGAAGGCTCCTCAGCTCCTCCTCGCTTTCGGCCATCAGAGTGGTGTCATCTGCATATCTGAGGTTGTTAATGTTTCTTCCAGCAATTTTCACCCCAGCTTTGCATTCATCCAGCCCCGCACATCGCATGATGTGTTCTGCATACAAGTTAAAAAGGTTGGGTGAGAGTATGCAGCCTTGCCGTACGCCTTTCCCAATCTTGGACCAGTCTGTTGTTCCGTGGTCAGTTCTGACTGTTGCTACTTGGTCCTTGTACAGATTCCTCAGGAGAGAGACAAGGTGGCTTGGGATGCCCATCCCACCAAGACTTGCCACAATTTATTATGATCCACACAGTCAAAGGCTTTAGAATAGTCAATGAAGCAGAAGTAGATGTTTTTCTGAAACTCCTGCCTTTCTCCATTATCCAGCGGATATTGGCAATTTGGTCTCTCGTTTCTCTGCCGTTTCTAAACCCAGCTTGTACATCTGGCAATTCTCTTGTCATGTATTGCTGGGGTCTACCTTGCAGGATCTTGAACATTACCTTACTGACATGTAAAATAAGTCCACTGTACGAAAGTTTGTACATTCTTTAGCATTTCTCTTTTTTGGTATGGGGATATATAAGTTGATTTTTTCCAGTCTGATGGCCATTCCTGTGTTTTCCATATTTGCTGGCATATGGCATGCATCACCTTGACAGCATCATCTTTTAAGATTTTAAACAGTTCAGCTGGGATCCCGTCGTCTCCTGCTGCCTTGTTGTTAGCAATGCTTCTTAAGGCCCATTCAACCTCACTCCTCAGGATGTCTGGTTCTAATTCATTCACCACACAGTCAAAACTATCCTCAATATTATTATCCTTCCTATACAGATCTTCTGTATAGTCTCGCCACCTTCTCTTGATCTCTTCAGCTTCTGTTAGTCCCTGCCATCTTTGTTTCTTATCATACCAATTTTTGCCTGAAATTTACCTCCAATGTTTCTAATTTTCTGGAAGAGGTCTCTTGTCCTTCCTATTCTGTTGTCTTCCTCCACTTCCATGCATTGCTTATTTAAAAATAGTTCCTTATCTCTTCTGGCTAACCTCTGGAATTGCGCATTTAACTGGGCATATCTCCCCTTTTCACTGTTTCCTTTTGCTTTCCTCCTTTCTTGGGCTACTTCCAGTGTCTCAGCAGACAACCATTTTGCCTTCTTGGTTTTCTTTTTCTTTGGAACGTACTTTGTTGCCGCCTCCTTGACAATGTCGCGGACTTCTGTCCATAGTTCTTCTGGGACTCTGTTTACTAAATCTAGTCCTTCAAATCTGTTCTTCACTTCCACTGTATATTCGCTAGGAATGTTAGTGAGATCATATCTAACTGGTCTGTGTATTTTCCCTGATCTCTTTAGTTTTATTCTAAATTGGGCAATAAGAAGTTCATGATCTGAGCTACAGTCAGCCCCAGGTCTTGTTTCACCGACTGGATGGATGTCCGCCACCTTTGGCTGCAAAGGATGTAGTCAATCTGATTTCGGTGTTGACCATCTGGTGAGGTCCATGTATAAAGCCGTCTTTTAGATTGTTGGAAGAGAGTATTAGTTATACACAGCGAGTTTTCCTGGCAAAATTCTATCAGCCTGCGTCCCGCTTCATTTTGTTCTCCCAGACCATGCTTGCCTGTGATCCCAGTTGTCATTTGACTTCCCACCTTGGCATTCCAGTCTCCTGTAATGAAAATAATGTCTCTTTTTGGTGTATTATCCAGTAGGTCCTGCAGATCCTCATAGAACTGATCTACTTCTGCTGCTTCAGCAGCTGTGGTTGGGGCGTATATTTGGATCACTGTAATGTTGAAAGGCTTTCCTTGCACTCGAATTGAGATCATTCTGTCATTTTTTGGGTTGTATCCAAGCACCGCTTTAGCTAATTTCTTATTAATTATGAAGGCTACTCCATTTCTTCAATGTTCCTCTTGTCCGCAGTAGTAGATCTGGTGGTCATCTGATGTGAAGTGGCCCATTCCAGTCCATTTCAGTTCGCTGACCCCCAGAATGTCTATCTTTAGTCTTGACATCTCACCAATAACAACATCCAATTTGCCCTGGCTCATAGATCTTACATTCCAGGTTCCTATGGTGTGTTGATCTTTAGAGCATCGGATTCGTCGTTCACCTCCAGTACCGTCGGCCGCTAGCCTTCCTTTCGGCTTTGAGCTAGCTGCGTCATCACATCTGGGGCTAGTTGAACTTATCCTCTTCTCCTCCCCAGTAGCATTTTGGCCATCTTCCGACCTGGGAGTCCCATCTTCCAATGGCATACCGACATATCTCTGGTTGTACTGGTCCATTTAGTTTTCTTGGCAAGGATACTGGAGTGGTTTGCCATTGCCTTCCCCAGGGATCACGCTTGGTCTGACCTCTCTGCCACAACCGTCCCGTCTTGGGTGGCCCTTCACGGTTTCGCTCATGACATCCATTGAGGTGCTCAAGCTCCAGCGCCCCGACAAGGCGGTGATCCTTTGCTGGAGGTAGTTAATTAGTAACACTATTTATTAGGAAAAAGCCAATCTTAGATTTCATTTTTATGAATGCTCCCATTAGAAAATACATAACAATGTGGGTGAACTACAACTCCCAAAATCAAGGTCAAAGCCAGTTTTTTATTTGTTTTTTATGAATGTCCCCATTAGAGAGAAAAAAAATCATAAGGATATGGGTGAGCTACTATTCCCAGAATTGCGGGTCAATCCTCCCCAAATCAGGCTTGTATGCACAGCTGGCCCTGTTGGGTCTGCATGCCAAGTTTGGTCCAGATCTGTTGGCAGCTGGGTTGAGTGCTCTCTGAATAAGAGTGAACTACAACTCCCGTATGCCAAGGGCAGTCATCCTTAAATCCTGCCAGTATTTACAGTTGTCCATGTTGGGTCTGTGTGCCAAGTGTCGTCCATATCCATCATCAGCTGGGTTGAGTGCTCTCGGGATGCAGATGAACTACACCTCCCAAAATCAAGGTCATTTCCCCCAAACCCCTGCAGTATGTTCAGTTGCTCATGGGGTTTCTCTGTGCCAAGTTTGGTCCTGGTCCATTGTCGGAGGGGGGCACAGTTTCTCTGGATGCAGGTAAAGTACATCTACCAGACTACAAGAGCAATGACCCCCAAACTCCACCTGTATTCACAGTTGGGGATGTTGGGTCCGTGTGCCAAATTTGGTCCAGATCCATCACTGATGGGGTTCAGAGTGCTCTGTATGCAGGGTGATCTACAATCCCTACGCAGGTGGGTTGGTCCCCCACAAACACCTCTAGTATGTTCTGTTGGTCACCAGGGTTATGTGTGCCATGTTTAGTCCAGATCCGTCATTGGTGGGCATTCAGAATGCTCTGGGTGCAGGGTGAACCCACGTGCGTAGGTCAGTTCCCAAAACCCCTCCAGTATGTTCTGTTGGTCATGGGGGTTTTGTGTCCCAAGTTTGGCCCAGGCCCGTAATTCATGGGGATCTCAGTGGTCTGTGGAAATGGGTGAAGGTGCTGCAAATCCCATTGTCTGTGGTCCATCCTCTCCTAACCCTCACCAGGACATAAAGTTCATCATAGGGAGTCTGTGTACCAAATTTGGTCTAGGTGCATCATTTGTGGGGGTCGCAGTGGTCTATGGGAGCTGAATTGGGTGAAGGTACTGCAAATCCCATCATCTGTGGTTCGTCCTCCTCCAAATTTCACCAAGGCGTATAGTGGATCCATTGTTGGTTGGGTTCACAGCTCTCTCTGGATGTAGGTGAACTACAACTCCTATGACTCAAGGTCATTTCCCCCAAACCTGGTCATGGGGGTTCTGTGTGCCAAATGTGGTCCAGGTCAATTGTTGGTGGTGGGTCACCATGCTCTGCCTTGATGCAGGGTGAACTACAACTTCCGTCCTGTTGAGTCAGTCCCCCAAAACCCTCCAGTCTGTTCAGTTGCTGTTCAATTCTTCTGTGTTTGCTGTGTGCCATAGGAAAGGGTAGGAAAGGGTTAAGGGAGAGGCAGTGAGTGGAGTCATGCAAATTCCACACAAGGAACCCTGGGATGCCTGCCTGTGGTGGAGGAAACATGTAAAATCTAGGATGAAATTCTCCCTGAATGAAGACATTCCTTGGGTGGTGGGCCGTAGTGTTTGGGGAAGACATTGGCAGCATTTGGGCTACAAGTTCATGGTGCTCGTCTGCTTTATATAACCTGCAATGTCAGTTGAGGGAGTACTTTTGGAGGTTTATCAGCACTTGGAACTGTAGCTTGTTTATGGAGGCCAGAGGCTGCTTGTGTAAGTGGACACCTCCACCACATACACATTTTTGTTTATTATGTGTATGTATGTATAGATTTATTTATTATATGTATTATATATATATATTATATTATTATATGTATTATTCTCTTTCTATTTACAATATTTTATTTATTTTATTACTATTATGTTTCTTTTTAGCCTGCTTTTTCTTACCACAAAGGAAACTCAAAGCAGCATTATACAATTGTTGTTGTTGTTTTTATTCATGCCACACTTTTTCTTTCCACATAGGAGACTCAAAGTGACATTATAAAAATATTATTATATGTATTGTTACTAGGCTTACGACTATATGCATTATAATATTGTATTATTATGTTTATTTTTATCTTAATGATTATTATGTTAATTATTATGTTAATTATTACATTTCTTGTATGTAGACTTACTCTGATATTTATCAGTATTATATTTATTATTATATGCATTAATATATTTATTATATGTATTATCCGTATTGTTACCATTCAAAAATGGCAAAACAGCAGCATTAGCAGATCAGAAGCTTGAGTGCAGCAGTAGAGCCATTGAGCTTCAACAATTTGGAAGCAGAGTCAAGCTTCATTAAAGACAATTCAAAGAACTAGATTGCTGAGTGAATGAATGGAATGCAAAGAACATAACATAATCGATTTCACACTTGTAGGATCAAGTGGCTGTTGCAACCCAGAGGTTCCTTCACTGCGTCCAAAGCGGCACCAGCATCCAGCCTACGCAGGGCTTTTCCTCCCCACAAGTCTCTTCTCCAGCAGAAATCAATGGCAAAGACCCCCAAGAAGAGCAAAGGGACCAGCTGCACAGGTAAGCGATGGAGGGAGAAGCTCCCCAAGTTAAAAACATCTGACTCACAAATGACTCCTAGTTAAAACGGGGCTGGGCTGGATAGCCTTTGGGTGCCCCTTCCACATCTATGATACCACATCTTTCTGATATAGGCCATCCCTGAGTTACAAACATCCGACTTACAAATGACCCCTAGTGAAGAACAATGGGGCTGAAAGGAAGGGAAATTCACCCCTGGATGGTGTTTAGAGGTCCCAACTTTATGATTCCATGATATACTCAACATCTCTCTCAATCATACCTCTCTGTCTATGAGTACTTATCATTATCTGTGACTGGATGACACTCTGTCGGAAGGGATCAGAAGGTGCCTTGCTCCATGGCAGAAGGGGATCTGTTTGGGTGTCCCTCTTTTTTTGGGGGGGGGGGATCTCTTCCAACTACAATTCTGTATTTATTATATTATATCTACCTCAAACACATCCATTTATCATTATCGGTGACTGGATGGCCCTCTGTTGGGAGGGATCCGATAATGCCTTCCCACCTGGCAGAAAGAAGGGAGCTGGGCTGGACGACACCACAGGGGTGTTGACCTTTCCCTGTGTGTTGCACCTCAGCTGGAGTTCACCTTGCTCAAGCACCCACCAGGAAGCCAAACGTAGTAATAAACAGTTTAGTGATAAAGCACACACAGTAAAAGAGTAAAAATCCAAATATCTAAAGGGAGAAAGAGTCCCAAAAAGCCAGAGATAAATCTCCAATGCAAAGGTTAAAGCATGAACATTAATCCAAGGTGCATGGAACAAACATGAGCTTGATTAATCCCCTGTTCTGACTTACAAACAAAGGCAAGCAGTTAGTTCCAGTTTTTAAAAAACCAACACAGTCTTGGTCACGGCTTACCAGAAATTTTATAGCACAGCCTCTGACCTTGTATACTAGCCCATCAGCTGGAATAAAGACTCGTGAGCTCTGACTTGCATCCAAACTCCTTTGGAGATTTATTCTTCAGTCATTGCTACATATAACTATTTAGAGGCCTGCTATCAGTATACAGAGATACTCACAAACATAGCAAGACACTCACACAATGAGGATGATAATGGATTCCAGATGCAGAGAGATCATGGCAAGGAATCAAAGATGGAAGAGAGAAATCCCATGGCAGAGAAGAAGTGCACAAACAAGTCACTCCCATTTCCATCTATTTGTCATTATCTGTGACTGGATGGCCCTCTGCCGGGAGGGATCGGATGGTGCCTCCCTGTCTGGATCCCTTCCAACTTCACTATCCTATGATATACCCATTATATACACATCTCTCAATCATTATCTATTTATTATTATCTGCTACTAGATAATTATAATTAGATAGGATTGAGATATGGAAAGATATGATAAATATAGAACTGTAATCAGAAGAGACCCCCCCCCTCCAAAAGATGGACACCCAATCTGATCCTCTTCTGCCAGGAAGGAAGGCACCATTTGATCCATCCAAATAGAGGGCCATCCAGTCACAGATAATAGATATGATTAAGGTGTATATGATGGATATATTATAGTAAAGTTGGAAAGGACCTCTAAAGGCCAGTCAGTCCAGCCAGGCAGGATGGCACCATCTGATCCCTCTCGACAGAGAGCCATCCAGTCAGAGATAATGATAAACAGATAGGGTTTGATGTGTATATGTTGGGTATATGATGGGTATATTATACAATCATAGAGTTGGATGGGACTTTTAAAGGCCATCTAGTTTGTCACTTGGAGGTGTGCAATTTTTCCGTTAGTCGTCGTAAATTGGATCAAATTCATTATAAAAACTTTGAAAATTCCCAAAAGATCCGTGGGTAAGCAAAATGTTCTGAAACTTGGTGGGCTAGCTGTGATCAATGTGTTCTATAAATGTAGCAAGTCTCACCCCGATAACGGTACAAATGAGGGAGAAAGGAGCCCCTGAAGTTCCCTATTTGCACAATTACTTGAACAAAAAAACTCACTCTTGTTATAGTAACAAAGTTTTTACTAACAATACTTTAGAAACACTTTAGAAATGAAACCCTGGCACCCCCCAGTTTTGTAACGACTTTTGAACATTTTTATAATCAATCACACATGCCTGGCAATAATGTTTTTAAGAACGCTGCTCGTTCTGTTGCTTGGCTGTTGCTTTGCTTCCTTCTCAGCTCCATCCGGGGGCTCCAAGAGCTCAACCAGCTGCTGCGGGTGACTCTGGAGGAGACCAAGGGCCGCGCCGAGCGCATCAGCCTCGCTCTTGGGTGCAGCGAGGCGGGCAGCACTGCATTGCGCTTGGCCGTAAAGTACAGGTAAAGGGCGAGGAGCTTGTCTCACCACTGGGTCATGCAACACAACCCCTGTGCGTCGCAATGGGACCAGTATTCCAAAAATGGTAAAGCAGCAACAAGTGCAGCAGTTCTGCAGGACAGAAACCTCTTGTGCCAGCAGTAGAGCCATTGAGCTCCAGCAATTTACAGCATTTTGGAAAATGGCATTCATAATGTTTTGAGAAAACCAGGAAATTTCACTGGCTTTTAGAAGCATGACCCTTTTGGAGATTAATTGACATTCACACTATTTGGAATAATCATAACCTTTGGAAAAGCATGACCTTGTTAGAGAGCATAACCTTTTGTAAAGTATTATCTTCCTAAGAAGAATTTTAAAAACCCGCTTGAGTAAAATCTTCTCTTCAGTGGTATATATCCACATGTACTTATGCAAGGCAATATGGTTTCTCAGCTGTTAAACAGATATACATAGATATTTCTTTGAACTGTTAGTAACAAAGATATGCCAATGCACAAAACAACAGCAGAGTTTCAGAAGTGTTATTTCAGTTGTCCAAAAGCATATACTCTCCCTTAAAATATCTTGGTTTAAATCATGCTCTAAAAAGACCAAAAATAAGTAGTCTTCGTTAAAATAATACAGTTGATTTACTCACAAACTTCATGTATTCAGCATACAGGTACATTGCTTATCAATCCAGTTACAGATAGGAATGGAAGTAGTTTCTCTGTAGGTAACTCAGGGCCTCTTTCTCAGAATCTCAACAGTCCAAAGTCTGAAGCATCTCTCTGGTCTGAGAGTCTAATGGAGTTTGTACAGTCTGAAAGTCTAATGGCATATTTCTTTCTAAAATGGATTCTGAGATCTGAGGGCAGTCCCAGATCTGATCACATGGTCTGCAGCCTCTCCCACAACACAGAGTTAAGGAAAACTGCATATCAATACACACATATACAATACAGTAAGTAATCTGAATTTTATACAAACAAAATACTATTAGAGGTTTGAAGAGGTTGTTATTTCCAACATTCCTATCTAACCATGCTTGACTACATGTCCATTAGAACTGTATTTTCAACACCAGGTTTTGCATAGTGGGATTACAGCCAATGCATTCCTATCTAACAGTGCATGACCACATATCCATTAGAACTGTATTTTCAACCAGTTTTACACAACAGGGTTACAGGCAATGCATTCCTATCTAACCATGTGTTGCACCCTGGCCTCATGTCATCTTTGCACCCAGCACCACACAAAAGTCCAGTGTTACTAACTAAACAGTTTATTGAAGAAAGCAAATATAAAAAGGCAAAAGGCAATATAAAAAGCAATGTCCAAAAAGCAATAGGAAAAGAAGCTTTCAAAAGGCAATAGTCCAAACATCAAAGTTCTGTTCAAAAGAGACAAGGTATATGAAAAAACAGAAATCAAGTAACATAGGTAAAACTGGAAACTTGAATCATGGACTTGGGAGCCGAGACTGGAAAGCCATCCTTATGGCAACGTTGTCTCCTCTGAGAGGCACCAAGTAAACACCACTTAATTTAAGTCTGATCAAGAAGCCATAAGAACATGCCAAACGCACCTGGCCTGGGAACAAGCACAGGAATCCCAAACAACGGCCTCCTTGGCCTGCAATTCTCTCTGATCGCCAGCAGACTCTTCATTCTGAAAGCCATCAATTCCCTCATCCTCTGATACATCAGAAAAATCCTCTGCCGCTTGCTGAGCCACAACACTAAGAGGGCATTATCTGCCTAACAGAATTATCCTCTTGTTGCTGCTTTACATTTTTAATGCTCCTTTTCCTTTTTGGAAAGTACTCTCCAACTCTTTTGAGGTCCTTCACAATAGTATGCCTTGGAGTTGATCCCAAAATCTCTCCTCAAATTTTCCAGCGAAAACTGCTTGGAAGCCTATGAAGCTCTCTTTTCACTGAGGACAGTGGAACGGGAAGAGGAAGGAGGATCTCCTTGCGCAGGTGAGTGTTATGGGTAACCAGCTTGAGAATTTTACCTTTAAAGGAGAACTATAATTGTGACAAGACGTTTTAATGAGGAAGGATAAATTAAGGGGTAGAGGTGGCAGCAGTTTGCTTTTGCCTGAACCGAGATGTGGCTTCTCCCTCCTGTTGCTGAGTTATATGACTGCAAAGCACTTTTGCACTTTAAACTGTTTGCAGGAAGGGAATTAAGCATGTTACCAAAATCAGTTATCTGCCACAAGTGGGCAGTGTAGGTCCATAGCCCCACATGCCATGCTACTTTATTTAATTATTTATTTAAAACATTTATATTCCGCCCTTCTCACCCCGAAGGGGACTCAGGGTGGAGCACAGCATATACACGGCAAACATTCAATGCCGGGACACAAATTCACATACAATACATAAGCATTTATAAAAATTATCAAAATATTAAAATACACCATTTAAAACTGTCCTAGTCATCCGCGTCACATCTAATTGGCCTGTTCATCTTTCCTATTGCTGCTTTATTGCCCTGTCCCGAAAGCTTGGTCCCACAGCCAAGTTTTTACCATCCTTTTAAAGGACAGGAGGGAGGGGGCCGACCTGATCTCACCAGGAAGGGAATTCCATAGCCAGGGAGCAATCACCGATCGTCCTCACCAATCGTGCCTGTGACAATGGCGGGACGGAAAGCAGGGCCTCCCCGGAGGATCTTAATCTCCACAATGGTTCATAGGGGGAGATGCGTTCGGACAGGTAATTTGGGCCGGGGCCGTTTAGGCCAAAGCTAGCACTTTAAATTGTGCAGGTAGCAAACTGGCAGCCAGTGGAGCTGGCGTAACATGGGAGTTGTATGCTCCCTGTATGCCGCCCCAGTTATTAACCTGGCTGCCTCTCATTGGACTATCTGAGGCTTCCGAGCAGTCTTCAAAGGCAACCCCACGTAGAGTGCGTTGCAGTACTCTATCCTAGAAGTAACGAGAGCGTGAACCACTGTGGCCAAGTCTGACTTCCCAAGGTACGGGTGCAGCTGGTGCACAAGTTTTAATTGTGCAAACGCTCCCCTGGCCACCGCTGCAACCTGGGATTCCAGGCTCAGTGATGAATCCAGGAGAACTCCCAAGCTGCGAACCTGTGCCTTCAAGGGGAGTGTAACCCCATCCAGAACAGGTTGCGACCCTATACCCTGTTCAGCCTTGCGACTGACCAGGAGGACCTCTGTCTTCTCTGGATTCAACTTCAGTTTCGTTGCCCTCATCCAGACCGTCACAACGGCCAGGCACCGGTTCAGGACTTGGACAGCCTCCTTAGCATTTGGTGGAAATGAGTGATAGAGTTAGACGTCATCTGCGTACAGATGGCATCAAACTCCAAGGCTCCGGATGATCTCACCCAGCAGCTTCATGTAGATGTTAAACAACATGGGGGACAATACTGAGCCCTGCGGGACCCCACAGGACAATGGCTGTGGGGCCAAGCAGGAGTCCCCCAGCAACACCTGGGTACGACCCTCCAGGAAGGACTGGAGCCACTGCAGAACAGTACCTCCAAGACCCATCCCCACGAGGCGCCCCAGAAGGATACTGTGGTCTACGTTATCAAAGGCCGCTGAGAGGTCCCGGAGAACCAACAGGGACACACTCCCCCTGTCGAGCTGTCTGCAGAGATCATCCACTAAGGCGACCATGGCTGTCTCAGTTCCATGTCCCGGTCTGAAACCTGACTGTGACGGATCCAGATAATCAGTTTCGTCCAAGAACCCCTGGAGCTGTGAGGCAACCACACGCTCCAAGACTTTGCCCAAAAAGGGGAGATTGGAAACTGGCCGAAAGTTGTTCAAATCAGTGGGATCCAGTGATGGCTTTTCAACAGCGGTTTTATCATAGCCTCTTAGGCTCACTGGAATTTTGCCCTCCCAAAGGGAGGCATTCACCACCACCTTGACCCACTCTGCCAAACCCCCTCTGGCTTCCTTTATTAGCCAGGAAGGACAGGAGTCCAGGATGCACGTGGTTGCTCTCGCCTCTCCAAGAATCTTGTCAACGTCCTCGGGTTGCAGAAATTGAAATGAATCCATTAAAACCAGACAAGCAGGTGCTCTCGCTACATCTTCAGAGACTGCAGTAACTGTGGCGTCCAGGTCGGAGCAAATCAGAGCGACTTTATCCACAAAGAACCGAGCAAATGCCTCACAGCGAGCTGTCGAAGGGCCAGGGACCCTGTCATAGGTGGCAGGGTTCAACAAACCTCTGACTGTTCGAAACAGCTCAGCTACACGATTCCTCGCGGATGCAATGCTGGCCGCAATGTGAGATTTACTTGCAGCCTTCACTGCCGCGGAGTACGCCCTTGCATAGGTGCACGCCCGTGTTTGGCCTGACTCGCTGTGAGATGATCGCCATACGCCCTGTAGACTCCTCTTTGTTCGCTTTGTTGCTGCCAGCTCCTCATTGAATCCAGGGGCTGGCTTGAGAGACAGGAAAAAAATGACCGGATTTGAAGTCAATAGCACAAGTTTTATTCATAGGGTCAGGTGGATGACAGAACAGCATAATCACCAAAAGAACTGACATATAATAGAGTCCAAAGCATTTTATCCCATTTAGGAACTGATTGGCTCAGTAATGATGCCTCCTAGGATCTGCCTTTTAATTGGCTGAGACTTCCTCCTGATGTTACAGACCGGGACGGAGAGGAAGACAGAGCCGCTGGGAATGGTGGGGAATGGGCCCCATTGTCCAGACTAGAAAGAATGAGTATTGAGTACTAATTGACTTTGGAAGCTTGGAAGACTTTCTACACAAAGAGCGAAGTTTGGGAAACGAGAAAGTCAATCAAGAGGGCAAATAAATTCCTTGATGAGTCCTGGGGGGTTATTTTTGTGTGTGTTTATGTGCGTGTGTGTGTGTGTGTATGTATATATATATATATATATATATACATACATACACACACACACACACACACACACACACACACACACACACACACTACCCCTTCTGCTTATTAATAAGATACGAGGTATAAGCCCAAAGTAGTTCCAAAGTATGTTGTCAATGAAGGGTGTGGGGCCTCTTTGGGTGGACATTGCCTCTGGCCCGAGAGGCTTCCTGCCAAAGCAATTCGATGCTTGGTAAATGTTTACATTAATCCTTCTAGGAATATCTGGGGTTGGGCTGAGCTCTAAAAATATTGTAAATTCAACACAGAGAAAAGACTAACAGGGACTCCCACTGCCAACCTGGGCCAGTTGAGCAGACCTCTTCCACCTTCGGTTCTGCAGCCAGTTGGGCCTCCGACTCCCAGAAGCCCTTGTTTCCAGCTTGTCCATTGGTCAGGGATTCTGGGAGCTGGAGTCCAAAAAGACCACAGGTGGAAGAGGCCTGATTCAGAGTCTTTTGCTTCCATTCAGGAAAACCCAGCGACTTGCCTCACCGGATACAGCCAGCCGTGACGGAGAAAGCGCGGCGTTTCCTGCAGAGCCATAGTGGAGTGGAGGGTGGGAGCGTCTTCTCTAAAGAGAGGTATGGAAACAAGGGATGATGAATGTAGGGAGCAGTGTCTCTAAATGGCTAGGGAGAACACATCAGGTGGAAAATGCTGTGTTAGAAAGAAAGGCATTGTATGTAACTCCATTGTTGAAAATACAGTTCTAATGGACATGTGGTCACAGAACCTTCCACTGAAGGATTAAACGAGTGGAGATGTGGGCCTAAAGGGACAGCTGAGTCATGACCATGTGACAGGCATGACGAGAATGGCATCATGTCCTGTGGTCACTTTGGAAGTGACAGACATGTGCAGAGTCTCTTTCCATGATGTCCCCTTGCCCTAATGTCTTCTTGACATGCGGTGCTCTTTCTATGATGCTCTATTGGCATGTGGATCTATTGCCATGATTCATTGCCATGGTTCTTGTATTGTGAGTATATCTCTGAATATACTGATAGCAGAACTGAGGTGTAAATAGCTACATATAGCAATGAATGAAGAATAAAGCCTCGAAAGGAGTTTTGATGAAAGCCATGTTAGCAAGGGATAGAAGAGAAGAAAGCAGAGTATAAAGCACACACAACATCCCTGCTAGGTAGGCATGTGAATTCAATCCTATTACAGCCTCCTCCTCCAGCTGTGCAATGGGACGGACTGTGTCCAAAGCAAACAGTTAATTCCAATCCCCCAAAATACCAGTGTCTTGGTTACAATGAGCAGACTGTTTATAGCACAGCCTTGTATAGTAGCTCACCAACTTAAGTAAGCACACTTGCATCCAAAGTCCTTTGGAGATTTATTCTTTACTAGCTTTACCCGCCACGCGTTGCTGTGGCCAACCTTCTCTCCCTCTTTCTCTCCTTCTTTTAGTCCTTCCTTCATTTCCTTTTCTTCTTTCCTTTCTTCCTTCTCTACCTGTTTACTTCCTTCCTTAGCTTTTTGCTCCCATCCTTCCTTCTCTTTATTTCTTCCCTTCCCTCCCTCTTTCTCTCCTTCTTTCTCTTCTTCCTTTGCTCCGTCTTTCCTCCCTTCCCTTTTTTCTTTCCTTCTCTCCTCCTTCCTTCTCTTCCTCTTTCCTTCCTCCTCCCTTTTTATTTTCCTTCCTCTTTCTCTCCTTTCTTCCCTATCTATCTCTTTCCTTCCTTCGCTCTTGACTTCCAGACTTCCTTTTCTTTCTTTCTTTTCTTCCCTCCCTTTCTCTTCTTCCTTCGCTTTTTTCCTCTCTTCCCTTCCCAAATTCCCCTTCCTTCTCCTTCCTTCCTTCCTTCCTTCCTTCCTTCCTTCTCCCTTCCCTTCCTCTTCTTTTTTTTCCTCTTCTTTCCTTTCCTCCTTCCTTCCCTTTCTCCCTTCTTCCATCCTCCTTCTCTCTCCTTTTCTTTCTTCCTCCTTTCTCTTTCATATCCTTCTCAACTTCTCCTTCCTTCCTTCATACACCTTCCCTCCCTCCCTCCCTCCCTTCCTTCCTTTCCTTCCTTCCTTTCTCCGTTCTTTCCCATCCTCCTTCTCTCCCTTTCTTCTTTCTTTCCTTCCTTTCTTCTTTCATATACCTTCTCAACTTCTCCTTCATTACTTCCTTCATACACCTTCCCTTCCCTACTTTCTTCTTTCTTCCTTCCTTCCTTCCTTCCTTCCTTCCTTCCTTCCTTCCTTCACCTTCCCTTCCCACTTTTCTTCTTTCTTTCCTTCCTTCCTTCCTTCCTTCCTTGCTATTTACACCCCTTCCCCTCATTTCCGTCCTTCCTTCCCTCTCCCGCTTCCTTCCCTCCTTCCCCTTCATCACCGATGGCGGAGCCAGACGGCGGTGTGCGGGGGCGGCCTGGGCCGGGCGTTGTGGTGGCCGAAGGCGCGCAGCGGGGGCCTCCTGGGCAGGGGCTTCTCGGGCAGCCTCTGCAGGTCGCGCAGCATCCTGGCCCCCAGCAAGCACAGCTGGCCAAGCTCCAACTCCCAGGCCGGGGCTTCAGCGTCAGCAGGTAGGCCGCATTCTAGAACTACAGTTCCCAGAGTGCATTGCGTGTGTACTTCCTCCCCTGGGCACTGCGCATGCTCAGTTGGTTTTTGTAATTGTGAGTTTGTTGAAATGTTGTTTGGAATTTTGATGAGTGTTGTGCATACCTTGTGGGTTGAGGTATGTGCACGGCAAATTTGGTGAGTTTTCGTCAGGGGGGTTTTGCGTTTTGCTGTCCCGTTGAACGCCCTTTCCCTTTTTATATATATAGATTCAGTTGCTATTTATAATTATTTACAGGTCTTCTCTTAGTATACAGCGATACAACCTCACACAACAAGGATGGCGATGGATTACAGATGCAGAGAGATCATGGCAAGGAGTCAAAGATGGCAGAGAGTAAGCACATGGCAAAGAGGAAGTGCACATACAAGCCAATCCCATTCTTCCCTCCAAGAAATGACTCAGCTGTCCCTCTAGGATAGGCATTTTGGCCTACAACTCCTAGAAATTCCAGCCAGTTTACCAGCTGTTAGGATTTCTGGGAGTTGAAGGTCAAAACATCTGGGAACCCACAGGTTGAGAACCACTGCTTTAGGATCACATCTATATTCTCTTAACCCTTTCAGTGGACTGTGTTGTGAACCCATGTCTATAAGAACTGTATTTTTCCATACACCGGAGGAACATACAATACGTTCATGCTATTACAGCTATTTCTACCTGACAAGCCAGAGCTCGAGCACCTTATTGCGGTGAACAGCAAACAAGGTCAGAGCTCTAAATCTCTGCAAACTACTGATCAAGACTGCAGTGTTTTTTTGTTTGAGTTAATGGCTTGCCTTGCGGGACATTGAGCCCCATGCACAGCTCAGGGAGGGCATGGAAAGGAGATAATCATTCACATAGCTTCCTATGAGTTTTTGTTTGCGTATTCTAACCTGCTATTTCCTGCTTTGTGCATTTTCTTTTCCCAGCCCTTCGGAGGAGAATGGGGATAGAAAGGGGCTCTTGAGGGCCTACATCCAGCGCCTGAGAGGTGAGCAGCGCGCCCTGAAGCTACCTCCGTACCACCCAAAGGTCCGTGCTGGGATCGAGGCCGGAGAGGCAGAAGAGGCACGGAAAACTCTGCAAGAGGCCCTCCCTTCCGGAAATGCATCCTACATAATGGAGAAGGCACATTTGCTGGAGGAGCTGCAGGCAGCCAGGGTGAGATTTGAATAAAAGGGGGCATGTCCCTGAGGAGTGTCAGGGGATTGGAGGAGAGGAGAGGAGAGAGAGGGGTTTGCATTAAAAGGGGTGTGTCCCTGAGGAGTGTCAGGGGAGAGGAGGAGAGGAGAGGGATTGGCATGTCCCTGAGTAGTGTCAGGGGATTGGAGGAGAGGAGAGAGATGGATTTGCATTAAAAGGGGTGTGTCCCTGAGGAGTGTCAGGGGAGAGGAGGAGAGGAGAGGGATTGGCATAAAAGGGGGCGTGTCCCTGAGGAGTGTCAGGGGAGAGGAGGAGTGTCAGTCTAGCAAGGAGGGAATAGAAGGAGGGAATAGAGACAAATTTGAATAAAAGGGGGCATGTTCATGAGAAATATCAGGGGATAGAAGGAGATAAGAGAAGGATTTGCATAAAAGGGGGCGTGTTCATGAGAAATATCAGGTAATAGGAGGGAATAGAGAGGGATTTGCATAAAAGGGGCATGTCCCTGAGAAGGGTCAGGTGATAGGAGAGATGGATTTGCATAAAAGGGGGCATGTCCCTGAGGACAGGTAGGTGATAGGAGAGATGAATTTGCATAAAAGTGGGCATGTCCCTCAGAAAGGTCAGGTGATAGGAGAGAGGGATTGGCATAAAAGGGGGCATGTCCCTGAAAAGTGTTAGGGGATAGGTGGAAAGAATTGAGATGGATTTGCTTTAAAAGGGGCGTGCCCACTTGTGTTGTTCTTTTTCAGGGGGCCTTGGCGGAGCTAAAGGGCAGGCTGCACATGGCAGAGAAGGAGAAGCAGCGGCTGGGGCTCCAGACCTACACCCTCCGTTCCCAGGAGGCTGCCTTCCAGCTGATGGTGCAGATCATCCAGGAGGAACGGGATGAGCTCCAAGGAAAACAACAGCAGCAGGCCCTCTCCTCTGGAGAAAGCAGTCCCACCAGCAGCAGTGACTCAGAGGTAGGTCTCAGTTGTCATTGGGGTCACCTCCAGGAAGGAGTTGCTTTTGGAATTGATATCGAGCTCTTTTTGGGGGCCCCTCCAGAGGGGAGAGCCCTAGGACTACACCAAAGAGAGTCCTGGATACCTTGGTGAGATTTTTCCGGAAGCCAATCCAAGAGCGCAGGAATATTTTTAATATGAAATCAGCTCACCAGAGGCGGAAGAAGTCCAGCGATCGAGGTTTATTTGCAATTCAGCTGAGTTGGATGCAACTGTAGGGATAGTTCCTCTACAAGCATCCAGATACAAAGATTTCAGGCATTTTTATACAGTACAGGACAAAAGAAAGCAGTTTGAAACTCCCGCCGCCCCTTGCCGGCCGGCTTGACGCTGATTGGCTGAGGCTGGAACAGCTGGGAGGAGGCTTGGCGGCCCGCCTCGGTTTTCAGCCAATCAGAACGTTCCCGCGCCTCGGGAGGGCCAATGGGCGCCCTCCGCTCGCTTCCGAGCCTGGGCCAATCAGGAGCGAGGAGGGCGGGACGGCCGCAGACAAAGGGGAAAGATGATGGGATTTGGATTTCCTGCCCGCTGGAATGCGGGCTTTGTCTTGGGCGGGAAGAGGGTGATATTTGGTAAACAAAGAGCTTTCCTGTCCTTGATGGGTCTGGCGAGTGATTTGAATGGGCTAGATCGATATCGGACCACCCGGAGGGTCAACAATACCTGGGTGAATTAATCCGTCTCTTTTTCCAAGGCTCTGCTGACCCCTCTTCCCTTGCTGCCCTTGCTCCGAGGGCTAGGGTTGGGGATCAGCAGCATTGTCCGTGCTGATGAGTCAATCAATGGGTGATTGAGGAAGAGGCTGGGGCTCTTCCCTCAGGCAGTCCCTGGTCACGCCGGTTTTTGTGGGGCAAAGGTCAGGGGGGTGAGGATACAGAGGAATTCATAAGGGTTACATATATCATAATCATAAGGCATAGGCATCTCTGACTTACAGGCATTTCATATTTGTACAACTCACAACCCATCCCAACCCCAGTTCATTACAGTAAGAAAATATTTTATTTATTCCATAAAAAGAAAGAAAAGGAAAACTGGAAATCCCAAAGTCCGGGCGAAGGGGCTTGGAGGTGGAGGTCAGCCCATGGTCCGGGCTGGCCAACAGAAGATCGGTTCTTCCTTGAAGCAGGAGCTGGAGCTGAAGGGGGAGCTGGGTTCCACTGCTCTGTCCTTGGTAAAACTAGCGCTCCCAACCGAGGATCGGGCCTCCCTGCCCGACCCTCCTCTCCCAAGGCTCCCCCTTGGGCAGCGGCGGTGGGTCCCCGGCGGCGGGGACCATGCAGGAGCAAGCGGCAGCGAGCGGGATGCAGCGGTCCGGAAAAGCCGGCGAAAATTTGACAATCAGCTGTTGACTCGGCCAGATTTAATATTTAAACAAAAACAATTATTTCCCGGGTGCAGGAGTCCAAAATGAGAAAACCAAGATGGCAGTTAGTCTTAGAATTTAATGCAGAAAAATATGAAATTTGAACGGGGCCGATCCGCCATGTTGTTGTTTTGGCGGATAAGGGGGCCCATTAGGAAAACCTCCGTATCCGCGATTTTTAACTAACGCAGATTTGGGGAAGGCATCCCCGGTGAGCTCACGGTCCCCCGGAGCTCAGAAAAAGGTTTATTTTATGTTAGAAAAGTTTCAGTCAGTAAAGGACACAAAGTATCAAGCGGAAAGGATTTAAAGTTTCAAATCTTAAGTGTTTTATTAGGGGCTTTGTTACAAAGAGAGGGAGAGGGGAAAGTGAAAGAAAGGCTTCTTGCAGCCTTGAGTTTAGCTTGAGCTGCTCGCTGGGGCACATTTCATCAGTCAGGCCCAACTTGGCTCTCCGGAACTGCGGAACTCCCTGCTGCGGTTCAGACCAGCTTGAAGGCGGGAGATCCTGCCGCCTGGGGGGATATCAGAATCCTAGAGTTGGAAGGCACTCCAAATGCCATCCAGTCCAACTTCCTTTTGCCTTAAAGGGAAAACACAATTCAAGGCCTCTGGACTGCCAGCATTAAATCTAGTTTCCTTGGGAGCTGCAGTCCAGCGGGTTCCCAGAACCCCGAGCAAAGGATTCTCAGATTATTCCAAAGCAGCTCTTGGGACTGACATCTCTATGTGGGGCCTTTCTTCTCCTCCTTCTCCTGCAGGAATACGGACCAAGGGTCAGTTCCAAAAAGAAAAACTTTGGCAAGTCGGAAAAGCCCAAAGACCCAGATCCAGAAGTTCAAGCGCTGGAGCTCCAGGAGGCTTTGCTTCGGTGAGTAAAAGGCCAGGTTGCCTGGATAGAAAATCATGGTGGAATGGAAATGCCTGCCTTCCTTCTATCTTTCCTTCTCTTCCTCCCTCCCTCCCTTCCACTTTTGTCTGCCTTTCCTTCCTTCCTTCCTTCAGTCATTCTTTCCTTCCTTCTATCTCTCCCTTCTTTCCATCTCTCCTTCCAACTTCCCTTCTTCTCTTTCTCTTTCCTGTTCTTTTTTCCTTTCTTTCCTTACTTCTTCATTTCTCTCCTCCCACCCTTCATTCATTCATTCATTCATTCTTCTCGTCGTCATCATCATCATCATCATCATCATCATTTAATAACTATTAATCGCCCTCCATCCGAGAATGCTCCAGGCGATTTACAGCTAAATTATAAAAGATAAAATACATACATACAAAAATTAAAAATTAATAGAGATCCAATGCTCTAGTAAAAAGCCAGGTCTTAAGTGCGAGAGTAAAAGGCCCTAAGTCACGCATGGCTCTCATGTAGGGCGGCAAGGAATTCCACAAGGCAGGGGCAGAAATAGAAAAAGCCCTGCGTCTGGTCCTTTCCAAGTGCACTTCTCTAGGACCCGGTATATGGAGTAAGTCACGTTGGGCTGGTCGTCCTCCCTCTGTTCTTTCCTTTTTCTTTCCTTATTTCCACCTCTCCTTCCTCCTTCTTTCTCTACATTCCTTATTTCCACTTTTTCCTTCAATCTTTCCTTCCTTCGTTCTCTTTCTTTCCTCCTTCCTTCAGTCATTCTTTCCTTTCTTCTGTCTTCCCTCCCTCCCCATTTTTCCTTCCATCTTTCCTCCTTCTCTCCCTCCCTTCCTCCCTGTTCTTTCCTTCCTTCTTTCCACCTGAAATTCCTTCCTATCTCCCTACATTCTTTCTTTCCACTTCTTCCTTCCTTCTCTCCTTCCTCCCTGTTTTTTCCTTCCTTCCCTCCACCTCTCCTTCTTTCCTCTCTCCTTACATTCCTTCTTTCCCCTTCCTTCCTTCTCCTTCCTTTTTTTCCTTCCTTCCTTCCACCTCTCCTTCCTTCTTCTCTCCTTATATTCCTTCTTTCCCTTCCTTCCTTCCTTCCTTCCTTCCTTCCTTCCTTCCTTCCTTCCTTCCTTCTTTCTTCTCTTCACTCTCATTTCTTTCTAAGAGCATTAATCATCTTAGCGAACAGGACTTGAATGGCTGTTAGAACTATAACTCACAAGGATGATATCATTGGCTGGTTTTAAATGGCACTTCTATTTCTACTGCTTTTAGAGGGCAAAATAGTTTTCAGATTTGTTTTATTAATGTTTATAGTATTGTGTCCTTGCTGTATTAAGTGATATGTGATTACTGTCTGTGATATATTATTGGTATTTATTGTATTTGTTTATTATGAGCTGTCACCCGCGCCACCCCCGAATCACTTCGGGAAGAAGGGGCGGGATACAAATGAAGCTTATGATTAGTATGATTATTATTTCTCTCTCTCCTTCGTCCGGCAGGCAGCGTGCTCTGAGAAGCCGGCTGGGCTCCCTCCTGCTGGAGTTGGAGGAGCAGGGTCAGGAAAGCCGGGGCCGGGCTGCGCAGGAGGCCGAGCTGTCCAGAGACCTCCTCCAGGCCCACAGGTGACCCACACATGCACACAGACACACACTCCTCTGCTCCTGGGCAAGAAGGGATGGGTCAGTGGAATGGGGGACCCATGAAGGGGTGATGAGGTTCAATAACCAGAGCCCCTTTCTACTTACCCTTCCTCTGCAGCGCCTTGGGGATGGCCTTCAGAAACGCCCGCCTGAAGCAGGAGGCCCAGGTCAGTCGCTGCTCATTTGCAGTTTCAGGATTTCATTGATCAGAGAAAGAGAGCTGTCATTTAGCACATTTTGAGATGGTTTCCTTCCTCCCTTCCGTCCTTCCTTCCTTCCTTTTATCCATCTTTCTCTCCTTTCTTCCCTCTGTCCTTCCTTCTATCCTTCCCTCCTTCCTCCCTTCTCTCTCTCTCTCCTTCTTTCCTTCCTTCTATCCACCCATCTCTCTCTCCTTCCTTCCACCTGTCCTTCCTCCTTTCCATCTGTCCTTCCTTCCTTCTATCTATCTCTCCTTCCTTCCTTCTATCCACCTATCTCTCTCCTTCCTTCCATCTGCCCTTCCTCCCTCCTCTCTCTCTCTCCTTCCTTCCTTCCATCCATCTCTCTCTTTCCTTCCTTCTATCCACCCATCCATTCATCTCTCTCTCTCTTTCCTTCCTTCCATCTGTCCTTCCTTCCTTCTGTATCTCTCTTCTTCCTTCCATCTGACCTTTCTTCCTTGCATCAGTCCTTCCTTCCTTTGATCCTTCCTTCCACTCACTCAGGTATTTGTAGTAAATTATTATTATTATTTTTATGCTGCCAAACACTGACCCAGGTATGTCTAATATATTATTTTCATCATTACTATCAGGAAGTATATAATGATGGTGATGATGATTTTTATTATTAAGAGAAGGAGGAGGAGGTTTATTTATATCATCATTATTAGGAAATATATTATTATTAGGAAGATTATTATTATTATTATTATTATTATTATTATTATTATTATTGGGAAATTAATTAATTATAGTATTATTATTTAGGAAGTATGTTATTATTGTGATTATTAGGAAGTATATTATTATTATTATTATTATTATTATTAAGTATATTCTTATTCTTATTGCCATTTTCTAGGTGCAGCAGCTGGAGAGGCAGATGTCCTCGATGGGCCATCGCCATGCACTGCAGCTGCGGAGCCTGATGAAGACTCTGCAGGAATTGGGAGGCTCCCGGACTCTTCCGCAGGGGTTAAGGGTCACTCAGGGGTCCAGAGGGCAACCCTAGAATGTGACTGCAGCCATCTTTTAACAACTCATGGAGGAGGTGGAGCCGGATTACATTCTAATGCAACTCAAAGGAGAACCAATGCATCATTCTAAAGCAGCGTTTCGCAACCTGGGGGTCGGGACCTCTGGGGGGGTCGCGAGGGGATGTCAGAGGGGTCACCAAAGGCAAACAGAAAACACAGTATTTTCTGTTGGTCATGGGGGTTCTGTGTGGGAAGTTTGGCCCAATTCTGTCATTGGTGGGGTTCAGAATGCTCTTTGATTCTGGGGGAACTATAAATCCCAGCAACTACAACTTCCAAATGTCAAGGTCTATTTTCCCCAAATTTTTCCATATTGAGTATTTGTGCCAAGTTTGGTTCAGATCCATCATTGTTTGAGTCCACAGTGCTCCCTGGATGTAGGTGAACTACAACTCCAAAACTGAAGGTCAGTGCCCACCAAACTCTTCCAGTATTTTCTGTTGGTCACACGAGTTCTGTGTGCCAAGGTTGGTACAATTCTATCGTTAGTGGAGTTCAGAATGCTCTTTGTAGGTTAACTATAAGGGACAGCAACTACAACTCCCAAATGACAAAATCAATCCCCCCCCCCCAACCCCACCAGTATTCAAATTTGGGCGTATCAGGTATTTGTGCCTAATTTGGTCCAGTGAATGAAAATACATCCTGCATGTCATTTCCCCTGAGGCAGGCAGGAAAGACAATGGGCCATCTTCCTGTCCGTTGTTACATATGTCCAGATAATGTCCATAAGATGGGTGAGGCCAGGAACCCCCAGCTTGGAGTCTCTTCTCGCAGGCTATATGATCATCTGGGAAGCAGGACTTTCCCATCCAGGGAAAGGAACAGGAAATCTCAGAAGCACAAAATATATTATTAACAAAACATAGGAACACACAGAAAAGGCAGGGAACCTTTAAGGCATTTTTCATGCACATATGAAATATAATGAGCAGAGAGAGCTTAAACCAGGGGTCCACAAACTTTTTAAACAGAGGACCAGGTCACAGTCCCTCAAACTGTTGAAGGGCTGGATTATAATTTGAAAAAAAAATGAATGAATTCCTATGCACACTGCACATATCTTATTTGTAGTGCAAAAAACACTTTAAAACAATACAATAATTAAAATGAAGAACAATTTTAACAAATATAAACCTATTAGTATTTCAATGGGAAGTGTGGGCCTGCTTTTGGCTGATGGGGTAGGATTGTTGTTGTTGTTGTTATGTGCTTTCAAGTCATTTCAGACTTAGGTTGACCCTGAGCGAGGGCCGGGTAAATGACCTTGGAGGGCCGCATCCGGCCCCCCGGGCCTTAGTTTGAGGACCCCTGGCTTAAACTATCAGAGGCTTTCTAATGGGGGAACCAGCTATCCGGAAAGAGAAGAAAAGAGGAAAGATACATGACGCCTGGGAAAGGTACAGTACAGCAAGGAAAGGGCAAGAGAAGCACAGAGTTCAGGGTAACCAATTTATTAAGGGATCATAAGCAGTCTGTAGTTAGTTTCCTGATTGTCTGAACATGCGCAGAGCCAAACAAGTACACTTGAAGTGTCTGCAGCCTTTGGAACTCTCTGCTGCAGGCAGGAAGGGAACAAATAATAATTTTGCCCAGGGGGGTTTCATGCAACAAGTCGGAAGTGACTGAACGAATAAATAACAACAAAAAGATCAATTTTGCACTGGCTTCTGCTTTCTTTTCCCGCCGTCCATTAAGGCACGCCCCCTTTCCCTCAGCGCCCAATGGGCTGCTGCGTGGGGTTCTTTTCCCCCCTTCACCTTCGCTACTTTCCCGGCGGGCCAATCAGAGGGGAGGGAGGGGGCGTGGCGCAGTCCATGACGTCAGTGGGAGGGAAGGAGGCGAGGCTTGTTAGCAACAGTTGGCGGGAAGGGCGGGCGCCATAGTGACGGTCGTCCTGGAGACGGCTCTCCTTGCCAACGGGAAGCCCCCGTTTGGAGGAAGGAAGGAAGGAAAGAAGCAGGCGAGGAGAAGGAGAGAGAGGCCACGGAGGTAAAGCCACGCCGCGTTGACGCTCCGTGTGGGGAAGGATGGCTGAGAGAAAGGAACCCGGTTTCGAAAGCGGAGTCACTCCGGATTGAAAAAGTGTGTGTGTGTGAGAGAGAGTGTGTGGGGGTTCTCTGTGTCTACAAGGAAAGCGGAGTCAATGTAAATAACCGGGCGAGATCTTCATGTAAATAAGGAAAGTGGAGTCACTCCGGATTAAGGGGGGGGGGGGTTCTGTCTACATGGGTATGCGAGGTGGGGAGTGGTACTTACTTCAGTGAGCCAAAGGAAACCCAGTTGAGTTTGGAAATAAGTGAGAATCACTCCAGGTTTCGAAAGCGGAGTCACAACAGATTGAAGGTGTGTGTGGGGGGGGGGGCATCCCGGAGTCACCCCGGAATAAGATGAGTTGGGTTCCCTGTGTAAACAAGGAAAGCGGAGTCACTCCGAATTGGAAAAAAGGCGGGGTTCTTTATGTAAATAAGGGGATTAAAAAGTGTGGGGGGAGTCATCTATGTAAATAAGGAAAGCGGAGTCACTCGGAATTAAAAGGGGAGGGATTCCCTATGTAAAGAAGGGAAGCGGAGTCATTCCGGATTAAGAGGAGGTGGTTCCCTGTGCAAATAAAGAAAGCAGATTTACTCCGGATTAAAAGGAAGGGGAGTTCTCTATGTAAGAAAGGAAAGCGGAGTCACACCGGATTAAAAAAGGTGGGTTTTTTTTATGTAAACAAAGGGATTAGAAAGTGTGAGGGGTTATCTATGTACATAAGAAAAGCGGAGTCACTCTGGATTAAAAAGGGAAGGGGTGCTGTATGTACATAAGGAGACCAAAGTTAGAGTAAAACTAAAACTAATTTGGAAAGGGGGGGGTTGTACTAATCTGTTTCTAAACCGGAGTCACTCCAGATTTAAAAGAAACTACGTGAGTTTCCAGCGTGATTCAGTCCCTTTTTGGAAATAGAAAAAAAGAGGAAGTGGGTGGATCTGTATGGTAATAATAATAATAATAATAATAATAATAATAATAATAATAATAATAATAATAATAATGGTGTAAAACAGCCAGCATAGTGATCATGTTTGCTGTGTACTAATCTTGTTGTGTATCAAATAATAATTGTGTTCTTCTAATTATGTATAATATAACTTTAAGAGTTGGAAATAAAACAAATCATCATCATTGTAATAATAGTAATAGTAGTAATAATGATGATGATGTACTTCTAATTGTGGACTAGCCATCCCCTGCCACTTGTTGTTGTGGCGCAGTCTGGTGATCTGGGAAATAAAGTAATTAGAAAGTTTCGGTTTCTAATAAATGTAATTTCTTTATGCTTGTGGGTAAACAGTATTTCTTGTTGTTTCTTTGTCAGTGTTGACGTGGAGATTGACTGGTTTGCTTACTCTGGAACATGCAACGTAAAATTGACCATTTTTAGGAATCCCTATCAAATCTATGATACCATATCTGTCATATACATGTATATGTGTGTATGTGAATCATATATATCTATCTATATCTGTGGCTGGATGGCTCTTTGTCAGGAGGGCTTTGACTATGTTTTCTTGCCCTGGTGAAGGGAGTTGGCCTGGGTGGCCTTAAGGCAGCATTTCTCAACCTAGGGGTCGGGACCCCTGGGGGGTCTCGAGGGGGTCGCCAAAGACCACTAGAAAACACAATATGTTCTGTTGGTCATGGGGGTTCTGTGTGGGAAGTTTGGCCCAATTCTATCGTTGGTGGGGTTCAGAATGCTCTTTGATTGTAGGTGACCTATAAATGCCAGCAACTACATGTCTAAGTCTATTTTCCACAAACTCCACCAGTGTTAATATTTGGTCGTGTCAGGAGCAACTTGAGAAACTGCAAGTGGTTTCTGATGTGAGAGAATTGGCCGTCTGCAAGGACATTGCCCAGGGGATGCCTGGATGTTTTGATGTTTTACCATCCTTGTGGGAGGCTTCTCTCATGTCCCCCCATGAGGAGCTGGAGCTGACAGAGGGAGCTTATCCGCGCTCTCCCTGGATTTGAACCTGTGACCTGTCGGTCTTCAGTCTTGCGAGTACAGGGGTTTAACCCACTGCGCCACCGGGGAATCCAGTGTTAATATTTGGGCATATGGAGTATTCGTGCCAAGTTTGGTCTAGATCCTTCATTAAACAAGTGCACAGTGCTCTCTGGATGCAGGTGAACTACAACTCCAAAACTCAAAGTCAATGCCCACCAAACCCTTCCAGTATTTTCTGTTGGTCATGGGAGTCCTGTGTGCCAAGTTTTGTACAATTCCATCGTTGGTGGAGTTCCAAATGCTCTTTGATTGTAGGTTAACTATAAATCCCAGCAACTACAACTCCCAAATGACAAAATCAATTTTTTGAGTGATGTTCACTTCTTGGGTTAGTGGGTGTTTTGTGGCCAAATTTGGCGGCTATTAGTCCAGGGGATTTTGAGTTATGATGGCACTCAAAACTAACAGAGCATTTTATATATATTAGTCCAGCGGATTTTGAGTTATGATGGCACTCAAAACGAACAGAGCATTATATATATATATAGAGAGAGGGGGGGGGAGCCCCCGGTGGCGCAGTGGGTTAAAGCGCTGAGCTGCTGAGCTTGTTGATCGAAAGGTCTCAGGTTCGATTACGGGGAGCGGCGTGAGCTTCCGCTGTCAGCCCTAGCTTCTGCCAACCTAGCAGTTCGAAAACATGCAAATGTGAGTAGATCAATAGGTACTGCTCCGGCGGGAAGGTAACGGCGCTCCATGCAGTCATGCTGGCCACATGACCTTGGAGGTGTCTACGGACAACGCTGGCTCTTTGGTTTAGAAATAGAGATGAGCACCACACCCCAGAGTCAGACATGACTGGGCTTAATGTCAGGGGACTACCTTTACCTTTTTATATATATATATATATATATACACACACACACACACACCCATATATACATATACACACTAGCTGTCCCCTGCCATGCATTGCTGTGGTCCAGTCTGTGTATATGTGTTTTGTGTGTGTATATGTTTGTGTATATGTGTATATATGCATGTTTGCATTTATATATGTGGTTTTACACATGTGTTGTAATGCTTGTTTGTTTTGGCTTTTTAAGTCTCTTCCGCTGTGTTTTTATGAGTGATGGTCACTCGTTGGCCTGATACGTGTATTGTGTCCAAATTTGGTGTCAATTCGTCCAGTGGTTTTTGAATTATCTTAATCCCACAAAGATAAATTGGAAAATAAATAATAATAATGTTATAGTAATAGTAATAATGATGTACTAATTATGTGATTTATATACATATATATCATGATCTATGAGAAAACCTGTAAGCTGAAAGAGTTGATAAATAATTACAATAATCATGGTTATAATAATAAGAATACAAAATAATAATTATAAAATAATAATGATTTTATTTCTTACCTGCCTCTCCTCAAGGTCCACAGAGTTATAAAACATTATGTGAAAATGCATACAAATTAAAATGTGTTTCTCATTTAACCATGTATTTATGGTAATATATGTAAGAATATTTAACCAGGTATTTATGGTAATATATTCAGGAATATTTTACCAGATAATTATGGTAATATATTCAGGGAATATTTTACCAGGTAATTATGGTAATATATTCAGGTCTGGTCCCTCCCTTTGTGACCCAGCTTGACCCCACTGGACTTCCGAGGTCAAAGGTCTTATTTAGGGCCTTTTCTCCTTACAATCAAAGCTTAGAGATCAACTTGATCCTAAGTGCTTTGCAGAAAAGGAGAGATAGGGAAAGGGGGGGGGGGAGGGTTGAATGTTGTCCCTGCTGTCGCCAAGGCAACAGGACTGTAAACAGAGACAAACCCACTTTCCAGGCGCCAGAGGGTCGGGTTACGGCCCTTTCCATCTCCTTTTAGCCATGAGGCCAAGAAATAAAAAGTAATAATTATAACAATTATTATCTTTATTATTTTGTTGTCAAATAATCAATAAGCTTTATTATTGTTATTATTTCATACACAACAAGATTAGTACACAGCAAACAAGATCACTTTGCTGGCTTTCCAAGTGTCCCAATAATAATAATAGTTGTTATTATTATTATTATTATTATTATTATAGAATTAAATGCAGATTACGATGATGATCATCAAAATTATTATTACTATTATCTGTATTATCTTTATTATGATAGAATTAAATGCAGAGTATCATGATGATCATTGAAATTATATTATCTTCATTATTTTCTTTTCATTATTATTCTTATAGAATTAAATGCAGAGAATGATGATATCATTGAAATTATTATTACCTTCATTATTATTTACTATTATCTTAATTATTATTATAATCTTTATTATCTTCATTTTTATAGAATTAAATGCCGAGTATGATGATTGTTATTATTATTATTACTGATATTATGTTTATTGTTATTAGTATTGAATTAAATGCAAAGATTATTATTACTGAATTAAACACTGAGTATGATGATTATTGTAGAATGGATTATCATTATTATTTTTGAATTGAATGCAGAGTGTGATGATGATTGAATTAAATGCTGAGTACGATTATAGAATCTACCATTATTATGTTTATTATTATTATAGAATTAAATGCAGAACATTATGATGATGATACAGTTTATTATAATAATATTATTATTATGTTTATTATTATAGCATTACATACAGGATGATGATGATGATGATAACAACAATAATATTAGTAATATAGTAATGGCTTGGGTAAGGATTCGAATTTGGGTAAGGATTCGAGTGCTGCACACACAGAGCTTCAATTAAAATAATAATAAAAATAGTAATAATATTAATAATAAAGTAAAACAGCACCCAGGTCCTTTATTTCCTCTCTTGGAAGATGCGTGATGAGCGGCAGAAATAAAGGAAACGTTTGTTTCTTCCCTGTTGTTGATCTCCTGGCAGATGGAGATGAGCGCTGGACTGCATTGTTTACCCGGCAACAAGGGTTGCTCCGAGCTACTGCGCTCCCCTGCCGTTGCCAGGGGGGCGGTTGCTGGGCAACAGGGCAGATGCTTCCCGGTTGCCGGGCAATGGGGCTGATGCTTCCCAGTTGCTGGGCAACAGGGCGGGTGCTTCCCAAAGCAAACAATGGCAGGGCTCATTACGGCCTTGGAAAGAGGCTCCAGATGCCAGCTAGACCACATTAGTTCCTTCTCTTTAATAAATGCAGAGAAAGTGATCAAGGAAGTGACTTTGCTCATGCAAAGGGAAAGGGCAGTGACATCATGTCATAATAATAATAGTAATAATAATTTAGGAGAATCCATGCAACTTGGAACATGCCTAGGAAACTAATAACAACAACAACAACAACAACAACAATAATATAGGAGAGTCCATACAACTCAGATGGAACATGCCTTGGATGACAATAATAATAATATAGGCAACTCCATATAGGCAACTCAGGGCTCTTCCACACAGCCATATAAACCAGAATATCTGCTTTAAACTGGGTTATCTGAGTCCACACTGCCATATAACCCAGTTCAAAGCAGATAATGTGGGATTTTATTCAGCTGTGTGGAAGAGGCCTAGGAACATAATAATAATAATAGGAAAAGGGCAGGGACCAGCTGCATCATGTCATCATAATAATATAGGAGAGTCCATATAACTCAGATGGAACATGCCTATGAACATATTATTAATTGGAGGCTTTGTCTTCTTCTTCTTCTTCTTCTTACTATTATTATTATTATTATTATTATTATTATTATATGTATGACTTCCCAATCAGAGGGAGGCCTTCCTCCTTTTGCTCCTTCATTCCTTCTTTGCATCACATGCTTTCTGCTTGGAGACAGACGGAGGTAAACAAAGGTGGTTGCAAAGGAAAATCTGTATATTTGCAGCCTTTTTTTAAAAAGGCATGCCTCCTTAATTACTCTCCAGGACAGCGGTTTCCAACTGGGAAATATTCCCACTATGTTCCTGGGTTATCAATGCCATTTCCTAATTGGTTCTATCATAAAAACATGGGAAAAGTTGATTAAACTGCCCTAACTTTGTTTCTGCAAGAGGGACGTCGTCCTATTGCACATCTTTCTCTAGTTTTTAAATTTGACATAGTTTGTGGCACAAAAAAGAACATATCTGGAGTATGACAACTGCTTTCCAAGTAAGGACTGCACAATTAAACAGCAAATAACACTTTCAATCCAGGAACAGAACACTGTTCAAAGTTGGTTACATAATGCAATGAGTGGCTTTGGCAGATAGGAAGTGATCACAGGCCCTTTGCAGGAACCTAACCAATAATAATAATCATTATTATTATCGTCGTCATCGTCATTATTATTCCCTGCTTCTAAATAATAATAATAATAAACTATACACATAATAAAAGTGAAAATCTGTATTTGTGTAAATCTGTACGTGTGTATGTGGCTGGGGTGTCCACTTACACAGAGAGGCTCCCACTTATATCTATAGCTCCCACCATGCAGAAAACACCAAAGGCCCTCCCTCCAATGACATTGCAGGTTATAGTGAGCACCACATCCCAGTATTCCTTTCTCTCGCCACTGGTGTGGAATTTGCATGACTCCGCCCACTGCCTCTCACTTAACCCATCCCAACTCTTTTCTATGGCACATAGCAAACAGAGGAATTGCACCCAGCCAATGACCGACCTGGACTTGGCACACAGGCCCAACATGGCCAGCTGTGAATGCTGTCAGGGATATGGGGGTGATTGACCTGGAAATCTGGGAGTTGTAGTTCACCCTTATACAGAGAGCACTAAACCCAGCCGACAATGGGTCTGGACCAATTTGGCATACAGACCCCATGACCCACTTTTCATCCTGGTGCGGTTTGGGGGCAAATGAACTACAGATGATGGGATTTTCAGTACCTTCACTCACTTTCAGGGACCACTGCTACCCCCACAAATGACAGACCTGGACCAAACTTGGCACACAGACCCCCCATGACCTACTTTACATCCTGGTGCTAGTTGGGGGAGTTTGGACCATGGATGATGGGATTTGCAGTACCTTAACCCAACTTGTCTCCTATAGACCACTGAGACCCTCATGAATGATGGACCTGAGCCACACTTGGCACACAAACACCCTGTGACCCATTTTACATCCTGGTACAGTTTGGGGGAAGCTGGGGCACGTATGATGTGATTTGCAGCAACTTCACCTGTTTTAGCAGCAACCTCAACAGACCACTGAGACCCCCACAATTGATGGGCCTGGACGAAACTTGGCACACAGACTCCCCATGATCAACAGAACATACTGGAGAAGTTTTGGGGACATTGACCTTGATTTACAGGTGTTCTAGTTCGCCTGAATACAAAGAAACTGTGACCCCCCACCAACAATGGACCAGGACCAAACTTGGCACAGAGAAGCCCCATGACCAACTGAATATACTGCTGGGGTGTGTGAGAATTGATGTTGATTGTGGGAGTTGTAGTTCACCCATATCCAGAGAGCACTCAACCCAGCCAACATCGGATCTAGACCAAACTTGGCACACAGATCCACCATGGTCCATGATGCATACAGGCGGGGGTTTGGGGGTGATTGACCTTGGATCTGGGAGGTGTAGTTCACCCTTGTGCAGAGAGCACTGAATCCAGCCGATGTCGTACCTGGACCATGTCTAATGAAAGTAGTGCCTGCTGTTATAGAATGAGTCTCTGCCGTTAAGCAATGCCCTATTAATCAATAGTAATAATAATCATCATCATCATCACCATCAATGCCTTCCTATTAATCAATGCCTTCCTATGAATCAATCAACCACAGAGGAGAGGATGCAGGCATCCGAAGGTCTCTCCAGCCCATCGGCCATTGTCTCCCTGCGATCATCCTCAGTTCAGGCCCCGGTGGTCCAGCCGGTCCCCGCCTCCCAACAGGTCCGTACATGTTTCTATTTATTTGTTTATTTGTTTGTTGATTCCACATGATTGTCCACAATGTTGCCGTTTGGCCTTCTCCTCCCTTCCTTCCTTCTTGCAGAGAGCCTTGACCGTCGGTCCCAAAGGCCTTCTTCCCATACAGGCACCGGCTGCTCCCCGCCTCCAGCAGGTCAGTCCTTTGGGGGTGGTTGGCCCTCTGGCGGGAGGGATTGGATTGTGTCCTCTGGCAGAAAGCAAGAAAGAAGAGGGTGGACTAAGAGACCCTTTTTGGGGGCCCTTCCAGCCCTAGGTTTCTTTCTCTCTATATCCACCTGTCTATCTCCTCCATCTTTCCCTATCCATCTCTATCTCCTTAACTATCCATCTATCGATCTCTCCTTCTCAATCTCTATCTCTTTCTCTATCTCCATTATCTATATCGCTATCTCTCCTTATCTATCTATCTATCTATCTATCTATCTATCTAGCTAGCTAGCTATCTATCTATCTACCTACCTATCCATCGATCCATCCATCCATCCATCTCTATCTCCTTCTATCTGCCTGTCCCTGTATCTTATCTATCTATCCATCTTTAGGACTATCTATCTGTCTGTCTGTCTCCTCTATTTATCCATCCATCTCTCTCTCTCTCTCTCTCTATCTATCTCTCAATCTATACCCTTATCTATCTAACCATCTGTCTCTCTCATTCTGTCTATATCTATATCTTATCTATCTATCTATCTATCTATCTATCTATCTATCTATCTATCTATCTCCTTCTCTATCTTTCTCTGTGTTCTCTATATCTATATCTCCCTCCCTCTCTCTCTCCTTGTCTGTCTGCCTCCTCTATCTGTCCACCCATCTCTCTCTATCCATCCATCTCGATCTCTATCACTCTCCATCACTATCTATTATCTATCTCCTTCTCTATACATCCATCTCTATATCTCTCCATCATGATGTATCTATCTATTATCTATCTATCCCCTTCTCTACCTATCTATTAATCTCTAGCTCTGTCTGTCTGTCTGTCTGTCACCTCTATCCATCTCTCTCTCCTTATCTATCTATATCTATCTCCTCCCCCCCCTCTATCTATCTCTATCTCTCTCCCCTATCTATCTATCTATCTATCTATCTATCTATCTATCTATCTATATCTGTCCATCTCTATATCTATCCTTCTCTGTTTCTATATCTCCTTATCTTTCTATCCATCTCTATCTATCTCCTTCTCCATCTAACTTCCTATCCATCTCTGTCTCTCTCCTTCTATCTATCTATATCTGTCTCTATCGATATCTGCTTATCTATCCATCTCTATCCTTCTCTACCTATCTGTCTCTATGTCTCTCCATCTCTGTCACTATCTCACTGTCTAGCCATCTATCTATCTATCTATCTATCTATCTATCTATCTATCTATCTATCTATCTATCTAATTTTCTATTTATCTATCCATCCATCTTGCTTTGAGGGCTGGTCTAGATGGCCTTTGAAGTGCCCTTTCCAGTATCCCTAGCATTCCAATATCTGCTTTATCTCCAGGTCCAGGCAGTGCTGCATCATCACCACCACCATCATCATCCCTTCCCAGCACAGATCCAGTTCCTTGAAGAAGGAGAGGCAGCCCTTTATCCCAATGGAACAATGTCAGTCCTCTATCTAATCTATATCATGCAATGGTCCAACTTTGGCCCTCCAGGTGTTTTGGAATTCAGCTTCCACAATTCCTAACAGCCTACTGGCTGTTAGAAATTGTGAGAGTTGGAGTCCAAAACACCTGAAGGGATGTGAGATCCTCACCTATCTCCCCTTGCTTCCCTGCATACAGTGCCTCCGAGGGGCCCGCCTTTGCCCAGCCACCTCCAGGCTCCGCCCCCTTCTTCTTCCAGCCACAAGGGGGCCGCAGGGGGGCCTCCCCCTCTCCTTCTCCTTCTTCTTCTTCACAGGTGAGACCCAGATTTATATATACATGACAGGTGTATTATAGAATCCTAGAGGTGGAAGGGACCCCCAAAGGCCACCCAGACCAACCCTATTCATGCCAAGCAGGAAGTAACAGTCCAGTTCCTCCCAACAGATGCCCATCTCCATAAATAGGATAGGATTGAGATAGATATGATAGCTAAATATATGATAGGATTGAGATAGATAAATAGATAGGGTTGAGAGATATATATAGATAGATTATAGGGCCATCCAGTCCAACCCTATTCAAGTCAAGCAGGAAAAGCACCATTTGATTCCTCCTGACAGATGGCTATCCTGCCTCTGCTTAATAATAATAATAATAATAATAATAATAATAATAGAACCATATCACCCTAAAGCCAAGCTTTGGTGGGCTTTTCTCCTTCCCAGCTGGAAACGACCATGGAAAGCCTGCAGAAAAGCCCAGGCCTGGCACTGCCGCCCCGCAAAAGCAGCGCTCTGAACAGCCACGTGAGTGCCTTGCCTTCCCATTGTTTCCAATGCCATTTTGCCCTTTACCCAATGATGCTGACCCTGTGCCTTCCCTCTTCCTCTGCCTTTTTGCAGCTGCAGTGGCTGCTGGACAACTATGAGGCGGCCGAAGGGGTCAGCCTGCCCCGTAGTGCCCTCTACGGCCACTACTTGCGCCACTGCCAGGACCAGCGGATGCCCAGCATGGAGCCCCTCAACGCTGCCTCCTTCGGGAAGCTCATCCGCTCTGTCTTCCTGGGACTCCGAACACGCAGGCTCGGCACCCGGTAGGGCAGAAGGGCCTTCCTTTCTTCTTTCTTCCCTCCCTTGCTTCTTTTCCTTCCAATATTTCTACCTTTTCATCTCTCACTCCCTCCCTTTCTTTCTTTCTTTCTTCCTTCCTTGCTTCTTTCTTTCTCTCTTTCCTTCTTCCCTTTCTTCCTATTTTCCTCCCTCCCATCTTTCTTCCTTCCTTCCCTCCTGTCCTTCTTTCCTTTTTTCTATTATTTTTCCTCTTCCCTCTCTTCCTCCTTCTCTCCTTTCCTTCCTTCCTTTCCTTTCCTTTTTTCTTTCATTTTTTCCTCCTCCCCTCTTCCTCCTTCTCTTCCTTCCTTCCCTCTTTTTCATCCTCCCTTCCTTCTTTCCATCCTTCCTTCATTCCTTATCTTACTTCCCGTATTTCCATCTTTTCCTCCATCCCTTCCTTTCCCTCTTCTCACCCTCTTCCCTTCCTTCTCTTTCCTTTGCTTCTCTTTCCTTTCTTCCCTCTTCCCCTTATTTCCTTCTTTCCCTCCTTCCCTTCCTTTTTCCCCTCACTTCCGTCTTCTTCTTTCCTTCCCTTCCCTCCCTTCCGCCTTTCCTTCCTTGATGCACAAACCTAGCTTCAATGAGGTAGACGTGATGGGTCTTCTCCCCTTCACCCTTTCCTTCCCCTCCCTATCTTCCCACTTTCCAATTTCCCTCCTTTCTTTCTTTCTTTCTTTCTTTCTTTCTTTCTTTCTTTCTTTCTTTCTTCCCTCCCTCCCTCCCTCCCTCCCTCCCTCCCTCCCTCCCTCCCTTTTTTCTCTTCCAATATTTCCTCCTTTTCCTTTTTCCCCCCTCTCAATCCCGCCCTCCCTCCTCTCCTTCCTCCATTATTCCCTTCCTCCTCTTTACTTTCCTCCTTTCTTCCTTTCCTCCCTTCCCCCCTTGATGCACAAACCAGGCCTAAATGAGGCGGAAGTGATGGGACTTTTTCCTTCCCTTCCTTCCTTCCTTCCTTCCTTCCTTCCTTCCTTCCCTCCCTCCCTCCCTCCCTCCCTCCCTCCCTCCCTCTTCCTTTCCTTTTCCTTCCTTCCTTCCTTCCTCCCTTCTTTCCTTCCCTCCCTCCTTCATGCACAAATCTGGCCTCAATGAGGTAGAAGTGACCACTCTGCTCTCCTCCCTCCCTTTCCCTTTCTTCTTCCTTCCCTCATTCCTCCCAGGGGCAACTCCAAGTACCACTATTATGGCATCCGCCTGAAGCCTGGCTCCCCGCTCAGCCGCCGCCTGCAGCAAGAAGAGGAAGCGGAGGAACCCCAGCCCTCTGCCCTACGGCAGCAACAGCAGAAGCAGCACCCAAAGTATTACTAGGATGATCTTACTGTGTTATTATAGAGCATCATTATATTCCATTATTAGTATTATTTTATATTATTATTATTATTATTATTATTATTATTATTATTATATTGTATTATTAGGATTTTATTAGGGTTATTTTAATTCATTATACTATTATTTTATTTTATCATTGATATAGTATTACTGGTAAGTGCAGGCCTGGCACCCAATATTAGTATTGTTTTGTATTTTGAGAATTATTATATTCCATTATTACTAATTTTTAAATTATTATTTTATATTAGGATTATATTATTTTGTTTTATTATTAGTAGAATTTTATTAGTTATTATTTTATTAATAGTTGTAATATATTATTATATTAGTATCACACACATATATATATATATGTATATATATCCTTATTATATCATTATTTGGTTATATTATATTGGTATTATGGTATTACATTATCATATCATTAATATAATATGAATGGTAGGTGCAGGCCTGTCTCCCAAAAGCCAGACGGCGACACGGAGGATGTTGCTTCCCAGAGCCAGCATCACCAGCAGTTCATCGGTAAGAGACCTTATTATATTATGGGGCATCTTATGTCAAGGCCTTCCTTCTTCACTTGATGGCCATGTTTTGTTTTGATTTGTTTTTGTTTCTGTCATTGTGACTTGACCGTGTTAATGCATCCTCACTTCCTTGACGCAGACGTGACCCGTGTCCTTCCCGAATTCCCAACCCTTGACCTGGAAGCACTTGGACTGAGCGATGTGGTGCAGCCGAATGACGCCAAGGCCTTGGAGATCCTCTACCGACGGCACTGTGAGGCCAGTGGACACTTATTATTATTATTACTACCTTGGGTCCCCGGCATTTCCCGACTTATTACAAGAAGTCATTGTTTTATTTTACAACATGCATAAGGTTGTGGCTGAACTACAACTCACATCATGCCAAGTTCACCCCCTAAAACTCCATCAATACTTAAAGGTTTGTCATGTTGGGCAAATTTGCTCTAGGTCAGTGTTTCCCAACCTTCCTAATGCTGTGACACCTTAAAACCTCATGTTTTGATGACCCCCAACCATAAAATTATTTTTGTTACTATTTCACAACTTTAATTTTGCTACTGTTATGAATCGTAATGTAAATATCGGATATGCAGGATGTATTTTCATTCATTGGACAAAATTTGGCACAAATACTCTATATGCCCAAATTTGAATACTGGTGGGGTCGGTGGGGGTGGTGTGGATTCATTTTGTTATTTTGGAGTTGTAGTTGCTGGAATTTATAGTTCACCTACAATCAAAGACCTTTCTGAACTCCACCAACGATGGAATTTAACCCAACTTGGCACACAAAATTCCCATGACCAACAGAAAATGCTGGAAGGGTTTGATGGGCATTGACCTTGAGTTTGGGAGTTGTAGCTCACCTACATCCAGAGAGCACTTTGGACTCAAACAATTATGGATCTGGACCAAACTTGGCACGAATACTCAACATGCCCAAATGTGAACACTGGTGGGATCTGGGGAGGACTGACCCATGATTTTGGGAGTTGTAGTTTACCCACATCCTTATGCATTTTCTAATGGGAGTATTAATAAAAAAGGAAAGACTGACTTTTAAAAAAATAAATAGTGTTACAAATTACCTAAGCTGCTTCTGCTACTGCTCCTCGTCCTGATGCTGCTGGACCACTCTCAATCTCACATTACGTGGCCGCTTTCCCCTGCCTTGAAGGGACTTGCTCGCCTCCCTCCAGCCTCGCCTGCTCTCCCTTGCCTGCGCACCACTCTGCCATGCACAGAGGATGCCTGCTCTCCCCTCTCCACTTGGGAGTCTCAGAAACAGCCCTCCCCTTGGCTGGGAGGCCAGCTGAGAGGCCAGCCAATCACAGCAGAGAAGGGCTTTTGGTAGGAGGATTCGCCGTCTGTTTCCAAAAAGGAAGAGAAGGACAGGCAGAAAGATCTTCAGCCTTCTCTGCCAAAGGGGTTCCTAAGACCAACAGAAATATGTGTTTTCTGATGGTCTTTGCCGACCCCTCTGAAACCCCCTTGCGACCTCCCCAGGGGTCCCAACCCCCAGGTTGACAAATGTTGCTCTAGATTCATCATGGGTGGGGTCCAGTGTGCTCTGTGGCTGCAGGATGAATTACAACTCCCATGATGGTGGATCAGTCCTCTCAAACCCCTCCAGTAGGTTCAGTTGGTCATGAGGGTTCTGTGTGCCAAGTTAGGCCCAGGTCCATCATCCGTAGGGTTGGGAGTGCTCTTTGACTGCAGGTGAACTATAAATCCCAGAATCTACAAGTAACATGCCAGGGCCAATTGCCCCCCAAACCCACCAGCATATCGGGTATGCATGCAAAATTTGGTGGAGATCCCCCAAATCAAAGTGAACTTCCTCCAAAGCCCTCCTGTATATTTTGTTGGTCATGGGGGTTCTGTGTCCCAAGTGGGGCCTGGGGCCATCGCTGGTGGGGTCCAGAGTTCTCTTTGATTGCAGGTGGACTATAAATCCCTGTACCTACAATGGCTATAAATCAAGGTCAATTCCCCCCCAAATTTCTCCAGTATTTTGCTTTGATCATGGAAGTTCCATGTGCCAAATGTGGTTGAGGGCCATTGTCGGGGGGGGGGGGGGGGGAGTCACAGTGCTCTCACTTCCATCATGTGGAGTCAATCCCTCAAACTCTTCCAGTATGTTTAATTGCTGATTGGTTCTTCTCTGTTTGTTGTGCAGACAGAGTTGAAAACAGTAGGAAAGGGTGATGGGAGAGGCAGTGGCTGGGATCATGCAAATTCCACATTAATGGAGAGAGTCAGAAACACTGGAGTGTCACTCGCTGTAATCTGAAATGTCATTGGAGGGATGGCTTTTGATGTCTCAATAATAATAATGTCAATATAATAAAATAAAATTGATATAATAGTAATAATAATATAACACTATATTATAATAAATATATAATAATGTATATATTGTAGTATAATAAATATAATTCAATATAATATATAATGCTAATAGCATAATATACTATAATATATTGTATATATTATAGTACAATAATATAATACAATATAATATATAGTACTAATACTATAATATACTAATAATATATTGTATAAGATGTTTTAATGTAATTTAATTTTGATTTTAATTTCAATTTAAATGTTTATTTAATTGTATATTGTTGTTAAGTCATTGAATTATTGCCTATCTGTAAGCCACCTTGAGTCCCCTTCGGGGTAAAGAAAGGCGGGATAAAAATATTGTAAATAAATAAATAAACATAATGTAGTCTAATAATACAATATATAATACTAATGCTATAATATACTAATAATGTATTGTATATATTGTAGTTTAATAGTATAATATAATATAATAATATTGTAATAATACAATACAATGCTACTACTAATACAATAAAAAATAATAATACTAATATATTAAATGTACTACTAATAATATGTACTCATAAGACTGTTTTCCTATTGTATATTGGGATATTTTATAATCCTAAAATATTAAATGTAATACTACTACAAGTATCTAATCATAAGACTGTTGGAATGTTTCTCGTTTATCTGGTTTTATCTAATGGGAATTCTGCCCGCCTCTCTCTCAGGCCAATGTGGACGTAGTCAAGAGCCTCCAGTTCGCCTATATAGAGAAGCTCTGGCAGTCCTTTTGGAACTCAGAGGCCCTGTCCAGTGATGACGATGATGCCACCAGGTAAACAAATAAACGAATAAGTGGGGAGGGGGGTCTGTAGAGTTGGAAATAACAACCTCTCAAGCCTTTCACTATGTATTTGTTAATGTATATATTTGCTAACTTGTTTTCTATGTGTATGTTGATTTGCCAGCTTGGTGTATCTCTTTGATCTGGGAGGGGTTATAGACATGTGATTATACTGAGCATGTTCAGACACAGGACTCTATTTTCTATTCAGTGTCTGCTTACTAGCTCATTGGAGGTGGATGAATTTTCATCAGCCCTCAATGGAGGTGGATGCATGTATGTGTTTGGTCTTCAATGAAAGCCGTTGCTGTTTGGAATTCAATTGATACAGTATGGTTTTGGACTTCAATGAGTACAACTATACCGAAAGAGTATGGACTATTGATAAAGAATGATATCCTGTGCACTCAACACAGAGAAGAACTATATCCTATATATAACTGAACTTCAAACAAGAAATGTGCCTTTATGGTGAATTAATACAAATTGTTTATGAGTAAACAAGATATATTATTTTTCAAAGAAGACTTTGGTTTTTTTTATTTCTGGGTGCATATTTTAACTAAGAGGTTTCAAAGGAGTGTCTTATCTTTTGGGCAACAGCAAATTTCATCTTCAAAGAAACAACCATCCTCTGCTAACCCAATATATCTTTGTAATGGCATGTCTTTATTCTTGGCAGTTTAAAGACACAGTTCCTCAGTTTAACAGCTGAGTTACCTGTGTGCCATTACATGAATGCTAATGAATATCACTTGTTCAAAGAGTTGACTTCTAACAAGGTCATGCTTTTCTTGACTAGTGGTTTTCAAAAGGTGGTCTCCACATGTTCATGGAGATTCACATTTGCCAAACAGATGTGACATCATTTTTACCTTTTCAATAAGGTTATGATGCAGTTATTTCCAATAGGTTATGGAATTTCTGATATGCAGCTCTCCTTTTAATGCCTCCATTGCCCCTTCCTTCCTTTCCAGCCTTCCCTTCCTCCCCCGGTCCAGACTGATCGCCTTGTGCCGCTTGGGCCCCGTTGCGTCCTGGATGCGGAGCTGTGACCGCCTCCTGTTCCAGACTCTCTTGGAGACCCTCGTCCCCGACGTCCTGCGCCCCGTCCCCGGTGAGGAGGAGGAGGCCCTCTGCCGGGGGGGGGGGGGGGGAGGGCTGGATTATGGTGTGAAGAAACAAGGGGATCCGGCTGGATAACCTTTGGGATTCCTTCCAACTCTGGGATCCTGTGAGCTCATAGCCTTGGCTCATCACTCTCAACCTGTTCTTTCTCTTCCTTCTCCTCCTTCCTCTCTCTCTCTTCTGCTTCCATCCCTTCCTTCTCTTTTCTTCCCTTCCCTTCTTTTTTCTTTTTCCTTCATTCATTCTTCCCTCCATCTCCTTTTTCCTCGCTTTCCTATCCTCTTCCTTCCCTTCTTCTTTCCTTCCTTCTCTCCTCCTTTCTTCCTTCCCTCCATCCCTTCCCCTGTTTACATCTTTCCCTCCATCTTTCTCTTCTCTTCTCTTTCCTTCCCTTCTCTTTTTCCTTTTTCTTCCTTCCTTCCATCCCTCCTTTTTTTCCTATCTCCCTCTCCCTTCTTTCTTTCATTCCCTTTCTCTTCCCCTCCCTTCCTTTCCTCCTCCCTTCCTTTCCTTTTTCCTTTCCTTTCCTCTCTCTCTTTCTCTCTTCCTTCCTTCTTCTCTACCTTCCTCTATTTACATCTTTTACTTCATCCTTTTCTTTTCTTCTCATCTCTTTTTCCTTCCTCCTTTCCTCCTCTCATTTTCCTTTCCTTTTCCCTTCCCTTCCTTCCTGTTCTTTCTTTTCTTCCTTCCTCCTCCCTTCCTTCCCTTCTATCTTTCCTTTCTCCTTTCCTTGTTTTCTTCCTTCCCCTATTTCCATCCTTTCCTCCATCCCTTCCTTCTCTTATCTTCCCTTTTCTTTCCTTCCTTCCTTTCATCCCTCTCCCTTTTCCTTTCTTTCCTTTCCTTCATTCCTTCCAAATCCCTTCCCTCTTTCTTTCTTTCTTTCCTCCCTCCCTCCCTCCCTCCCTTCCTTTTCTTCCTTCCCCTCTTTCTATTTTTTCCTCCCTCCCTCCCTGCTTTCCTTCCTTCCTTCCTTCCTTCCTTCCTTCCTTCCTTCCTTCCTTCCTTCCTTCCTTCCTTTTTTGCAGGGACACTGACGCAATCCATCCGCAACTTCGCCAAGGGCCTGGAAGGCCTGTTGGCCAATGCCATGAATGACTTCCCGCAACAAATTGTCCAGACGAAAGTAAGGCACGGAAAAGCGCATTTTCTATTTAAGAAATACTTTCTTCCCATTTCTTTGGCTTTATGGCCACCTGCTGGGAGAGTTTGGATTGTATCACTGGGTTGGGCTGGATGGCCTTGGGAGGTTCTCTTCCAACCCTAGAATTCTATGATATACCTATCACATACCCCAACACACACATGTATATATATAATGTCTATGGCTTGATGGCCATCTGTCGAGTGTGCTTTAATTTTGCCTTTCCTTTATGCAGAAGGGGGTTATATTATTATTTCTATTATTGTTGTTGTTTTTCTGCATAATGGCAAAAAGAAGGCGGTGGGTGGGCTGGGTGGCATTTGGGAGCGCCTTCCAGCTCTAGGATTCTATTATTATTATTGCGTTATATTATTATAATACAATCTAAACACAATATATTCTTATAATATCTATTATTATTTATTATTATCATTATTTTCCTGCATAATGGCAGAAAGAGGGGGTGGGTGAGCTGAGTGGTCTTTGGGAGCCCCTTCCAACCCTAGTATTCTATTATTATTGTTAATACTGAATTATTATTTTCCTTCTGCAGCTGGGGGTGGTGAGTGCCTTTGCGCAGACACTGCGCCGCTACACCTCCCTCAACCACTTGGCGCAAGCGGCACGGGCTGTGCTACAGAACCCTTCCCAGACCAGCCAGATGCTTAGTGACCTCAACCGGGTGGACTTCGCCAATGTACAGGTGAAGGAATACATGAATTGGGGGGAGAAGGACACGCCCCTTTTAATGCAAATTCCTCTCTAACCTCTCCTCCAATCACCTGATGCCTCTCAGGGATACGCCCCTTTTTATTCAAATCCCTCTCCAATCTCTTTGGCTTCTCAGGGACATGTCCTTTTCTATTCCAATCCCTCTCTATTTCCTCCTAGCCCCGCCTTCTTGTTAGATTGACAATTCTCAGGAACATGTTCCTTTCTATTCTAATTCCTCTCTAGCTTCTCTGGTTTCTTGGGGGACACACCTCCTTTTATTCAAATATCTCTATCTTCTCCCCCAATCCCCTTGCGCTTCTCAGGGACACAACCTTTTTTATTCAAATCCCTCTTTTCTCCTATATTTCTTCATATTCACCTGACACTTCTCAGGGACCCTCCCCTTTTTCTTCTAATCCCTCTCTAGCCTCTCCAGCTTTTCAGGGACACGCCCTTTCTTAGGCAAATCCCTTCACTCTTCTCTCCTATCTCTTGATGCTTCTCAGGGACATGCCCCTTTTTATGCAAATCCCTCTCTACTCTACCCCTTCTTGTTAGACTGATGCTTCTAAGGGACATGCCCCTTCCCCTTCTAATCCCTTTCTAGCCTCTCTGGCTTCTCAGGGACATTTATTCAAATCCCTCTCCATTCTCTCCTCCCATTGAACAGGAGCAAGCCGGCTGGGTCTGCCAGTGCCCCGAGGAGGAGGAGGGCCTGGTGCAGCGCCTGGAACGGGACTTCAAGCGCGCCCTCCAGCAGCAAAGCTCCCTGGAGCAGTGGGCCCAGTGGCTGGAGAGAGCCCTTGACCAGGCCCTCGGGCCCCACCAAGGTGGGCCCCACCTCCCCACCGCCGCACGCCACTTCCTGCTCCAGTGGTCCTTCTACAGGTGACATGCCCCCTTTATGCCAATCCCTCCCTCTTAATAATAATAATAATAATAATCTTTATTTATACCTTGCCACTATCTCCCCGAGGGGGACTCGGGGCGGCTAACATGAGGCCAAGCCCAAAAATACAACACAGCAAAATAAAATACAAAATGCAAACAACAAAAAACAACAAAAATTACATCACAATAAAATACATACAACAGCAAAATAGAGTAAGCAAAGCAAAATAACAAAATATAAAATCAAACACAATGGGTGGGACACATGGACAAGGTAAAAAAGTAAAACCCTGGATGAGGTAGGAGTAGAAAAAGTGTATTTGAGAGGAGCCCAAAAGAATGAACAGTGGGGTTAGGCTTTCAGTTTAGGGCAGGAGAACATGCATCATAGGGCAACACCCCTTCTCTCCTTCTCTCCCCTGACACTCCTTGGGGACACGCCCCCTTTTATTCAGATCCCTCCCTCTTCCCTCCTATCCCCTGACACTCCTCAGGGACACGCCCCCTTTTATTTAAATCCTTCTCTCTTCTCTCGACCTATCCCCGACACTCCTCAGGGACATGCCCCCTTTTATTCCAATCCCTCCCTCTTCCTATCCCCATCTTATTCCCTTCCATGCAAATCCCTGTTTACCTCTCCTCCTATCCCCTGACACTTTTCAGGGACACGCCCCTTTTTATTCAAATCCCTCTCTCCTCCTATCCCCTTCTCCTTGTTAAGTGTGAAGGTTCTTTGCTCCAACTGTGTTGCTATGAGTTAAACTTCACTGGAAAGAAATATGCCAAGACACACAGCAGCGAAAGTTACCATGGATCTTTATTGTTCGGAATGCAAGCACTTCACCAATCTGCTCATGTATATAGGCTCTAATCACTCCAAAAAGCCCTGGTGCCTTTCCCACATACCAGATCTCCCTTCCTCCCACCTCGGGGCAATTGACTTTTATGGCGGGTTCATATGTCTTTGCAGTATCCTGTCCTCCCTTTTGGCCAAAGGCCATGTGCTCTATGTGAGGACTTAGTTGGATGGCATGAGTGAGAGTTCATGACATTAACACTGAATCTCCTCAGGGACACGGCCCCTTTTATTGTTGAATATGGCCATATCTTTTGCTACCACTTATCCAGGTCACTTCCTCCTGTTAGGCCTTGGAAATGAACAGCCATAGACTCTACCTATTATTGTTGTTGCCTGATATAGCATTGCACCTAATTTCCCGGGCACTAGCCTTGGCCCGGCCTTTTTAAATTGCCTTGAACACACAGGATTATTTTAAATATATATGTGCTATGGTGATTTTTTAATGCTTTTATTGCTTTGTTAATTTTATGTTTATGTTGTTTACTCTGTATGTATTGATGATGTTACTTGGAAACCGCTCTGAGTCCGCTTAGGTAGATAGAGCGGTATATAAATAAAGTTTTGTTGTTGTTGTTTTAAAGCTGTACACTACTCCTTTTCCCACCTTCTTTCTCTCCTTCCTTCCCGGCAGCTCCATGGTGATCCGGGACCTGACCCTCCGTAGCGCCGCCAGCTTCGGCTCCTTCCACCTCATCCGCCTGCTTTACGACGAATACATGTTCTACCTGGTGGAGCACTGTGTGGCCCGTGCCGCCGGGGAGACCCCCATTGCCCTCATGGCCGAGGTGAGGCAGGAAGGAATCAGGGGCGCTCTGGATTCCCTCTATCTGGATACTCAGAAATAGAATTCTGCATCACACTCCCAGCTCATGTGATCCCATGGGAGAATTTGAATAAAAAGGGGCGTGTCCCTGAGACCTGCCAGGGGATTGGAGGAGAGAATGGAGAGGCATTAGAATCAAAAGGGGCATGTCCCTAAGAAGCACCCATCAAAAGGTGAATGGGATAGGAGGAAATAGAGAAGGATTTGAATAAAAAGGGGCATGTCCCTGTGAACTGTCAGGGGATAGGAGAGGGGATAAAGGAATTTGCATAAAATGGGGTGTGTCCCTGAGAAGTGTCAGGGGATAGGAGGAGAGGAGATAGAGGGATTTGAATAAAAGGGGGTGTGTCTCTAGGGAATGTCGGGGTAGGAGGAGAGGATATTGGGGATTTGCATAAAAGGGGGCATGTCAATTGAATAAGAAGAAGGGGAGAAGAGAAGAGAGGGATTTGCATTAAAAGGGGCGTATTCCTGAGACCTGTTGATCTCTTTTTGACTTCCTTCCCAGGTTGGCGACCTCACCTCCATGTCTACTCATCTCCTGGAGAAAGGTATTGGCTCACTTCTGTTCTCATTTAATCTATTGGTACTATTTGTTTAAGAATAGCAATTAATACTATTGTTTTATAATTCATGCATTTTTCAATCCATTTATCTATATCGTTTATTGAATTATATATATATATCATTAGATTATATATATTATATCAGATTATATATTATTTTTATTAAGATTTTATATTTTATATTCTGTATTATATTCATTAGATTATATAAATTTAGATTACATATTGTTATATATTATTTATTATATATTTAACATTATTTTATCATTGTTAATACTACTATCGTCTCATAAATGGTTTCTTTATTGTACAATTTAGTGTTATTTTATTAATGATGTTTAATAGTAAAATTATTCTATTGTATCACATATGTTGATTGTGTTAAACTCGGGCATATTTGTATATTTAATAATAACAATATTTAATATTATCATTTACTTTGGGGTTGTAAAACACCGCTGGAGACCGAGAATGCACTCATGGGCGGGGTAATGCAAGTGAGGGGGAGGGGCTCATTCTATGTGGTGGAAGGGGCTTATTATCCACTTCCCTCTCCTTCCCTATAGATGACTTGGAGCCTCCCGTGAAGCGGGAACGCAATGAAGATGACCCGGAACTCTCCTTGTAGCAAGCGCTCTAGAACCGGACTCTGCAGGACGGAAGCCGGGACCTTTTGCAATGCACGGGACTCTTTTGGGACCGTGCAAAATCAGGTTCAGAGACTACACTGTGACCCGAATGGATCCCTTTGCAATCTGATTGCAGCGCTGCATTTTTTGATTTGCCAAATAAACCAGCCTTTCTTTCCCAATGGGATCCTTGTTCTTTCTGTGGAAGGGGTTGGATTGCAGTTGGACTCTGGCTCCCATCATCCACAGCCTTCCCTGTTCTTTCCAGTAAAAGGAGCATCTCGGTTTGGGCTGTTGCAAAGTGATGATCATTATCTATGGTGCTCTGTCGAGAGGGATCGGATGGTGTCTTCCTGCCTGGCAGAAAGGAAGGAAAGAAAGAAGGAAGGGGCTGGACTGGGTGGCCTTTGGGGGTCCCTCCCACCTCTGTCATACTATGCATAGCTTTCCTTGTCCTTAATGTAATTGCAATGAGTCTTTCTTGCACTTTATGATATTGCAATGACTTCCTTGCATTTAATGCAATTGCATCGAGCCTTTCTGCAGGGTGTCTTCCTTGCACTTAAAGCACAAGGAAGTCTTAATTCCTTGTGCTTCCCTGCATTTGTGCAATTGCAGGCAGTCTTCCTTTGCATTAAGTCTCCCTGCAATTGCATTAAATGCAAGGAAATCTCCCTGCAGTTGTATAAAGCACAAGGAAGTTTCAGTGAAATTGTATTAAGCTCCAGGAAGTCACAGTCCCAATTGCATTTTTAAGTGCAAGGAAGACTGGCTGCAGTTTCATTCAGTGCAAGGAAGGCTCACTGCATTTGCATTAAGAGAAGGTATAACAACAACTCAGTGCAATTGCATTAAGCGCAAGAAAGTCTCATTGCCATTGCATCAAGTGAAAGGAAGACTCAGTGGAACTGCATGAAGAGAAGGAAGACTGCAACTGCATTGTGAGCAAGGAAGACTCCCTGCAGTTGAATTCAGTGCCATGAAAACTTGGTGCAATTGCATTAAGCGCGGGGAAGACTCATTGGAATGGCATGAAGCACAAAGAAGACTCCTCGCCATTGCAAAGTCTTCCGATATCTGCAAAAAAAAAAAAAAACAAAAACAAAAAAACCCTCCAAACCAGCATTGTTTTGACCTCTGTTTTGTTTTTAATCTATGCAAGGGCAGGAGTCAGGTGGGGGCAGCGTCCTGCTGCCCTTTCACTTCCCCTTCCTTTTCCTGTTCCTCTTCCTGGTGGGGAGGGGTATGGAGGAAGGTCTCCCCGTCGCAGAGGAAGAAGTCCAGGCCAGAGGCTTCGGGGACGCTGTAGTCAAAGGAGAGCAGGTCTTCGGGCAAGTGCAGGGAGCGGATGTCGTTTCTTGGGGAGGAAGAGGAAGCAGAGGGCCCCCTCCTTCCCCGTCCTCTTCCTCTTCCGGCGGAAGTGGCCTGGGCCTCCGCATCGGCCGGGGAGCAGTCAAAGAGCTTCATGGCCACCTCCAGCAGCACCTTGTCTGGTAAGAAGAGGGAGGTCTCTCCCTTCACTTCCTCCTCATGCATTGCTTTGGGTTCTTCCAGTCGGGCCACATCTGGCCCGCCAAGAAGCCCTGTCTTCTCCTCTTCCTCCTCCTTCCAGAAGCAAGGCCCTGCCTCCAAATCTGGGGCTGGCCCCTCATTGGTTGGGAAGGGGGGTGGGGCCAAAGGGGGCGGGGCTCCATCTCTGGCCTGGCAGGAGAGGCGGGACTTGGGCTCCAACAGGAAGGTGCTCCTGGGTGGGGCTGGCCCCAAACAGGAAGCTGAGAGCTTGTAGACAGAAGGGGCCGGGGCGAGGTTGGCAGAGGAGGCGGCCCACTCAATGCGGTAGATGCGGGGGTCGAAGAAGCAGCCACAGGGAGCCATGTGGAAGCCTATGAAGAAAGGGACCCTGAGAGGTCATCCGGCGGGCTGTGCAAGGAAGACTCAGTGCAATTGTATGAAGCACAAGGAAAACTCAGTTCAATTACCTTCAGTGCAATGTAAACTTGGGCAATTGCACAAAGCTCAAGAGGACTTTGCAATTGCAAAGCGTAAGGAAGACTCAGTGCAATTACATTCTGTGTCCGAAGATTCATTGCAATTGAAACTTTGGTATTACATTAAATGCAACGAAAACTTTGCAGTTGCATTAAGCACAAGCACAAGTGCATTCAGCACAAGGAAAACTCAGTGAAATTGCATTAAGTGCAACCAAAACTGAAATCACATCAAGCGCAAGGAAGACTCAGTGCAATTGTATTAAGTGTTGAAAGACTCATTGCAATTCTACTAAGTTCAGGAGGACTTTGCAATTGCATTAAGTGCAAGGAAGGTTCTGTGCAATTGCATTAAGAGAACCCTCACGACTGATGGCATCTTGCTGTGGTTATTATTATAGTATTATCATTATCATAATTATTATTGAATAGAACCCTCCCAACAGATGGCTGTTAGAATATGTTCCAATCTTATTATTATCACTATCATCATAATCTTCTTACTATATTATTATTATTATTATTATTATTATTATTATTATTAAAATCATATTGAATAAAACCTTCCTGACAGATGGCCAACCCGCTCTGCAGAGTTGGAAGAACCCACAGCATACTCATCATCATCATCATCATCATCATCATCATCTTATTATTATTATTATTATTATTATTATTATTATTATTATTATTATTAGAAACACAACAAGATAAGTCCACAGCAGACACTCTGCTGACTGCTGAATTGGATCACAGTCAGTGTCTAGGACTATGATCACACAAGGGTCACGCAACAGGAGTGGGGCCATAGCTCTACTGCCATCTTCTGGTGAAATATAAAATAGCTTTATGGTATCTGTGGATTGTATACTGTGGTCCACCGTGCTGGTGGGTCGCATTATTATTGATTTTTATGGCTGAAGACTGACAGGTTGCAGGTTCAAATCCGGGGAGAGGCAGATGAGCTCCCTCTTTCAGCTCCAGTTTCTCATGCGGGGACATGAGAGAAGCCTCCCACAAGGATGATAAAAACATCAAATCATCTGGGCGTCCCCTGGGCAACGTCCTTGCAGATGGCCAATTCTCTCACACCAGAAGCGACTTGCAGTTTCGCAAGTCGCTCCTGACACGACCAAAAAAAAAATGGCCGAAATTTGAACAGGCTGGGCTTCGGCCATGCCTGCTGTAATATAGTACCATACAACACTATAGTGTTATAACATATAATTATACAATATAATATTTATACAGTACAATAATGAAACTTAACATATAATAATATAATTAATAAATCATAATAATATAATGATGATGATGATGAGATGCGTCCCTGCCTTCTGCCTCGCTCTTCTTCCCTAAGTGTGCTGCATGGCCCTAAGTGTGTTTCCCTATCCTGACCATGGGGACTTCTATACAGGTTTCTATAGAATTCAATGGGGTTTCCTCACCAACGGAGGCCAGGTTTTCGGGGCGGAGGAAGGCCTCATGCTGTGGGGCAAAGAAGATTGGGGAGGGCTGCATGTCTTCCCCTTCGTTGCCCTGGTGATCCCAGGTTCTGTTGAGACGGTTGCCGGGCAGAAGGTTCTGCTGTTGCCGGGTTCCGGCCTCTGCAAGGGGCAACGTCCTTCCGTCCGTCCATCCGACTTATTCATTCATCAATTCATTCATTATTCAATAATGTGCTATGATGGAGAAGGAGGATACAAGGGAAATACTTTTTCCAAGAAGCCAAATCCATTCATTGACTAATTTATGATTAAACAATTTTTATTATTACTATTATCATCATCGCCATTACTGAGAAGGAGAATCAATATTTCCCTTTCTAGCCAAGGAGCCAAATCTATTCATTGATATAATGAGGGTCACTCTCAGAAGGTGAACAGAAGAAGAACTAATTAAAGATTGCATAGTCAAATGGGCTGCAAATAGAGGCCAACACAATAAGATTAGAAGAGGGGAAAATGTGGAACAAAAAATCAAAATAGATATATTTGCATGATCTGAAGAAAAAATGGTACAAGATGATGTAACAATGGTATTTAACACCCCCAAACCTCTCAAAATATTACCAAAACAGTACAGGCAAATATTGGAAGTGTGAAGAGAATATTGGGACTTTCTATCACATGTGGTGGACATGCCAAAAAACAAAAAGATATTGAAAGGAAATATATGAGAAAATCCAAAAAATATTAGATATATATTTCCAATCTAAACCCAAGTATCTCTTACTCGGAATTCCAGACTTTGAAATAAAAAAAAACCCTAAATTATTCTACTATTTAACAACGGCGGCTAGATAAATACTAAAAGTGACAGAGATGATGAAAATGGATGTCTTAACACAGGCAATTTACCCACGATTCACAGAAAAGAAGCACAACAGATTGGTCAGCAATTATACAGTTTATGAAACAAGAAAAAATGAATTAGATCAAAGAATTTAATAATAATAACTTTATTTTATACCCCGCCAAAATCTCCCCAAGGGGACTTGGGGCAGCTTACAAGGGGACAAGCCCCAAAATTACAGATAAAACAACCACATTAAAATCAAAACATAACACAATCACAACAACGTCATAAAAACAATATAATGGCTGGAAACAAAATCGGAGCTGGATCCGGGCTCCAGTAAGTGCCGTGAATTCCTAAGTAGAGCTGGGGAAAATGCAAAAATTAAAATGTGCCAAGCTACAGGGAATACCTTTGGCCATCAAGTGTTGAGATTGATAGGAGGTGGGCCAAACTAAAGTGCAGGAGCTTAGATAGGGTCGAGCCAGTTCTCTGGTGAACTGCCCAATCAAAGGCACAATGGAACATCCAAGTGTTTAAGTCCTTGTGGAAAATGGACAAGGTGGGTGCTTGTCTGATCTCCTTAGGGAGGGAGTTCCAGAGTTGGGGGGCCACCACCGAGAAGGCCCTCTCTCTCTCCCTCATCCCCGCCAGCTGCTCTTGAGACAGCGGTGGAAGTGAGAGAAGATCTTAGGATATGTGGTGATGATCTTAGGGCAGTGTTTCTCAACCTTCCTGATACTGCGACCCCTTAATACACTTCCTCATTTTGTGGTGACCCCCAACCATAACATTATTTTCATTGCTACTTCATATTTATAAGCTTTTAATCTGTATTACTGTTTTAATTGTTTTATAATTTTATATGGTATGTTCATTGTTATATGCACAATGCAGATTGTAGATTGTAAACCGCCCTGAGTCCCCTTCGGGGTGAGAAGGGCGGGATATAAAAATAGCAAATAAATAAATAAATAAATAAATAACTGTAATTTTTCTACTATTATGAATTGTAATGTAATTATCTGATATGCAGAATGCATTTTCATTCACTGGACCAGATTTGGCACAAATACCCGATATGTCCAAATTTGAATACTGGTGGGGTTGGGGGTGGATTGATTTTATCATTTGGGAGTTGTCGTTGATGGGATTTATAGTTAACCTACAATCAAGGAGAATTCTGAACTCCACCAACTATAGCATTGAACCAAACTTGGCACACAGAACTCCCATGACCAACAGGAAATACTGGGCATTGACCTTGAGTTTTGGAGTTGTAGTTCACCTACATCCAGAGAGCACTGTGGACTCAAACAACGATGGATCTGGACCAAACTTGGCACAAATACTCAATATGCCCAAATGTGAACACTGGTGGAACTTGGGGAAAATAGACCTTGACATTTGGGAGTTGTAGTTCCTGGGATTTATAGTTCACTTACAATCAAAGAGCATTCTGAACGCCACCAACTATAGAATTGGGCCAAACTTCCCATACAGAACCCCCATAATTTGAAGGGACTTACTGGTGCGAGCCTCCCTCCAGCCTCACACGCTCTCCCTCGCCCGCATATACACACTGTGCTGCCATGCACTGAGCTCGCCTGCTCTCTCCTGCCGGGTTGCAATATCAGAAACAGCCCTCCCATTGGCTGAGAGGCCAGCCAATCACAGTGGAGGAGGGCTTCTGATGGAAGGATTCACTGTCTGTTTCCAAAAAAAAAAAAGAAGGAAAGGCAGAGAGATCTTCAGCCTTCTCTGCCAAAGGGGTTTCTAAGACCATCCGAAATATGTTTTCCGATGGTCTTTGGTAAACCCTCTGAAACCCCCTCGCGACCCCCACTGGGGTCACGACCCCCAGGTTGAGAAACACTGTCTTAGGGTATGTGCTTAGGGTATTGTACTCTAGATGAGCTTTGGGCATGTGATGATCTTAGAGTATGTGCAGGGGAAGATGCGATTGCGAAGATAGGCAGGTCCCAAAATAGCAATAGAACATTCTGGGAATTAATACAAGGCAAGCCTGTTCTATGGATCCTTGTGCACAATACAATCTGAGTTGGATTAAGATCAATTTGGTTCTCACTGAAAACAATGTGAAAAGTTAGCCATGAAAGGGATCAAAGTGAATCCAACTTAGGCTGTAGTCCTATGTGCGTTTTAATTACTGAAGCACAACCTGCTCCATACAGGAAGAGACATGAAGAGGGGAGAACGTCAAAGCAACATCAGAAAACAAGATAAATGGAAACCCACAGAGAAGATTGGAAGTTAACTCCACTTGTTTCTCTCTCTTTTTAATTTTTTTCACTCCTTTTCTTCTTTATTTTTTCCAATGCATATTACTATATTTTTCTGGACTGTACCCATTTTTTTTATTCTTTCTTTCTATTTTTCCCCATTCCCCATATATGTGTGTGTGTGTGTATAAACACTGTTCTAAAAAAACTTTGTCCTGTGGGGTCCCGCAGCATTCAGTACCGTCCCCATGTTGCTTAACATCTACATCAGTGGTTCTCAACCCATTGGTTCCCAGATGTTTTGGTTGCTAGAACTCAGTTTTGATTTCTTATACTGCTGCGGTAAAATGAAAGCTAGGCTGTGAGTGGTTGCTTTAGGCATTACAGATTCCACTTTATTCCCGGACTGCTTGTTTTACTTGAAATACATGTGTATTCAAATGCAACATTGTGTCAAAATTTCATTTTGGGTTGTAGGTTTTTGGGCTGTCTGACCATGTTCTAGAAGCATTCTCTCCTGACATTTCGCCTGCATAATAATATAATAATAATAAAACTTTATTTATACCCCGCTACCATCTCCCCAAGGGACTTGGTGCAGCTTACATGAGGCCGAGCCCACAATACATCAATAATAAAAGCAATAACAAACAAACAATACAAAACAGTTAAAATAAATCTCATAAACAAAAATAAGCAATAAACATTGACAGTAGCACAACAAACATTAAAAACCTATGGCTGGGCCAAATGTAATAATTAAAATTTAAAAAATAATGCTGGGCATGAACAGGTAAGATATAACTGGGATAGAGTTTTCAGAGAGGGATGGGGGGTTGCAGGCAAACCTAAATCAGTAATAAAGCATTTAGAGGACATATTGCTGAGAGTTTCCTTATTCTGGGAAGGCACACTGGAGCAACCACATTTTCAGGCTCCTCCTGAAGACTGCCAGAGTTGGGGCATGCCTGATGTCCTTGGGAAGTGAATTCCAGAGTCGAGGGGCCACCACCGAGAAGGCCCTCTCCCTCATCCCCACCAATCGCACTTGCAATGGAGGTGGGAGCGCTAGCAGGGCCTCTCCAGATGATCGAAGAGTTCGTGTGGGTTCGTACACAGAAATGCGGTCACACAGGCAGGCGGGTCCCAAACCGTTCAGGGCTTTGTAGGTAAGAACCTGCACCTTGAATTGGGACCGGAAAATGAACGGTAGCCAGTGGAGCTCCTTAAACAGGAGGGTTGGCTGCTCCCTGCAAGAAGCATCAGTTAGTAACCTGGCTACCACCCGTTCGACCAACTGAAATTTCTGGGCCGTTTTCAAGGGCAGCCCCACATAGAGTGCATTACAGTAGTCCAATCTGGAGGTGACTAAGGCATGGACCACCCTGGCTAGATCCGACTTCACGAGGTACGGTCGCAGCTGGCGCACGAGTCTTAATTGTGCAAAGGCCCTACCGGCCACCGCTGACGTCTGAGCCTCAAGCGTAAGTGATGACTCCAAGAGGACTCCCAAACTGCGAACCTGTGACTTCAGGGCGAGTGCAACCCCGTCCAACACAGGTTGCCACCCTATACCCCAATCCGGTTTATGATCGACCAGGAGGACCTCTGTCTTGTTGGGATTAATCTTCAGCTTGTTCCCCCTCATCCAGAAAACCACAGCGGCCAGACACTCGTCCAACACCTGAGGGGCTTCCTTGGAGTTAGGAGGAAAAGAGTAGTAGAGTTGCGTGTCATCTGCATAGAGATGGCACCCAACTCCAAAACTATGGCAGGCATCCTCTGAGGTTGTGAGGTTTGTTGGAAACTAGGAAAATGGGGTTTATATATCTGTGGAAAGTCCAGGATGGGAGAAAGAACTCTTGTCTGTTGGAGATAGGTGTGAATGTTTCATTTGGCCATCTTGATCTGCATTTGATGGCCTGATAGACAGTTCTTTCTTCCACCCTGGACCTTCCACAGATATATAAACCCAATTTTCCTAGTTTCCAAGAAACCTCACAACCTCTGAGGATGCCTGCCATAGATGCAGGTGAAATGTCAGGAGAGAATATTTCTAGAACATGGTCAGACAGCCCGAAAAACCTACAACAACCTAGGGATTCCCGCCATGAAAGCCTTTGACAGTACATTAAAATTTCATTTTACTCTAAAAGCACGCGTGTATTAGAATAGAACATTATGTCGAAATGTCAAGTCAATCAGCTGGAATCCCCGGTGGCACAGTTGGCTAAACCCTTGTGCTGGCAGGATCAACAGCTCAAAGGTTCAAATTTGGGGAGATTGTGGATGAGCTCCCTCTGTCAGCTCCAGCTCCCCATGCAGGGGCATGAGAGAAACCCCCCACAAGGATGGTAAAACATCAAAACATCCGGGCATCCCCTGGGCAACGTCCTTGCAGACGGCCAATTCTCTCACACCAGAAGCGACTTGCAGTTTCTCAAGTCGCTCCTGACACACACACACACACAAAATCAACTGACTCCTTTTAGAGTTTTTCAAGCACAAACATACGCAGGCTGAGATTTTATATATAAAGATTGTATTAATAGTACTATATTTTATGACATTGTACTATTATCAATATTATATGTATATTGTTATCATAGCACAATATTAGTACGATATAATATATTCTATTCTATTACTAGCCGTCCCCTGCTATGTGTTGCTGTGGCCCAGTCTGTGTATACGTGTTTTGTGTGTGTATATATGTTTATATATGGTTTTGCACATGCGTTGTAATGGGTTTTTTGGGGGCTTTTTAAGTCTCTTCTGCTGTGTTTTACAGTGTTTTTATGAGTGATGGTGACTTGTTGGCCTGATAGGTGCCTTGTGTCCAAATGTGATGTCAATTCGCCCAGTGGTTTTTGAGTTATGTTAATCCCACAAATGAACATTACATTTTTATTTAGATAGATAACTTCAAAAAGAAACAACAGCGCTTGAGAACAAGGTGGGTTTTCTTTAAAATGGTTTATTTAACACCAAAAAGAAAAAAAAGAAAAAAATCGAGGAAACTGTAAATATTGGCCAGTGATTTTTCCCCATATATATAAAAATAAATACGCGGATGGGATCGGCGCTCGCTGCAGCGGGACAGAGCAAGGTTTCTCAAAGATAGGAAATGCCCCAAAGGGAAGGGCTGTTGCCTCGTTGTTGTTGTTTGTGGTTGTTGATGCTAGCAGTCTTTGGGGGGCGTTATAGTGACGTAGGGCAGGGCGCAGGGGCTGTCCTCGCTGGGCCAGTAGGCCAGACGCGGCCGGGCGAAGGGAGGTCGCGGGGGACCCTCGTGCAAAAGGTCAAAGTAGATCACCAGCGTAGCGCAGTAGTAGAGGGCCACGTTGATGAAGACATGCCTAAACATATATACACAGAGAAAGAGAGAGAAAGAAAGAGCTCATCGCTTGGTATTGACCCCTCCATCAGCCCCCACAGTGGAACCCAAGGAAAGCCACTGGACGGCCCTTATAATAAATATAATATATAATCAATACATATAATAGTAATACATAATCTATAATCTATCTTATCTATTTATACACATATGTATATACACGCACATATGTATGTGTGTATGTGAAGGAGGTGTCTATCTCACACAGACAGCCTCCCGCCTCCAACGCTGCCAATGTCCTCCCCGAACACCATACTGCCCACCACTCAAGTGAAGGCTTTCATTTGGGGACAATTTCATTCTAGATGGTTTTTTCCCCTCCAAAATGGACATGCCAGGGTTCCTTTCTCTCTCTCCATTGGTGTGGATTTTGCATGACTCCGCCCACTGCCTTTCCCTTAAGCCAGTGGTTCTCAACCTTCCTCATGCCGCGACCCCTTAATACTGTTCCTCATGTTGTGGTGACCCCCAACCATAACATTATTTTTATTGCTACTTGAAAACTGTAATTTTGCTACTGTTATGAATCATAATGTAAATATCTGATATGCAGGATGTGTTTTCATTCACTGGACCAAATTTGGCACAAATACCCGATGCACCCAAATTTGAATACTGGTGCAGTACGGAGGGGTTTGATTTTGTCATTTGGGAGTTGTAGTTGCTGGGATTTATAGTTCACCTACAATCAAAGAGCATTCTGAACCCCAGCAACAACAGAATTGAACCAAGCTTGGCACACAGAACTACCATGACCAACAGAAAACACTGGAAGGGTTTGGTGGGCATTGACCTTGAGTTTGGGAGTTGTAGTTCACCTACATCCAGAGAGCACTGTGGACTCAAACAATGATGGATCTGGACCAAATTTGGCACGAATCCTCAATATGGCCAAATGTGAACACTGGTGGAGTTTGGGGGAAATAGACCTTGACATTTGGGAGTTGTAGTTGCTGGGTTTTATAGTTCACCTACAATCAAAGAGCATTCGGAACCCCACCAACAATAGAATTGGGCCAAACTTCCCATACAGAACTCCACATGACCAACAGAAAATGTTGTGTTTTCTGATGGTCTTTGGTGACCCCTCTGATGCCCCCCTCGTGACCCACCCAGGGGTCCCGACCCCCAGGGTGAGAAACACTGCCTTAAGCCTTTCCTAACCTTTTCTATGGCACACAGCAGACAGGAATTGATCAGCAACTGAACAAGAGATTTGGGAAGAATTCACCATGATTTAGAGGAATTGTAGTTCACCTACATCCAGAGAGCACTGTGAGCCCAACAATGATGGATCTGGACCAATCTTGCCACAGATGATGGGACTGGCAGTACCTTCACTCACTTCCAGAGACCACTGCAACCCCCACGAATGACAGACCTGGACTACACTTGCCACACAGACTCCCATGACCCACTATATGTCCTGGTGCGGTTTGAGGGAGGATGGAATTTCACCTCATTCGCCTCCCACAGACCACTGAGACACCCACAAATGACGGACCTGGAACAAACATGGCACACTCCCCATGACCAACATAACATCCTGGAGATGTTTGGGGGAAAGTGACCTTGATGGGAGTTATAGTTCACCTACATCCAGAGAAACCATGACCTCCACTGTCAATAGACTGGGACCACATGTGGCACAGAAAAGCCCTATGACCACCTGAACCACTTGATTTATGGGATGATAATGATGATGAATATTTAAAGGAAGATTGCAGCTGATTTGAAACCTGAGATGTGCTAGTAATATTAATGATAATATTGATAATATTATCATCATCATCATCATCATCATCATCATCATTATTATTATTATTATTATTATAATGGGCTGAGCTTTAGTACAGGTTAACCACCAGCTGCAGTAAATCTGGTCAATTGAAAGGTTGACAGTTCAAAACCTGGCTCAGGGTGAGCTCCTGGCTTTAGCCCAGATTCTGCCTACCTAGCAGTTTCGAAAACAGCATTTGTGACTAGATAAACAGGTACCACTTAAAGCAGGGAGGTATTAAGGGACACATAAGGAAAAATGCCAGAAAATGCTGGTGATTTGATCAAGGAGGAAACTTACGAAGAAAGCTATTTGGCAGGGAAAGTGGAGCAACAGCACCACCACCCCCCCCCCCCCCCCCCCCCCCCCCAATGGCCAGAATCAAGCACAACCCCCAAGATGCCGAGAATGTGAAAGCCTATATATACCTCTATCTATGTACAGTTGTCTGTCTGGTCACTGTATAATAGCATTGAATGTTTGCTGTATATGTGTTCTGTGATCCACTCTGAGTCCCCTTTGGGGTGAGAAGGGCAGAATATAAATACTGTAAGTAAATACTGTAAATAAATTTATTATTAATATTAATATTGAAAGGACCTCTCACCAGAAGCTGTGGAAATAGCAGAAGCTGATCCTTTGGCAGAATCCGCAGAGAAACTTGTCGGTCAGCCAGCAGCTGATGGAAAGCAGCCACCAGGCCAGCAGCAGGCCCGCCACACGGTGGACGCGCACATCCGCACAGCTGCAAGGGAAGGAAGGCCACAGCGCCGCTCAGGAGGGCCACACTTATTGATCATTGACTATTGATTACTGATTATGTATTTACCTGCGGAGCTCCTGGCCCAGCAAGTAGAGCAGGTGGAAGGCCACGCAGTTGAGGGCGTAAGCATTCCAAGCCGGGCGGAGGAAGGACAGCAGAGTGCTGCCTGCCGACACCAGCGCCACCAGCACCATAAACTGGTCTCTGCAAGAAGAGAATATATCAATAATAATAATAATAATAATAATACGTAATATTGTAATATATTATTAATCTTCTATCTATCTTCTACACACATAATAAGAGTAACACTGCATGTTATGGCGAGTGCCATGAACATGTAGCTCAAACGCTGCTAATGTCCTTCCCAAACACTACTGCCCAACACCCAAGGAATGTGTCTCCTCCACCATAGGCATCCCAGGGTTTCTGACTCTTCCCATTGGTGTGGAATTTGCATGACCCCACCCACTGCCTCTCCCTTAACCCTTTCCTATTATTTTCTATGGAACACAGCAAACCGAGGAATTGACCAGCAACTGAACATACTAGAGAGGTTTGGGGAGAAAAGTCAGTATTTGTATGTATGCATGTGGCAGTGTGGACACTTCCACAGGCCACTGCAACCCTCGCGAATGGCGGACCTGGACCAAACTTGGCACACAGACCCCCCATTACCACTTTACACTCCCCAGAAGTTTCAGCGAGGATGGACCATGGATGATAGGATTTGCAGTACCTTCACCCGATTCAGCTCCAACTTTGACAGAGCACTGTGACCCTCACGAATAATGGACCAGGAACAAATTTAGCACACAGACTCCTCATGACCAACAGAACATACTGGAGAAGTTTGGGGGGAAATGACCTTGATTTTGGGAGTTGTAGTTCACCTGTATCCAAAGAAACAGTGATCCACACTGATCCACACATGGCCAACTATGAATAGTGGCAGAGTTTGGGGTTGATTGCCCTGTGAATCTGGGAGTTGTAGTTCATCCTTATCCAGAGAGCACTGAACCCAGCCGATGTTGGATGTGGACCAAACTTAAGTGATATTACCTAACATCCCAAAACAAACAATGCCTTCTTCTAATAATCTAGGCATTGCCGGGTCCCCAAGCTAGAAAAGTAGTATAATATAATATAATATTAATGATATAATATAATACAATAATATAGAAGGACGGAAGGGTGCTGCCTGCCGACACAACACAAACTGGTCTCTGCAAGAAGGGAATACTAGAAGAATATAATAATAAGAATAATAAGATTTATAAAATAATATAACAATATAGAAGGAAGGAGGGAGGGAAGGAAGGAAGGAAGGGTGCTGCCCACCGACACTAGCGCAAGCTGTGCCACAAACTAGTCTCTGAAAGAAGAGAAGATAACTTTTGCCACTTTCCTGGGTTGGAATTGCTTGAGAGCCATACAGTTTTGAGTCATAGGTTAAACAATAATAATAATAATTCCTGACCTGTTCTTGATGAATCCGGGGAAGTGGCGAGTGGGGAACCAAAAGGCGTAGCAGATGGACATTCCCCACAGGATGGAGAGTTCATCCAATAACTGACCGGCAAAGCTCAGTGTCATGTGGAAGTACATGGAAAAGGCCCCTGCCAGAGCGACAGAACCAAAGAGATGGTGCATTATATTATATTACATTATATTATATTATCAAATATTATATATTCATATTACATTATTACATAACACTATATTTTTATTATATATTAATATTATAATATATTATTATATATATAACTAGCTGTGCCCTGCCACGTGTTGCTGTGGCCTATAGTAAGAATTTTCGAAGTACAGGTAGATATCTGGACTATTATGAAAAGAGAGGTATCTACCTATTCCTTTCCCCCTTTTTCTTCCCTTTCCCCTTTCTCTCCTTTCTTCCTTCTCTACCTCTCTTTCATTCCTTCTTTCACTCTTTGGTTACATCCTTCCTTCTCTCTTTCCTTCCTTCCCTCCCCCTTTCTCTACTTCTTCCTTTGTCCCCTTTCTTCCCTCCCTGTTTCCTTCCTTCTTTCACTTTTTATTTCCTTTTCTCCTTCCTTCCTGCATTTCCCTCCCTTTTTCTTTCCTTTCTACTTTTTCTTCTTCCTTTCTTCAGTACCTCTTTCTTTCCTTCCTTCCTTCTCTCCTTCCTTCTCTCTTTCCTTCCTTCCCCCTTTCCCTCCTTCATCCCTTCTCTTTTTCCCTCCCTTCTTTCTTCTCTCCTTCCTTCCTGTCTGTTCTCCGCAATACCATGGTAGAGTCCCTTCTAACTCTATTCTGTGAGTCTATTTAATATAGTAATCTATAGTAGTAGTAACATTATATTATACAGTAGTATTTATAACAATAATATATAATATAATATATATGTATTACATAGCAGTTTATATAATAGTAATATTTAAAGTATTGTAATATTAGATATATATACACACACCAACCAGTGATCCAACATCCATCCACATGTGTGTGTGTGTGTGTGTGTGTGCATGTGTCTACACTGCCACATAATCCAGTCCTAAGCAGATAATCTGGATTTTACATGGCAGTGTGGAAGGGGTGACTTTGGGTGCATCTACACTGTAGATTTAGTAATAGAGGATGAAGCTGGCAAGGGGAGGAGAAAAAGGAAGGAAAGAAAGGGAGGAAGGGAAGGAAAGGGAGGGAAGGAAAGAAAGGGAGAAAGGAGGGAAAGGAAGGAGGGAGGGTGGGAAGGAAAGAAGTAAAGGAAGGAGAAGGAAGGGAAGTGGAGAAAGGGTTGGCCATCTGTTGTGAGGGCTTTGATGGTGTCTTCCTTTACTGCCAAATGTGGTTGGGCTGGATGGTCTTTGGGGCTCCTTTCCAAGCAATGTCAGTTTTGTGTATCCCTATTAGCCCCATCATGATACCTTCCTCCTTCCCTTGTGCTGTGGGAGTGTGTGTGTGGGAGACAGAGAGTCAGAGTGTGTGCACAGAGTGTGGCCCACCTCCCTCTTTTTTCCTCCCCCCCCCTCTCCTCCCCCTCCTTCTTCTCCTTAGCCTCTGCCCTTTGATCCCTTGTCTTAGTGTTAGTTAGGGGCCGAGAGACATGCAGGGAGCAGCAATCATTGCCGCCACTGCTACTTCGGAACCCTCCTTCTGTGTCCTCAGCGTGAGGGGTGGGGGGGGGGGGGTGTGTTGTCTTCTCCTTTTTTGAATTGTAAGGTGTTTTTGTGGGGTTTTTTTTCAGTGATGGTCACTCCTTGGATTGTGAGGGGTTTTGTTGCCAAATTTGGGGTCATTTGGCCCCGTAGTTTTTTTGTTTTTAAGGTACTCATTACGGACAGAGCAGTTATATATATATATATAGATTATATATTATTAGATTATATGTATCACCCTTTGCTCACCGATGCAAAGCTGGGCCACAAAAAGGCTCTTGACAGGATTCGGGCGGAATTTCATATAGGAGCCATTCATCCAGAGAAGGAAAGGTGCCAGGATGAAGAAGGAGATGTTGCTGATCTGGAATGAATGAATGAATGAATGAATAATAATAATAATAATAATAATAGCATTGGTTCATTAGTAGAGTAATAATGATGTTGGTTGGAACTGAAAAGGAGCCCCCAAAGGCAGTCCAGTCCAACCCCATTCTGTTGTTGAAGGACACAATCAAAGCTCTCCCGACAGATGGCCATCCAGCCTCATAATTAGGTTTTTGGAGAGAAATAGGGCTATAGAAAACAGGGACGCCACAAAGGTCATCCAGTCTGACCCATTTCTGCCAGAAAGGAAGACATCTGAGCCCAACTGACAGATGGCCATCCAGCCTCCATTTAAAGACTCCCATAGAATCATTGAGTTGAAAGGGATCCCAAGGATTAATAATAATAGAACTCAGCCTGCAAACGGGATGATGGGGGCATCACAGTCCCATTATTAGGGACAATTCCATGTAATTATTATTATTATTATGCTATTATATTATTATTATAATAATATAATAATAATAATATAATCACTATAATATAAATATTGCTTATGCTATTGTATTATTATAATATATTATATTATAATATATTATATGACATATTATTATATTTATATATAATAATATAATATATATATTATAAAATTAATATTTTTATTATTATTATATGTATATTACCGTATTGTAGTATTCGGCGATATACTCAGAATGCTCAAAGTTCCCTTCGCACCAGTCGACTTCCGCGCTTTGATAGGCAAAGATGCTGGGCATCCTATAATAATAATAATAATAATAATAATAACAACAACAACCATATCAGAAGAAAATAATAATAATAATAATAATAATAATAATAATAATAGGATGAAGGAAGAGACCTTGCTGATCTGAGATAATCACAATAATAATAGACTATAAAAGAGTATAAAATATAATAATCATCATAAATATGATAATAGTAGAAAATAATAATAGAATACAATAACAGAATACAATCATAGAATAATAATAATAGAATAATAACAATAACAGAATATGATAGTAGAACAATAACAACAATAATATAAGAACAATAAAATATAATCATCATAACAGAAATTAATAGAATAATCATCATAACAGAAAATAATAGTTGCTCAATAATAATATAACAATCATGGAATAAAAGTAAAAATATTAACAGAAAATAATAGCAAAATATTATTATAATAAAATGATAACCTAATATAACTCTGGCATGGGCTGGTCCATGAGGTCACAAAGAGTTGGAAGTTACCGAATGAATAAACAACAACAATATAATAAAAACATTTTTGTGAATATTTTTTCTCAATATTTTCATGATTATTTTTGTGAATTTATTTAATTATTTTCATGAATTGTTTGATTATTTATGTGAATATTTTTATGATTATTATCATTATTTTGTGATTTTTAAGAATGATTTTGTGAATATTTTCATTATTATTTTGACAATATTTTGTGAATATTTTCATTATTATGTTTCTGAATATTGTAATTTTTGTGAATATTTTCATTATTATTATCATTATTATTTTTGTGAATGTTTTATGAATATTTTCATGATTATTTTTCACGAATATTTATTTGACCATAAATAAAATAATAAAATGCATTTTAACTGACTATAATACTCTTAATATAAAAAATATTCATAAAATAACATAATATAACTATAATATAACAATCCTAAAAATAACAAGAAATAATAATAATAATCATCATCATCGGATGATAAGGGGGACGGCTGCAAACCTAAAAACTAAGCCTTTTATTGCTTTGCAGGAAAACGAACCTGTCCATCCGGTTTTCCCTGCATCACTTTCTCCTCTTTCTATGTCTTTTTACAACTTCTATACCTGTGTTGCAACTTCGGCAACAGAAATCCTGCTACTTGACCCTATTTTATGTCCAAAAGTTTGTTGCAAGAGGATTGGCTGGCCATCTGTTGGGAAGGATCCCATGGTGTCTATCCCACCCATTTTTGGAATTATTCATGGAACTGTCATGTATATGTATATGTAAATATATATGTATTCAGCACAGAATATCATAATAAAATGCTGAAAATGCATTTCCACCAGAGTGATTCCAGACACAAAAGCCTTCAGCAATATAGTCATAATGGTAACAACAGAAAATAATAATAATAATAATAATAATAATAATAATAATAATAAATAAAAGCCGCACAATATAATACCCATAATAATAATAGAATATAGCAATAATAATATAATAATCATAACCATAATATAATAACAAAATATAACAATAGTGTATAATACTCATAATAAAAAATAATAGAATATAACAATAATATATTATAATAATCATAAAAATAATATAACAGTATATAACAATAATATATAATAATTGTAACAAAAATATAATAATAATAATAATAATAATAATAATAATAATAATAATAATAACTTTATTTTGTACCCCACCTCCATCTCCCCGAAGGCATTTGGGGTGGCTTAGACAGGGACAAGCCTGAATTCAACATAGTTAAAATATAATACAAAAAAAATCATAAAAACAATTTTTAACAATATAAAACAACCACATATAACACAATATAAAATAATAATTGAGCAAACCACCAGAAAATAATAATAAAAAATAAGAATCATAACAGGAAAGGAGAGGGTGTTTGGTGGCATTATTGTTAGGAAATATATATATATATATATATATATATATATATATATATATATGATGTCACTATATATTTTATAATATTATTATAATATCAATATAATATATTTTGTTGTAATAATATATTACTATTATTATATTATATTATATTATAATGCATATTTACATATTAATATCATTATAATCTATTTTGTTATTTATCATTTATTTTTGATCCAACCATCGGGCACAAATTGGGCTTGCAGAGTCAAAGGTAAGAGACAGGTAATTGATGTGTTGCCTGTGCCTTACCTGCAAAGATGAGCCTGGCAAGGTGTTGCCTGTTATCGACAGGTAGCCGTCTCTTTCTCTCTGTCTCACTTTCTTTCTCTCTTTCCTTCTAACGCCGTTCCTTCGAGGTGGGTCAAAGGGGACTCCCAGGAGGCTCCTCCATCCAGCACTACCTTTGGCCGACACCTGTCCGCAGGTGTTTAAATACATGCCGAATGCCACACCTGAGACAACACAAGAAAGGCTTTCCCAGGTACATTTCGACACACCTGAGATGCTTATCTGGCCTCCTCCTTTCACCGCCCTCCGAATGGGTCTCGGTGCTGAGTTCGAAACACAATCCTTTCCATCTTGCTTTCTCCCCTTACAGGTGCAGAGCCTTCTTCATATTGGCACCAAATCCATCACATTTTTGCATGTTTCCGAGGGTTTCCACTATATACGTTTTTCTGAGAAAGGTAAAATGGACAATAATAATAATAATAAATACCATAAATAATAATATTTAATAATAATAATAATAGATTCATAGCCAATTTGAGTCTCCTTCAGGAGAGATAAAATGAGGTATAAAGAAATATAATAATAATAATAATAATAATAATAGATACATAGCCAATTTGAGTCTCCTTCGGGAAAGATAAAGCAGGAGATATATATATATATATATATATATATATATATATATATATATAATAACCATAGCAATATAATCATATTATTTATATATATAATCATTTATTATTTATTATTTATTTCAGGTACTTCTACCCCGCCCTTCTCAAACCCGTAAGGGGGACTCAGGGCAGCTTCCAACCGGGATACGTTGATGCCTACAATTCACACAATAAAATACACAATAATAGTAATTATAACAATTAAAACATTACATTAATACAATAAAAATATAATAAAAAGCCAGCCTGGTGGCCATAGTTTTGCCAAGTCCGTAATTAATAAATTCATTCCGCTTATCATAGTCCGTTTCCAAAGCTTTAGTCGTCATTGTCCATTGTCAGTCTCCCAGATTACCCATAGGCCTGGTCCCATATCCATGTTTTTTTATTTCCTTCTGAAAGAGAGGAGGGATGACGATGATCTAATTTCCCCGGGGAGTCAATTCCACAGGCAGGGGGCCACCACCGAGAAGGCCCTGTCCCTCGTCCCCGCCAATCTCGTTTCTGACAAGGGCGGGGCTGAGAGCAGGGCCCCTCCAGAAGATCTTAAATTCCTAGGCGGGACGTAGAAGGAGATACGTTCAGACAGGTACGCTGGGCCGGTGCCGTAGGGTTTTATAGGTCAATACCAGCACTTTGAATTGTGCTCGGAACTGAATCGGCAGCCAGTGGAACTGACATAACAGAGGGGTGGTATGCTCTCTGTATGATGCTCCAATGTGAAGTCTAGCTGCTGCCCGCTGGACTAGTTGAAGTTTCCGAACAGTCTTCAAAGGCAACGCACGTAGAGCGCGTTGCAGTAATCTATTCGGGATGTAACAAGAGCATGGACCACTGTGGCCAGATCATAGTCATAATAATATAACAGACTGTAACAATATATAATAATCATAATGTTAACATAAAATTATATATATATATATATATATATATATATATATATATATATATAGTATTAATTATTACTTATTATTATTATTAATATATAATATTTTATTATTAGGTTTATCGAATAATTAAATTATATTTATTATAATATTTATTATAATATTTATTATAATTATATTTATTATTGTATCTTTTATTATTAGGTTGGTTGATATAATAATACATTTATTATAATTATATTTATTACTATGTTTATATTTATTCAATATTATTATAGGCATTGTTATATTTATATTATATTATATTCATTATTATTACATTGATTGCTATATTTATGATATGTATTATTATATTCATTATTGTTTTCATTATTGTTGTATTTGTTATGATTCTATTTATTATAATATTTGTGATTACGGTATTTATGATGATGATGATTATCTGGCTCAAGTGAGTGAACCAAGCCTCGGAGCAAAGAAAAAGGGAAGCAAGGAAGGCCTGCCTGGCAAGATGGATGGGCCTCTTGCACCATCGCTTGCGCAACCGGCTCCAGGAGAGGTTCATCCACCCCCAGAGACTCTGTATAAAGCGATTATATCCATACTGATGAGATTAAGGAGGGAAAGGCGCCTCTCTTACTGTCCTTCGACATCTTGGGAACCTCCCGCCACTGCCTTTCGCACCCGCCTCCACAGGTCTTTCCTTGGGAAAAGAGGAAATAATATAATTCGAAGAGGAGGAGGATCACACAGTCCATGCAACGGTTTTGGGTTCCCTGGGCCGAGCAACAGTGGAGAGATCTATAATAACAAATAATAATGAACAATCATAATAATACAATATTATTATATTAATCTTATATTATTGTAATATATTATAATAATATATATTATTATTAAATATACATAATATATAATATTAATATATTAATATTATGAAATTATAAAATAATGATATTATATTAATATTATATCATATTAATATACCAATGCAATAAAATAATAAATATAATAACAAAAACATAATTAGAAGAGGAGGAGGATCACACGGTTCACGTGCTGGTTTTGGGCTCCCTGGGCCGAGTCACCCTGGAGAGATCTATAATAACAAATAATAATGATGAATATAATCATAATAATACAATATAATAATAAAAATATCAATGCAATAAAATAATAACTATAATGACAATAAATACAATAATAAATATAATAAATTTAGCAGTCCTATAAAATAATGTATATATAACAATAAATATATCAATGCAAATAATAAGGTCATCTTACTGGGATCTGCACGCATTATTCGCCGATACATCATACAGTCCTAGACACTTGGGAAGTGTCCGACGTGTGATCCAATACAACAACCAGCAGAGTGACCTTGTCTGCTGTGTACTAATTTTGTTGTGTTTCAAATAATACTAATACAACACAATAATAAAAATATAACAATAAAAAATGTCATAGGAGGATCACATGATTGATGCGCTGGTTTTGGGTTCCCTGGGCCAAGCAACACTGGACATCAATAATAACAAAAAATAATGAATATAATAATAAAATCGTAGGAGAAGGAGAATCACATGATTCATGTGCCGGTTTTGGGTTCCCTGGGCCGAGCAGCAGTGAAGAGATCAATAATAACAATAATTAATATTATAATAATACAATATAATAATAAACATAACATAATAAAAAATATAATAGGGGGAGGAGGATCACACAGTCCATGCACCGGTATTGGGTTCCCTGGGCTGAGCAATACTGGACATAGATAATAACAAATGATAATGACTATAATAATACAATATAATAAATATATAATAATAAATATCATAGGAGGGGGAGGATGACACGGTCCATGCGACGGTTTTGGGTTCCCTGGGCCGAGGAATTAAGGTTGCCCCCCCCCCCACCTCATTGTAATGGCCAGGTTTAGAGGGCTCTCTGTGGGGCTTCATTGGCCTTGCTTTTGGAGCTTTGCTGCCTTGTCTTCCCTTGCAGCCGAGTTCTTAGAGCGCCCCGCTTCCTCCATCCATCCCTTGTGGCCTATTTAGGAGGTTCTCTGGGGCTTCAATGGGGTTTCCTTTGAAAGAGCCCTTCCTGCTGCTTCGTTTGGGGGCATCAAAGGGACCATCGGAAAACATATATTTCTGATGGTCTTAGGAAGGAAGCCCTTTGACAGAGAAGGCTGGAGACCTCTCCTCCTGTCCTCTTCTTTTTTGGAAACAGTCAGTGAATCCTCCCACCAAAAGCCCCCCCTCTCCTGTGATTGGCTAGCCTCTCAGCCAAGGGGAGGGCAGGGAGGGGAGATGCAGGGAGAACTACAATTACCATCATGTTGGGTCAGTCCCCCCACCTCAAACCCCACCAGTACTAAAAGTTAGCCATATTGGGTATTTGTGTCAAGTTTGGTCCAGATCCATCAGTTGGGTGCACTTTGTCGATATGGGGGAACTAAAACTCCCAATCTCTGAGGTCAGTCCCTTCGAAACGCCACCACTATTCAAAGTTTGGCATGTTGGATATGTGCGGCAAGTTTACTAGTTCGATCTCCAGTTTGGTACAAAGTGCTCTCTGAGTGTTGAACTAATGAAGTCGAACATGACCCCTCCCCCCATTAGAGATAGTAACTTATAGTTTTCCTAAGGGCAAGGACACCAGGCTGGATAATAAGGGTTAAGCCTTGGTCAATTTGGTGTGTATCATTTAATCAAGGCTTTATGCCCTATTTTCATATGTTTATAGCAGAAGGTAACCAATTTATTACTGAAAATCCTGCCACAAAAGTACTTGACTTTTTCCATCTGAGACACACCTGGGCTCCTGATGGCCCCCTATCTCACAAACAAGGGACTCTCTTTCCCCCTCAGGGATATATTTCCCTTTATGCAGCTTCCTATGAATAATATGAACTATGGACACTGGGGGAGGGTCGTTGGGTTTACTCTCTGTATTATGATTTCTAGCGATTGTGAAGACCCTTATCTCAGAACATTTCTTGCATGGAAAATTAACAAAGAATTATTTTCTTGACTTCGGAGTCGGGCCATCAAGAAGATAATCATTTGGCAGACTTTTTAATCACATTACAATGGGGGGAAACAAGGACCTTCGGGAAGTCCTCTTCCCCAACCCGTTTTCTTTCAAGCCTTTCCATTAAAGACATTCACCCAAAATCTCCCCCATTGTGTCCCTGCCTGACCGCAAGAGGAAAACCTGGATTAAGTGATCAATGCTTATCTCAGATCAACCACGACACAATAAACAGGTTTCGCTTGAAGGCCATTTAGGACTGGCTGAGCTACACGGACATTTCCTGAGTTCCATAATCCATTCAAGAATGCATTGTATTCCCTTGTCCCACCTCCCTCCCTCCTGATTTGCCGACGCACCAAGGCGGCAGAAGCCCTTTGATTGGCCCAGGTGCTCGAGGGGCAGACAAGCCTCCTCCCAGTTGTTGAGGCGCCAGCCAATCACCTTCAAGCCAGGCGGGGGTGGGAGATTTTTTTCTATAAAAATGGCATTTATTTCTGTACATGTATGCTTAGCTTGGCGAATGATTGCCGCATTGCATCCTTTTCAGCTGAATCGCTAATAAATCATCTCGGTGGCGCTTTCTTTAACTTTGGTGAGATTCTTTCTGGGAACTTAGGGAAAATAAATTGCTTAAAATTAGGCTTCTCTTTGCTCACCAACGTAGCGATCCCTCTTTGGTGGGGCTGCAGGGTCTCTCCTCCTGGGGTAGACCCTTCTAAAGTTCCTATCGACTTCACTACAACTCCCAGAATTCAAAAACTGCCCCCCCCAACCCCACCGGTATTCAATGTTAGCCATGTAGGTAGTGTGCCAAGTTTGGCGCAGGTTCATTGTGGGCTTGGTTCAGAGTGCTCTTGGATTGTAGGTGAACTATAAATCCCAGCAACTACAACTCCCAAATGACAAAATCAACCCCATCCCCCAACCTCACCAGTATTCAAATTTGGGCGTATCAGGTATTTGTGCCAAATTTGGTCCAGATCCATTGTTGTTTGGGTTCACAGTGCTCTCCAGAGGTAGGTGAACTACATCTCCCCTAAATCACTGTCAATTCCTCCCAAATCCCTTCGATATTTTGTTGGTCATGGGGGTTCTGTGGGAAGTTTGGTTCAATTCCATTGTTGGTAGGGTTCAGAATGCTCTTTGATTGAAGGTGGACTATAAATCCCAGCAACTACAACTCCCAAATGTCAAGGTCTATTTTCCCCAAACTCCGCCAGTGTTCACATTTGAGCATATTGGGTATTCATGCCAAGTTTGGTCCAGGTGCATCCTTGTTTTGAGGGAGATGTAGTTTTAAATAGAATTTTCGTAGATGCTTCCAATGACTATAAGTCTCGTATGTCCTGATTTATAGAGGCCTTTGTTTGCAAAAATGAAAGAGCGGTCTCAAGGATGAATTCACTGGAGTGGTGCTGGTGCAGCTCTTCTGATGTCTGTGGTGGAGTCTCCAGGGTGGAGTGCAGGGGTGAGCAAACCAGGGCCTGGGACTGGGATGCGCCCCCTTGGGCTCTTCTCTCAAGCCCTCCTCTCTCTCACCATCCTTTCCTTCCTTCCTTCTCTCTTTTGTTCCTCCTTCCATCCTTCTCTTCCTTCCCATCCACCCTTTCTTCCCTCTTTCCTCCCTCCGTCCCTTTTGTCTTTCGTCTTTCCTTCTTCCCACCCTCCCTTACCTCCCTCTTTTTCCCTCCCTCCTCTTCTGCCCTTTTGTCCTTCTTTCCTTCCCTCTTCCCGCTCTCCTTCCTTTCTTCCTTCTCTTTTGTCCTTCCTCCCTTTACTTTTCCCTCCCTCCATTCTCTTTCACCTTTTCGTCTTTCCTTCCTTCCCTCTTTCCTCCCTCCCTTCCCTTCCACCCTTCCTTCCCTCCCGCCTTGCTTTCCTTCCTCCTTCCCTCCCTCTCTCCCTCTTTCTCCTTCTACTCTTCCTTCCTTCCCTCTTTCCTCCCTCCCTCCTTTTGTCTTTCTTTCTTTCCTTCCCTCCCTCCTTCGCTCTCTCCTTCCTTCCTTCCCTCAGTCTTTCTCTCCTTCTCTTTCCTCCCTCTCTCCCCTTCCACCCTTCCTTCCTTCTTTTCCTCCCTCCCTCCCTCTCCTATTTCTTTCTCCTTCCACCCTTTCGCCCTTCCCTCTTTCCTCCCTCTCTCTTTTGGTCTTTCTTTCCTTCCCTCTTTCCTCCCTCCCTCCTTCGCTCTCTCCTTCCTTCCTTCGTTCCCTCAGTCTTTCTTTCCTTCTCTTTCCTCCCTCCCTTCCTCTGTTCCCTTCCACCCTTCCTTCTCTTCTTCCCTCCCTCCTCCCTTCTTTCTTTCTCCTTCCATCCTTCCCTCCCTCCTTCCCTCCTCTCCTTCCTCCCTCCTTTCCTCCTGGGGGATGTTTAGCTGGGAGAAGAGAAGGCAGAGAGGGGACATGAGAACCAGACCTCCCAACCTCTGGGGATGCCTGCCATCGACGCAGGCGAAACGTCAGGAGAGAAGGCTTCTTCTCGAACATGGCCATATCGCCCGAAAAACCTTCAAGCCCCTGAGAACCATGTTTCAAGATTTCAAAGGGTGTCCCATTGAGGAGGGGGAGGGGGGGAGGAGGAGGAGGGGAGGGGCCCCGCCGCCGCCGCCGCCTTTCTGCTCCTCTAGAGACCAGGGCACAAGGGAGCCACCCATGGGTCGTTCACATGGCCGGGAAAGAGACTCCACGGGCCAGATGAAGAAGACCTTCCGGAGAGGGAGAGCTGGGGGAGAGTGGCCTCGGCTGCCTCGGAGAGTGGGGGGCTCTCCCCTTCTGGCGGCTTCCCCGCAGAGCCTGTCTCTCGGGAGTGCTTTGGTTGTGCCTTCCGGCATGGCAGGGGCTTGGATTGCATGGCCCTTGGAGGTCTCTTCCAGATCGAGGCAATCGTGGGGCCAATCAATACACTTGGTCTCTCCCACCCACCAGCTCATCCTGAGCAAAGCCAAGCCTTTGGGGAGCCGAACGTTCCCCGCCTTTCCTTCACTTTATGCCTCCGGAGGGGAAGGGGGGGCAGGGAAGGGCCTTGGGGAGAAACCCCTCCCCCCCCATGCCTGGTGAAGAGCCCCGTGGAGGTGTGCTGCCTTTGCCAAGCTGTGGAGAGGGAGGGAGTTGTCCGCTAGGGGCCGCTGTGGGGCTGGTGCTGCCGAGGCAGGCGCGGCGCAGTGTGGCTTCCCTGCCGGAAGGGGGCGCGCCCGCCAGCCCACTCCTTCCTGCGTAGGGTCGCCCGCCTGGTCCCTTTTGTTGCCTCCGGAGCTCAGCATCAAGGGGGGCCGAGGAGGAGGAGGAGGAGGAGGAGGCGAAAGGAAGGAAGGTAGGAAGGGCCGGGGCATTGCCTTCCTTTCCCTTCTGCGCGCCCGCCATGGAGATGAAGAAGCGCCTCACGCTGGAGCTCCGGAACAAGAAGCCCGCCGAGGTGAGCAGCAGGAAGAGGAGGAGGAGGAGGAGGAGGACGTGTGCCCTCCTTGCTTTGGGAGTGAGGCACGTGTCTCGGGGCAGGCGGGCGGGCAGGCGGGCAGGCAGGCAGGCAGGGTGGAGAAAGCACATCGGGGGAGGCCCATGCCTTCAACCCACGAGTCCAGGCCTTGCCAGGCGAAGAATGAGGCTCAGTGCTCCTCAGAATCATTCACGTGCAAACATTAGAGGGGAGTCCCAATAGCTATGTCTTAAACCCAAGAACCCAAGCCTTGCAATGATAATAATAATAATAATGCTGAATGAATGCAACTCCCCTAATGTTTATATTTAAATTATTATTATTATTACTAGCCGTACCCGCCACGCGTTGCTGTGGCCAACCTTCCCTCCCTCTTGCTCTCCTTCTTTCCTTCTCTCCTTCCCTTCCTCTTCCCTTCCTTCCCCCCTTTTTCCTTCCCTTCCCCTTTCTCCCCGTTCTTCTTTCTCTACCTATTCTTAGATTGCAACTCCCAGCAGTCCTCCTGATCGAGCTATCTACCTCTCTATCTAGTCTATCTATCTGGAGGATTGCTAGGAGTTGCAGTCCAGGAATAGGAAATTGGAAATATGCAGGGATGGCGATGCTCTCAAAGAAATCCAAGGAGAAGAAAGCTTGCGCTTGGAAGCATTGCATTTTGATCCTCCTCCCCCCAAAGGGCCTGGTCGAGGGGATGCTGGGAACTGTAGTCCAGAAGAGAGTGTGGGTATGCTATTGTGAGGTTTTTCTTTTTTCTTTTTTTGCTTAGGGCCTTTCCACACAGCCCTGTATCCCAGAGTATCTGCTTTGAACTGGGTTATCTGCATCCACACTGCCCTATATCCCAGTTCAAAGCAGAACAAGTGGGATTTTATTCAGCTATGTGGAAGGGCCCTTAGTTTCCAACAGACCTCACAACCTCTGAGGATGCCTGCCATAGATGTGAGCGAAATGTCAGGAGAGAATACTTCTGCAACATGGCCAGACTGTCCAGAAAATTCACAGCAACCCAGTGATTCTGACCATGAAAGCCTTCGACAACACTAAAAATAAGGCTCACAGTGCCATTCATAATAATTCAAATTCAAACATTAGAGGGTAGTCCCAATATCTATGCCTTAAACCCAAGAACCTAGGCTTTCCAATGATAATAATGCTATTTATTTATCATGTCAGGAGCAATTAAACAGTTGTATTACATTTTTAACAAAACAAACATACAGACAAAACACAAAGTTTGCAAGCTTGGTAGTTGATTAACTGTCCTTTGACCAGTATCTGGCCACTTGGAGTGCCTCCGATGTTGCCGCAAGAAGGTCCTTGTGCATGTGGCAGGGCTCAGGTTGCATTGCAGCAGGTGGTCAGTGACTTGCTCTTCTCCACACTTGCATGTCGTGGATTCCACTTTGTAGCCCCATTTCTTGAGGTTGGCTCTGCATCTCGTGGTGCCAGAGGGCAGTCTGTTCAGCGCCTTCCAAGTCGCCCAGTTTTCTGTGTGCCCAGGGGGGAGTCTCTCATCTGGTATCACCCACGGATTGAGGTGCTGGGTTTGAGCCTGCCACTTTTGGACTCTCGTTTGCTGGGGTGTTACAGCGAGTGTCTCTGTAGGTCTTAGAAAACTATTTCTTGATTTAAGTCATTGACATGCTGGTTGATACTCAAACAAGGGATGGGCTGGAGATGTCACTGCCTTGGTCCTTTCAGTATTGGCTGCTACTTCCTGGCGGATGTCGGGTGGTGCAATACCAGCTAAGCAGTGTAATTTCTCCAGTGGTGTAGGGCGCAGACACCCTGTGATAATGTGGCATGTCTCATTAAGAGCCACATCCACTGTTTTAGTGTGGTGAGATGTGTTCCACACTGGGCATGCATACTCAGCAGCAGAGTAGTACAGCGCAAGGGCAGATGTCTTCACTGTGTCTGGTTGTGATCCCCAGGTTGTGCCAGTCAGCTTTCGTATGATATTGTTTCTAGCACCCACTTTTTGTTTGATGTTCAGGCAGTGCTTCTTGTAGGTCAGAGCACGGTCCAGAGTGGCTCCCAGGTATTTGGGTGCGCTGCAATGCTCCAGTGGGATTCCTTCCCAGGTAATCCTCAGAGCTCGGGATGCTTGTCTGATCGTAAGGTGAAAAGCACATGTCTGTGTTTTAGATGGATTGGGGATCAGCTGGTTTCCCCTGTAATAGGCAGTAAGAGCACCTAGAGCTTCGAAGAGCTTCTGTTCAACCATCTCAAAGCTCCCTGCTTGAGCGGTGATGGCACGATCATCAGCAGAGATGAAACTGTCCCTTCTGGCAGTGGCTGGTCATTTGTGTAAATGTTCAACATGGATGGAGCAAGCATGCTCCCCTGAGGCAGGCCGTTCTTCTGTTTCCGCCATCTGCTTCTCTGGCCCTGGAACTCAACAAAGAAGCTCCTGTTTTGTAGCAGGTTTCCTATGAGACGGGTGAGGTGCTAGTCCTTTGTGATATTATACATTTTTCTCAGGAGGAGGTGGTGGTTCACAGTATCATAGGCTGCTGACAGGTCTATGAAGACAGCTCCTGTGATCTGTTGCCTTTCAAAGCCATCTTCTATATGCTGAGTCAGGTTCAGCACTTGCGATGTGCAGCTTTTGCCTTTCCTGAAGCCAGCTTGCTGTGGAATCTGACATGGGTCTATTTTTTCCATAATTCTATGCAAAATAAGTCTCTCCAGAACTTTGTAGAGGTGGCACAGCAGAGAGATTGGTCTATAGCTTTTTGGATCATTACGGTCTTCACCTGGTTTCAAGATGGCGATGACTCTTGATTTCCTCCAGATTTTGGGGATCTGACAGGATGCAGTGCAGTTGTTCATCAGTTCCAGCAGCCAGCACCTTCCTTTTGGACCAAAGTAATAATGCTAAATTAATGTGACTCCCTTAATGTTTGTATTTGAATTCAGAGGCGGCCCTAGGTAATTTTCAATGGTAAGCAAACAGTATTTTGGTGCCCCCCCCCCCCCCCATCAATCACTGATATATATTTTCTGTCCGTTGTGGGAGTTCTGTGTGCCATATTTGGTTCAATTCCATCATGGTGGAGTTCAGAATGCTCTTTGATTGTAGGTGAACTATACATCCCAGTAACTGCAACTTGCATAAGTCAAGGTCAATTTTCCCCCAAGAGCGCCTCAAGAGCACCCCTGGGCAAAATAAACTATACTGCAAATGCTTACTTTGAGTAATGGGTTGAGCCACCCCTGTTTGAATTATTACTATTATTAGTAGTAGTATTATGATTAGTGAGAAGCTTCTCATCAACAAGATGAAGTATCATGATAATGAAAATGGAAAATAGGGAACATTAATCCACGGATATATAAACCCCATTTGCTTCATTTCCAACAGACCTCACAACCTCTGAGGATGCCTGCCATAGATGTGGGCGAAACATCAGAACAGAACGCTTCTGGAACATGGCCAGACAGCCCAGAAAACTCACAGCAACCCAGTGATTCCGGCCATGAAAGCCTTCAACAACACTAAGAATAAGGCTCAGAGTGCTACTCATAATCATTCAAATGCAAACATTAGAGGGGATTCCCAATATCTATGCCTTAAACCCAAGAACCCAGGCCTTGCAATACTAATCATAATTCTTCTACTAACTATTATTAATAATTCAAATATAAACCTCAGGGGAGTCGCATTAGTTTAGAATTATTATTATCATTGCAAGGCCTAGATTCTCTAATTTAAAACCTAGAGTTTGTAATTGGACTCCTCTAATGTTTATATTTGAATTATTATTATTAGTAGCAATATGAGCATTCTTCTTAGCATTGCAAGGCCTGGGTTTTCGGGTTTAAAGCCTAGCTGTTGGAATGAGACTCCCCTCTAATGTTTATTAGTATTAATGATAATGATAAACAGATAGTGATTAAGAGATGGGATCTTCAAAGGCCATCTAGTCACAGATAATGATAGATAGATAGTTAATGATTGAGAGAGGCATTTATGATGGGTATACTGTAGAATTGTAGGGTTGGAAGGCACCTCTAAAGACCTCCCAACCAGCCAGGAAGGCACCATCTGATCTCTCCCAACGGAGGGCCATCCATCCATAGGTATGATTGGCCATCCCCAAAAGACAAAGAAAAGGGCTTATGTAGGTTTGTTTTTAAGTTGAATTTGTATGTAATTCGGAACAGGGACTTTTTAAAGTGTAACTCCAGATAAGCACACACACACTATATATAGACTAGCTAGGTCCCTGGTGTTTCCTGGGCTACTTGAAAAAGTCAATTTGTAATTGTACAAAATGCATAAGGTTGTGGGTGAACTACAACTCACATTCCAGGTTAACCCCAAGAAAACTCCACCAGTACTTAAAGTTTGTTATGCTGGGCAAGTTTGCTCCAGATGCATCATTGGTGGTGTTGAGTGTGCTCTCTGGCTGCAGTGTAAACTACAACCCCCACTATGGTGAGTCAGTCCCCTCCAACCTCTCCAGTAGATTATGTGCCATATTTGGTCCAGGTCCATCATCAGTGGATGTCACAGTTTTTCTGGTTGTGGGTTAACAACAGCTCCCAGAAAGGAAGGTCAGTTTTCCCCAAGCCCCTCCAGTAATCAAGTTTCGGCATATCAGGTATGCGTACCTATCTTGGTTCAGATCCATCAGAGTTTGGGTTCAGAGTGCTCTCTGGATGTAGGTGAACTACAGCTCCCCCAAATCAATGTGAATTTTCCCCAAAGACCTCCACTATTTTTTGCTAGTCATGTGGGCTCTGTGTGCCAAGTTTGGTCCAATTCCATCGTCGGTGGAGTTCAGAGTGCTCATCGATTGCTGGTAAACTATAAATCCCAGTACCTACAACACCAAATTTTGGCATATTGGGTAAGTGTGCCAAATTTGGTCCAGACCTCCAGTATGTGTTGTTACTCATGGGGGTTCTGTATGCCAAGTTAATTCCAGGTCCATCGGTGGTTGAGTTCAGAGTGCAGTTCTTAGAATGCAGTTGAACTATACATCCCAGTACCTACAACTCTTACAAATCATGGTGAATTCTTCCCAAACCTCTCTAGTATGTTCAGTTGCTGATCAGTTCCTCTGTTTGCTGTGTGCCATAGAAAAGAATAGGAAAGGGTTAAGGGAGAGGCAGGGGGCAGAGTCATACAAATTCCACACCAGTGGAGAAAGTAAGAAACACTGGGATGTCTGTCTGTGATGGAGGAGAAACAGAAAATCTAGGATGGAATGGTTTCCTAATGAAAGGATGGAATGGTTTCCTAATGAAAGCCTTCACATAGGTAGTGGGCAATGTGGTGTTTGTGGAGGACATTGGCAGGGCTCATGGACATGTTCATGGTGCTCACTATAACCTGCAATGTCATTGGAGGGAGGGCTATCAGTGTCTCCTGAGTAGTGGGAGCTAAAGCTGTTTGTCGAGGCAGGAGCTCGTCTGTGTAAGTGAACACCCTAGCTACACACATACATATTTTCACTTTATTGTGTGTGTGCGTGCGTGTGTGTGTATAAATATATATATGCATGCATGCTATGGAGAGCATAGGGAAGGGGTAATATCCCTGTGGGGATTCCTTTGCTGCCTGTACCCCTGTTCAGAAGACTTCACCTCCATTTCTGTCCCTGTGATAATTGGGTTTTGAAAATTTGGTGATAAAGGATTGGAGATAAAGCCTCAGTGGAGACCCGTTTCCCCCTGATAATAACTCTTCCTGGAGTGGATTTCCTTTCCTTCCAAGGGGGGGGGGGGTTCCTCTCACTTCCTGTTGTCTCAGCCCCTATTTTCTTCACTAAGAGTTGTTTGCAGGTCAGTTGTTTGTAACTCAGGGACAGCCTGTATGCTACGCAAATCAGTGCAAATCCTGACCCTTTTTGTTGCCTTCCTTCCTCCCTTCCTTCCTTTCTTCCTTCCTTCCACAGGTGAAGGAGCTGGTCCTGGACAACTGCCGCTCGGACGACGGCAAGATTGTGGGCCTCTCCCCGGACTTCGAGAACCTGGAGTTCCTCAGCATGATCAACGTCAACCTCCTCTCTGTCGCAAATCTCCCCAAACTCAGCAAGCTCCGGAAGGTGAGCCTTTGGGGTCTATTGGCATGACATTATTGTTGTTGTTGTTATGTTATGTTATTACGTTATTATTCATTTATCATGTCAGAAGTGAATTGAGAATGCAGTTATAATGTATTTAAAAACACGAACAAAGTTCAAACTTGTCATTATACTAAATGTCCTTTGACCAGAAGCTGGTGTGGCTGTGAGAAGGTCCTCCACTGTGCATGTGGCAGAGCCCAGGCTGCATTGTAGTCAGTGTCTTACCTAATAATCCTATCTATCTGTTTTCCCTTATATTTCTTCTTGTGGTTTGTGTAATCGTTTGTTGAAGGGATGGATTTCTTTTGGGTTGGTGGATGGGGTTTGGGGGGAGGGGGAAAATGTGCTGGCATCTGTTCCAGACTGTATTCCCTTTTTTCCCATAGTTGGAGCTGAGCGACAACCTCATCTCTGGTGGTCTGGAGGTCCTGGTGGAGAAGACCCCCAACTTGACGCACCTAAATCTGAGTGGCAACAAAATCAAGGACATCAACACCCTGGAGCCCCTGGTGAGGAATAGGGAATGGTACCCTATTAACTTGAGTCTCATGTGCCATCAAATTGCATGTACACCTCCATGGTCAAACATCTGGTTCTTAACATCAGTAAGACCAAGCAGCTCATAGCGGACTATAGGAAGAACAGACCTTGGTCATAAATGGAGACCAAGTGGAGCGTTTGGCCAGTTTTAAGTTCCTGGGTGTCTCTGTTAAGGAGGATATGACCTGGAGTGTTCATAAGGCAGTGATGGGGAAGATTGCCCAGTAGAGATTGGACTGTCTGAGACTTCTAAGGAACCCCCCAAAGGCCATCCAGTCTAACCCATAAGAGATAGACAGACAGATGGATGAATAGGTCGATAAGTATGTGGATGGATGAATGGATAGAAAGATGGATGGATGGATGGATAGGTAGACAGGTAGATAGATAAAATGGTGGATGGATGGATAAGTAGGTGGATGGATAGGTAGACAGGTAGACAGAATGGTAGATAGATGGGTGGGTAGATGAATAGATAGAAAGGTAGATGAATGGATGGATAGGTAGGTGGATGGATGGATAGGTAGAATGGTGGATGGATAGATAGAATGAGTGGTAGATGGATATGTAGATAGGTTGATAGATAGAATGATGGATGGATGGATGGATGGATAGAAAGAATGAATGAATAAATCATGGCTTTAAAAGGGACCCCTAGAGGATGGGTGGGTAGACAGACAGACACACACACAGATAGATAAAATGGTAGGTGGATGGATGGATAGGTAGCATGGTGGATGGATGGATCGGTAGATAGAATGAAGATAGACGGATATGTAGATAGGTAGATAGATATAATGGTAGATAGATGGAGGAATGGATAGATAGATAGATAGATAGATAGATAGATAGATAGATAGATAGATAGGAAATCAGAAGTCGGAGACGACTGAATGAATGAACAACAGATAGAAAGGTGGATAGATAGACAGACAGACAGAAATGTCGGTAGGTGGGTGGATTAGTAGATAGATAGACAGATCGATGGTTGGATGGATAGAAAGGTAGATAAATAGATAGATTGGTTGATAGATAGGTCAATAGAATGGTGGGTGGATTAGTAGATAGATAGGTCGATGGATGGATAGAAAGAAAGATCAATAAGTACATGGCTGGATGGATAAATAGATCGATTGATGGATGGATAGAAAGAAAGAAAGAAAGAAAGAAAGGTTAATAGATAGAAAGATAGAATGGTAGATAGATGAATAGATGGATGGATTGATAGAAAGGTAGATAGATGGGTGGGTGGGTGGATAGAAAGAAAGGTCGATGGAGAGAGAGAGAGAGAGAGAGAGAGAGAGAGATAGATAGAGATAGATAGATAGATAGATAGATAGGTAGGTAGGTAGACAGACAGACAGACAGACAGACAGACTTCTAAGGAATCAACAACTGAATGGAAAACTGCTGGTGACTTTCTCCCACTGTGCTCTAGAGAGAGTCCTGGCTTACTGCATCTGTGAGTGGTTTGGTAACTGCACATAACTGCAGAGAGGAAGGCTCTCCAAAGGATCTCCACTTCTGCACATGGGCTGCCCTCTTTCTCCCTTTTTAAGAAGAACTTTATAAGTCTCGCAGCCTTAAGAAAGCTCAGAGCATGCTTGGGAATTTCACCCGGCATGTTCCTCTTTTTGAATGGTTGTCACCTGGCAGATGCTACAGGGTGACAAAGGCAAGGACAAACAGACTGGGAGACAGTTTTTGTGCTACAGCTGTGGCTATGTTGAACTCCATGACTTCGCATTGATGTGGCATTAGGGGCTGGGCGGTGGTGGTTGAGGAGCATAGCATTGGGCCATTCAATGAGAGGTGCAGTCCTTCAGAGAGACTTTATCTTTCAGAAAAAGCTGCCCCACTTGCGGAGCCTGGACCTGTTCAACTGCGAAGTGACAACGCTGCTGAGCTACCGGGAGAGTATCTTTGCCCTCCTCCCGCAACTATCCTTCCTGGATGGCTTCGACACCCATGACAAGGAGGCCCCCGACTCCGACCCCGAGGCTGATGGCCTGGATGACGACTTCGAGGAGGAGAATGGAGAGGGTGAGAAACCACCCCCAGAAAGGAGGAATCATATTAGAAATGAATGCATGAATGAGATACTGTTTCTGTCCCACCCTATCTCCCCAGTGAGATCATTCTTCTTCTTCTTATTTACTAGCTTGGGTCCCTCCCTGGCGTGGCTTGGGTTATTTGAAGAAGCCATTGTTTAATGCATAAGATTGTAGGTGAACTATAACTCCCATCATACCAGGTTAACCTCAAAACTTCATCAGTACTTAAAGTTTGTCATGTTGAGCAAGTTTGCTCTATATGCATCCTTGGTGGGGTTCAGTGTGCTCCCTGGCTGTAGGGACTATAACTTCCTTCATGTGGAGTCAGTCCCCCAAACCCCTCCAGTATGTTTAGTTGCTGATTAGTTCTCCTCTGTTTGTTATGCAGACAGAGTTGAAAAGAGTAGAAAAGAGTTACGGTAGTGGCGGGGGGGGGGGGGGGGGGGGGGGGGGGGGGGGGGGGGGGGCATGTAATTTCCTCACCAATGGAGAGAGTAAGGAACACTGGGGTGTCTCTGTGGTGGAGGAAACATGTGAAATCTAGGGTGAAATGGTCCCCGTATGAAAATTTTCATTTGGGTGGCAGGCAGTATGGTGTTTGTGGAGGACACTAGCAGGGAGTGGGAGGCATGATCATGGCGCCCACTATAACCTGAAATGTCCTTGGAGGGAGGGCTTTGGGTGGGTCTTCAGCACTATGGGTTATAGCTGTTTGTGGAGGCCGGAGGCTGTCTGTGTGAGTGGACACCTCTGCCACATACACATTTTCTTTCACTTTTATTTGGATAGGTTATTATGTGGGCAGATGATTTTATATAAAGATCATTATTATTTTATAATAATTAAATATTTTAATAATCAATATTTTCTCATGGTCTTTTGATGATGTTCCCGAAGAAGATGACATGACTGTGTTTGAATGAATCTAGATGACTGCACATGGGAAAATATTCCCTAACTGTTTCCCTTTTGGGTCCATCCCAAGGCTATTGTAATAACTCTGATATATTCCTGGTTTTAGAAGAGGAAGAGGAGGATGAAGAAGAGCTGGATGAGGACATTGTGGATGAAGAGGAGGATGAAGAGGAGGAAGAAGATGGTGTCGATGATGAGGTATGTATTTATTTACTGTGTCAGAAGCAAATTGAGACTACAGTTACGCGGGGCGTTCATTAAAGATTTCCCCTGATCCACTTCCTGGGGACTGAGAGCAATGAAACTTGACACATTTATGAGTCCTTCTCTCCATTGTTGCCACCTAGGGACACACACTTTCCCCATCTTTTTAAGCAATTGTCAACACTTTTCTTGTAGAAATCAACAGGTTGCTCTAAAGCCACGTTGTGATTTCGGAAATCAGAGTCTCGTCATCTGTAAAATGCTTGCCATTCAAAAATAACTTCATTGTTGGAAAAAGGTGGAAGTCCAATGGTGCGAGGTCAGGTGAATAAGGGGGATGTGGTAGAATTTCAAAGCCACGGGAGCATGCTTCCATTTGGGCAACAGGTGAGTTGTGAACCGGTGCATTGTCTTGCAGAAGGCAGACACCTTTGGTGAGCATGCCACATTGTCTCTTGGCTTTGATGGCCTCCCGCGATTTCCACAGCAATGAAGCCTAGTGTGCCCCAGTGATCATGGTCCCCTTTGCTAGGAGATCCATCAATACTACTCCGTGTTGGTCCCAAAATACTGTGAGCATGACCTTGCCTGCCAAGAGTTGGGCACGTGCCTTCTTTGGAGGTTTTTTTTTTTTTTTGTCGTGTCAGGAGCGACTGCTCCTGTTGTGAGGGAATTGGCCATCTGCAAGGACATTGCCCAGGGGACGCCAGGATGATTTGATGTTTTATCATCTTTGTGGGAGGCTTCTCTCATGTCCCCGCATGAGGAGCTGGAGCTAATAGAGGGAACTCATCCGCCTCTACCCGGATTTGAACCTGCGACCTGTTGGTCTTCAGTTCTGCCGGCACAGGGGTTTAACCCACTGAGTCAGGATGCTTCCATTGCATTGACTGGACTTTAGTCTCAGGATCATAGTGATGGACCCAGCTTTCATCCTGTGTGATCGGTCTGTTGAAAAAGTCATCCTGGTTTCCATGGCACATCATTGTCGATAGAGCCTGAGAGCATTCGACTCGTTCCTGCTTCCGGAAAGGTGTGAGCACCCGGGGGACCCAGCAAACAGATACCTTATGCATGTGAAGATGGTCTTGGGTGATTTTTTTTTTCACGGACCCCACACTAATCTTGACATTTTCCAAAATGTCAACTTTCACTTGCTGGATGGTGTGTTCATCAATAGCGGAGTGGGGTCGCCATGGAACTGGAGCTATTTCCACCAAAGTCCGACCACATTGGAATTGACGATGCCAGTTCTTGATTACATCATATGATGGGGAATCCTCACCAGAAACCTCTTTCATCTCATCATACATCTCCTTTGGTGTGCATTCTTTCAAGTAAAGGAACTTGAGGACTGCTCTGTATTCCACTGGGTCCATTGTCAAACCTCACACCATTTCGGCACCTGTAAAATCAAGACCATTATCACTTTTGAGTTGTAAATTGGCACCTAACCTATACTTATATCATTACACATGTGCAGTTTCAGCATCCTGTGATATATAGAAGTCTTGGAAGTGAGTCAGGGAAATCTTTAATCAATGCCCCTCATATAGTGAATAAAAACCCACAAAGTTAAAAGCTTGGCATTATACAGGGTGAGGCAGCATAACTTCCTTTTTTCAAAACTTAATAAAACCCAATGTATGAACCAGATTTTTTAATTATTTTTTTATAATGTAGGTGCATACCTAAAGTTTTGTTTTACGTATTTTTGAAGATCAAATTAGGTAGGTGACGTCCCCCATTCTCCATACACTGAGGAAACTGATATCTGGCGTTTGTCATGACTCCTGTCAACATAGCAGGCGTTATGTTGGCAATTTCTTCCTGGATGTTGGTCTTCAAATCTTGTAGGGTCCTTGGACGGTTCACATAAACACGGGATTTCAAAAAACCCCATAGAAAAAAATCACAAGGGGCCACATCTGGAGAGCGGTCCAGCCACTCCAAATCCGCTCAAAAAGTAGGTGTCAATGGCAAAAGCACACTCCTCACTGTTCCAACGCATGATGGCGACTGAACTGTGTCAGGACAAAACTTTATACTCCCTCCTCTCGAACGAGACCACTAGCGCTCCGCTATGTCTTCAACCGACTGAATGGTGCACATTTTAAAAAAGGAAGTTATGCTGCCTCACCCTGTACTAAATTTCCTTTGACCAGAAGCTGGCCACTTGGAGTGCCTCTGGTGCTGCTGTGGGAAGGTCCTCCATTGTGCATGTGGCAGAACTCAGATTGCATTGTAGTCAGTGGTCTATGGTTTGCTCTTCTCCACACTCGCATGTCATGGACTCCACTTTGTGGCCCCATTTCTTAAGATTGGCTCTGTGCCTTGTGGTACCAGAGCACAGTCTATTCAGCACCTTCCAAGTTGCCCAGTCTTCTGTGTCCTCAGCAGGGAGTTTCTCATCTGGTATCAGCCATGGGTTGAGGTTCTGGGTTTTTGCCTGCCACTTTTGGACTCTCACTTGCTGAGGTGTTCCTGTGAGTATCTGTAGACTTTAGGAAGCTATTTCTTGATTTAAGGCATTGACATGCTGACTGATATCCGAACAGAGGATGGGCCGGAGATGTCCATGCTTTGGTCCTTTCATTACAGGCTGCTACTTCCCAGCAGATGTCAGGTGGTGCAACACTGGCTAAACATGTAATTTCTGCAGCAGTGTTGGGCGTAGGCATCCTATGATAATGTGGCAAGTCTCATTAAGAGCCACATGCACTGTTTTATTCTACACCGGGTATGCATACTCAGCAGCACAGTAGCAAAGCACAAGGGCAGATGTCTTCACTGTGTCTAGTTGTGATCCCCAGGTTGTGCCAGTCAGCTTTCATACAATATTATTTCTAGGGCCCACTTGTTGCTTGATAGTCAAGCAGTGCTTCTTGTAAGTCAGAGCACAGTCCAGAGGGACCCTCAGGTATTTTGGTGTGCTGCAATGCTCCAGTGGGATTTCTTTCTCAGAGCTCAAGATGCTTGTCTGTTCTTAAGATGAAAAGCACACGTCTGCATTTTAGGTGGATTAGGAACGAGCTAGTTTTCCCGGTAATATGCAGTAAGAGCACCTAAAGCTTTGGAGAGCTTCTGTTCAACCATTTCAAAGCTCTCTCCTTGAGTGGTGATGGCTTCATCGTCAGCGTAAATAAAATTCTCTGTCCCTTCTGGCAGTGGCTGATCATTTGTGTAAATGTTAAACATTGATGGAGGAAGCACGCTCCCCTCAGGCAGGCTGTTCTTCTGTTTTTGCCTTCTGCTCATGTTTTCTAGCAGATTTCCTATGAAATGGTAGTCCTTTGTGCTATTGTACATTATACTATAAGGTGAGGCCATACAAAAACAAGAAAACCACACTTTCTCCCTCTTTTCCCCTATTGAAAGTGTGAAATACAGCCTTTAAAGGGAGCAGGAAAAAGTCCAAACAGAACATGGACTTTTTTTCCTCTTCCAAACGCCTCTCAATGCTTTATTCCTTCCTCAGGACGAAGAGGAGGATGAAGAGGAGGAGGAGGAGGAGGAGGAGGAAGGCGAAGAAGGTGAGTCCGCCGTTGCTCAGTATTGTTTAGGATCGATTGTGAGGCTTAATTGTCATAATTATGAGTCTATTTGGATCCCCATTGCAGTCGTGAAAAATCCTTGTGGAAGTGGGTTTATTTTTTAGTGATTTTCAGTGGACGTTGGGGTGTTCAATTCCCTTTTTAATATTTGTATGAGGTGTTTTTTGAAGGTTGCAAGCCGCTTTTGTGTCTCAGTCAAATTATTGTTATTATTATTGGCCATCTGCACACTTTCTGGAGGGTTTGGTGTCAAAAATTGTCCCCCAATAGAATTATAATTATTATATTATTATTATTTTGTTGGCAATCTGCACTGTTTCTGCAGGATTTTTGAGGCCAAAAACTGCCCCCAATTATTATTATGATTATTATTTGTGTTATTGTTGTTATTGTTATTAATGCCCACCTGCATTTCTTTTGGACAGTTTGAGGGTCAAAAAGCGTCCTCAATAGATATATTATAATTATTACCATTATTATTGCCTATTTGCATTGCTTCAGGAGGGTTTGCCCCCCAATGGATTAATAATAATAATAATAATAATAATAATAATATTTTTAGGGTAAAAAAGTTCCCCTAATTGATGTATTATAGTTATTTTTATTATAATAATAATAATAATAATAATAATAATAATTATTATTATTATTATTATTATTATTTATTTATAGACCACCCCATGTCGCTGAGGGGACTCAGAGTGGTTTCCAATACTTATGGTGAACATTCAATGCCAGAAAAAAGACATTTTAACAAATTGCATCAAAAGAATACACATTTCATTTATTCATTATTTACTTCACTTATATGCCGCTTTTCTCCCCCCAGAGGGGGACTCAAAGCGTTTTACAACATAAATATGGCAAAATTTAATGCTTCACCTACAGAAACCTAACGTAACGATAATAACATACAATTATCGATGAAATCTTAAAACATGACATCGTTTAACATTAAAACATGGAATTAAAAACATATCAATATAAACATTAAAATCACACAATCCAACAATTGTAGTCCAGACCATTCCAAATATCATATCTTTTGCACATAATTGTCATGATCTCTATCTCATGCCATCCAACTATCAGCCATTTTGACACAGAGCACATGGCCATGGGCCAAAAGGGAGGACAGGACATTTGAACCAGCCATAAAACTCGGTTGCCCTGGGGTGGGAGGACAGTGGGCTCTGGAATGTTGAAAGGGGCAACCTCCAGGCACCAGGACTCTTGAGTGATTTATGATATTGTAGCTAGGCTTGTATAGATGGGCAGTAGTACAAGACTCTTGTATTCCGAACAATAAAGAGGTGTGGTATCTTCAGCCCATGTGCGTCTTGGCGTCATCTTTCTTTCATGAGAAGACTAATCCACAGCAGCACAGTGGGAGCTGGGATACCTTACAAAAATCTCTGATCATTCCTTGTACTGCTTACTGCCCATCGGCTTGGTCCCATAGCCAAGTTTTTACTTTTCTTCTGAAGGCCAGGAGGGAGGGCGCTGATCTAATTTCGTTGGAGAGGGAGTTCCATAACCAAGGAGCCACCACCAAGAAGGCCCTGTTTCTCGTCCCTACCAGTCACACTTGTGAGGGGGTGGGACCGAGAGCAGGGCTTCCCCAGATTATCTTAATCTCCAAAATGGTTCACAGAGGGAAATACATTTGGACAGGTAAGCTGGGCCAGAACTGTTTAGGGCTTTCTAGGCTAAAGCCAGCACTTTGAATTGTGCTTGGTAGGAGACTTGGCAGGCAGTGTAGCTGGCATAACAGGAGGGTTGTGTGCTCCCTGTACCCCACTCCAGTGAGAAATCTGGCTGCTGCCCAATGGACTAGTTGAAACTTCTGAACAGTCTTCAAAGGCAGCCCCAAGTAGAGCATGTTACAGTAGTCTATATGGGATGTAACCACATCAAAGAAAATACAACAGCCATTGGTATAAATTTAATACCAAATAGAAATTAACCAAAAATAAAAATAAAACTTGTCAACCCTAACAGACATAATCACATAATATGAATTGAAACAGGATAGAATTTAAAATAACTAGAACCATGTTTGGAGCTAAGACGGTTTCCAACAGTATACAGGCTGAGTTCAGTAGCCAAAAAAATTTAATATATCTCAACAAAGTCATATATCGAGACATCTTAGTCTTCCTCCTCTCCGTACGACAAAGTGCAGAAGTTTGTCTTTTTAAAGGAGAGGAGGGAAGGGGGAGTTTTTAGTTCTTTTGGGAGGGAGTTCCAGAAGCGGGCAGCAACCACGGAGAAGGTCCCCCCTCTCATTCCCACCAGCCATGCTTGAGATGGGGGCGGGACCGAGAGCAGGGCCTCCTCCGTGGATAACAAGGCTGGGGCCAGTTTGTAAACGGAGATGCGATTAGACGAATAGCCTGGACCCGAACCATTTAGGGCTTTAAAGGTAATGACCAGCACTTTGTATTTAGCCTGGAAACACTGGCAGCCAGTGGAGCTGTTGCAGAATGGGAGTCATCCTTTCCCGGTACGGCGCTTCAGTTAATAACCTGGCTGCCAGTCTCTGCACCATTTGAAGCTTCCGAACTATCTTCAAAGGCAACTGCACATAGAGAGCATTGCAGTAGTCCAAACAGGAAGCGAGCAAGGCATGGACTACCATGGCCAAGTCTGGTGTCTTAAGGTACGGGTGCAACTGGCAGACAAGTTTTAACTGTGCGAAGGCGCTCCTGGTCACCGCCAACACCTGAGGTTCCAGGGTCAGCGATGAGTCCAGGGTCACCCCCAGATTGCAGACCTGTGTTTTCAGGGGGAGTGTGATCCCATCCAACACAGGCTGTAATCCCACACCCTGATCTGCCTTTTGACTGACCAAGAGTACCTCTGTCTTGTTTGGATTTAGTTTCAGCTTGTTGGTCCTCATCCAGTCCATCACTGATGACAAGTTTAGGACCAGGAAGACATCCTAAGGTTAGGTGGAATGGAGAAGTAGAGTTGGGTGTCGTCCACATAAATCTGACATCAAACTCCAAAACTCTGGATGATCTCTCCCAGTGGTTTCATGTAAATGTTAAACAGCATGGGAGACAGAATTGAACCCTGAGTGACCCCACAGGCCACCACCAGTCAAACAGGAGTCCCCCAACACCACCATCTGAGTCCGCCCCTCCAGAAAGAACCAGAGCCACTGCAAAACACTGTCTCCAAGCCCCATCCAGGAGAGATGGCCCATAAGGATACCATGGGTGATGGTATATTCTTTATTTATTTATTTACAGTATTTATATTCTGCCCTTCTCACCTCGCAGGGGACTCAGGGCGGATTACAATGCACATATACATAGCAAACATTCAATGCCATTTAGACATACAACATATATAGACAGACACACAGAGGCTATTTAACATTCCAGCTATTCCAACTTCATGAGGGTATGCTCAATTCCAGCCACAGGTGGAGCTGCTGCTTCACCATCCACTTGTGACACCGAGTCCTTTGCTGAAGTACTTCCTAATTCTTCTGCATGCTGCTGGAAGGTTTTGTGGCGTCATAAATTAGCTAAATTACCCCCCCGGCATAAAGCGGTATCTAAATTTCCTATTTGACAGATGCAACTGTCTTTCGGGCTGCATAGGTCCACAGCAAGCTAGACTATTAATAGTCGGGAGCTTACTCCGACCTGGGCTTGCTTCGAACTCATGACCTCTTGTCAGTAGTGATTTAATGCAGCTGCTACTAACAAGCTGTGCCACAGCCCGGTCCTTATTATCATTATTATTATTATTATTGCCAATTTGCATTGCGTCTGGAGAGTTTGGGGGGTGGGGTGTCAAAAAGTGCCCAAATTGATCTGTTGTAGTTTGTTTATATATTTATTTCTTTATTTATGGCATTTGTAGCCCGCCTTTTTCAGCCTTACCTCGACTCAAGGCTGCTGCTGCTGCTGTTGTTATTGGCAACCTGCCTCTGGAGAGTTTGGGGGTCAAATGGCTATATTATATGTGAATGGTTGGTGGATGGATTGATTGACGGTTGGGTCCTATTCCCTCCCCCCCCCCCAGACCTTCCTCAAGGCGAGAAGCGGAAACGGGAAATGGAAGACGAAGGGGAGGAAGATGAGGAAGAGGATGAGGAAGAGGACGAGGACGACGACTGAGCCCACCACCACTACCACCACCATAATCATTCATCATCTTGTCTTATGGACTGGGACCCTTTCCTGTGGTTGCCCTGCCCCTTTCTTAGACCCCGAGGAGGGGGCCACCCTTACAGTATATTTTTTTAAGAATTCAGGTTTCGGAGCCCCCCCCCCCCCAAAAAAATGTATTTTCTCACTTTTCGAGACCTAACTTGTTGGGGACGATGGGTATCGGAGTCGGGATTGGATGGGATTAGGAGTCCCGTCCTCATCCTCAGCCTGCCTTCCCTTCCAACAATTCTCTCACTTTGTTGGTTTTTTTTTCATCGTGGTCTCAGACATGAATGGGTTTTGTGATATATATATATATATATCTTCTTTTTTGTTCCTTGGTCAAGAAATTTGAATAAAACTTTTGATAAAAGACTCCCTAAGGGGGAGCAACCACAAACCGACAGAGGTGTGTTTCCCTTTGCCGGCCACTAGAAGGCAGCATTGAGTCGTGGGTTTTGGGAATGGGAAGTTCTGCTTTGACCTTATTTCTATTTTGCCTTTCTTCCTTAAGTGACTTATAAATAACATTATTATTGGGTTGCTGTGAGTTTTCCGGGCTGCCTGGCCATGTTTCAGAAGCATTTTCTCCTGATGTTTTGCCCACCTCTATGACAGGAATCCTCAGAGGTTGAGAGGTCTGTTGGAAACTAGGCAAGTGGGGTTTAAATAGATCCCTATGGAATAATGTCCAGGGTGGGAGAAAGAACTCTTGTCTGTTTGAGGCAAGTGTGAATGTTTCCATTGGCCACCTTGATTAGTACTGAATGGCCTTGCAGCTTCAAAGTCTGGCTGCTTCCTGTCTTGGGTAGTCCTTGGTTGGAAGGTGTTAGCTGGCCCTGATGGTTTTCAGTCTGGAATTCCCCTGTTTTCTGAGTATTGCTCTTTATTTACTGTCCTAGTTTTAGAGTTTTTAAAATACTGGTAGCCAGATTTTGTTCATTTTCATTGTTTCCTCCTTTCTGATGAAATTGTCCACATGCGTGTGTATTTCAGTGGCTTCTCTGTGTAGTCAGACATGGTGGTTGTTAGAGTGGTCCAGCATTTCTGTGTTCTCCAATAATATGCTGTGTCCAGGTTGGTTCGTCAGGTACTCTGCTATGTCTGACTTCTCTGGTTGAATCAGTCTGCAGTGCCTTTTGTGTTCCTTGATCCATGCCTGCTACGTTTGAGGGTCCCTGTGTAGACTTGTCCAGAGCTGCAGGGTATACGATAGACTCCTTCAGAGGTGAGAGGATCCCTCTTGTCCTTTGCTGAATGGAGCATTAGTTGGATTTTCTTAATGAGTCTGTAGATAGTTTGTAGATTGTGTTTCTTCATCAGCTTTCCTATGCACTCAGTGGTTCCCTTGATGTATGGTAAGAACACTTTTTCTCTGGGTGGATCTTTGTCTTGACTCTCATGGCTTGTTCTTGAGCAACACTCAGAAAACAGGGGGATTCCAGACAGGAAACAACCAGGGCCAGCTAACATCTCCAAACCAAGGATTCCCCCAGGCAGTAACAGCCAGGCTTTGAAGTTGCAAGGCCAATCTGTCCTAATCAAGCTGGCCAACAGACAAGAGTTTTTTCTCCCACTCCAGACATCATTCCACAAGGATATATATAAACCCCACTTGCCTAGTTTCCAACAGACCTCTCACCCTCTGAGGATTCTTGACATAGATGTGGGTGAAACATCAGGAGATAATGCAGGAGATAATGCTTCTGGATCAGTTTTCCAGACAGCCCAGAAAACTCACAGCAACCCAGTGATTCCAGCCATTTAACCCTTTGACAACACATTATTATTATTATTATTATTATTATTATTATTATTATTATTAATTTTACTGACACAAAAACACAGTATGTCACAACAAGCAAGATATATATTCTGGATTTCATATCACAAAATCACAAATCGAACACTTCTCAAGCATCTAGGACTGTGTGATGTATTTCTGAATGATGCGCGCAGATCCAAGTAAGGTGGCCTTTTGCAGTTCACTGATCGTGATTTTGTCAGTGTTTATTGTTTCCAAATGCCAGCTGAGGTCTTTTGACACGGCACCCAGTGTGCCAATAACCACTGGGGCCGCCTGAACTGGTTTATGCCAGAGTCTTTGCAGTTCGATTTTGAGGTCTTGATAAAGGCTTGAGTTTTTCCTGTTGTTTTTCCTCAATGTGGCTGTCACTTGGAATGGTGACATCAATAATTCAAACTTTTGTCTTTTCCACAATCGTGATGTCTTGCGTATTGTGTTGCAAAACTTTGTCAGTTTGAGTTCAAAAGTCCCACAGTATTTTTGCGTGTTCATTTTCCACTACCTTTACAGCAGGGGTCCTCAAACTTTTTAAACAGAGGGCCAGGTCACAGTCCTTCAAACTGTTGGAGGGCCAGATTATAATTTGAAAAAAAATGAGTGAATTCCTATGCACTTCGCATGCCTTATTTGTAGTGCAAAAAACCCCACTTTAAAACAATACAATAATTAAAATGAAGAACAATTTTAACAAATACAAACTTATTAGTATTTCAATGGGAAGTGTGAGCCTCCTTTTGGCTGATGGGGTAGGATTGTTGTTGTTGTTGTTGTTGTTGTTGTGTGCTTTCAAGGCGTTTCAGACTTAGGTTGACCCTGAGTGAGGGCCGGGTAAATGACCTTGGAGGACCGTATCCGGCCTCCGGGCCTTAGTTTGAGGACCCCTGCTTTACAGGTTTATGATCCCACCAGTTCTTTACTGCTGGCAGGTGCTGCTTGTAACGTAAGTTCCAATGAATAATCTGCGCCACAGAGTTGTGTCTTTGTTTGTAGTCCGTCTGTGCAATTTTCTTGCAACAGCTGAGGATATGGTCCATGGTTTCACCCGCTTCCTTGCACAGTCTGAATTTTGGATCATCAGCTGATTTTTCGATCCTGGCCTTAACTGCATTTGTTCTGGTGGCTTGCTCCTGGGCTGCAAGCATCAGGCCTTCTGTCTCCTTCTTCAGGGTTCCATTTGTGAGCCATAACCAGGTCTTCTCCTTGTCAACTTTTCCTTCAATGTTGTCAAGGAACCGCCCATGCAATGCTTTGTTGTGCCAGCTGTCAGCTCTGGTTTGGAGTGCAGTTTTCTTGTACTGATTCTTTGTCTGCTGTGCTTTGAGAAGTTTCTGATCATTAACTTCAATCAAAGCAGGCTCTTTGCTTTACATATTCTGCCATATACATATTTTACATATTCATTTACATATTCATTTACAAATTCTACATATTTCCTTTACATATTATTTCCTTTACTTATTATTATTATTATTATTATTATTATTAATTCTATCCTGACTTTCTCCTCATAGGGATTCAAAAGTAGCTTCCATTATTTATTTATTTATTTATTTCTGTCTCACCATTCTTCCTGCAGGGACTCAATGTGGCAATCAATATCATCATCATCATCATTATTGTTTATAACATTATTATGACTGCAAATCATGCGATAAAAAAGCCCCTTTTCATAAACCTTCTGAGATGTCTACAAGGCTAAATATCCCTCTCTCTCTCTCAAGAGGGATTGGATTGTGTCTTCCTTCCTGGCAGAGATGGGGTTGGACTGGATGGCCTTTGTGGGTCCCTTCCAACCATAGTATTATTATTATTATTATTATTTGAAACACAACAAGATGAGTCCACAGCAAACACTCTGCTGGCTGTTGAATTGGATCACACGTCGGACAATTCCCAAGTGTCTAGGACTGTGTGATGTATCGGCGAATAATGCGTGCAGATCCCAGTAGGGTGGCCTTCTGCAGCTGGCAGATAGTAATTTTGTCAGCACCGATTGTGTTTAAGTGCAGGCCAAGGTCTTTAGACACTGTACCCAGTGTGCCGATCACCACTGGGACCACCTTGACTGGCTTGTGCCAGAGTCTTTGCAGTTCAATCTTTAAATCCTCATATCGTGTCAGCTTTTCCAGTTGTTTCTCTGCAATCCTGCTGTCACCTGGGATTGCAACATCGACGATCCATACTTTGTTTTTTAACACGATTGTGAGGTCAGGAGTATTATGCTCCAAAACTTTGTCTGAATCCGGAAGTCCCAGAGGAGTTTGCCGTGTTCATTCTCTGTAACTTTTTCCAGCTTGTGATCCCACCAGTTCTTTGTCGTAGGCAGATGGTATTTGTGGCACAAGTTCCAATGAATCATCTGAGCAACAGTGTTGTGCCTCTGCTTGTAGTCTGTCTGCGCGATCTTGCAGCAGCTGAGGATGTGATCTGTTGTTTCTTCTGCTTCCTTGCAGAGTCTACACTTGAGATCTGTTGTCGACTTTTCAAGTCTGGTTTGATGGCGTTGGTTCAAATGGCTTGTTCTTGGGCTGCCAGAATCAGGCCCTCCGTCGTCTCCTTTTTCAGAGTTCCATTTGTGAGCCACAGCCATGTTTTTTCTTTGTCAATTTGGCTCTCCATTTTTGCTTGAAACTGTCCATGGAGAGCCTTCTTTTGCCAATTTTCTCTTCTGCTCTGCATTGTGTTTTTACGGTATTCACTCTTTGTCTTTGGCACTTGAAGCAGTTGACTACTATTGGCTTCCCTCACTGTTGGTTCTTGACTGCCTTTCACATAATCTGCCAGTGTGTGTTTCTCTTCTTCTACCGTTTGTTTCACTTGCAGAAGCCCTCTCTCTGCCTCTTGATTTTCTGGGCAGGTCAAGTCTGTCGACATCACTACGTGGGTGTCAGGAATCATGGATAGTCATCCATTTTCTTGTTTTTCTGTCCAGATCATCCAGCTCTGCTTGTGTCCAGTTCATAATCCCAGCAGTGTATCAAATGACGGGGATGGCCCAGGTGTTGAGAACCTTGATCATATTTCCACCATTTAATTTGCTCTTCAAAACCTTTCTGAGTCTTTGGACATATTCTTTGCTGACCACATTTTTCACTTGCTTATGCTTGATATTGTCCAACTGTAGTATGCTCAGATATTATAGGCTTCAGGCTGGTTGCATTTTATGGTTTGCCCATTTGGCATCTCTATGCCCTCGCTGTGTGATTTTCCCTTTCTTTAATGCCTATTATTATTATTATTATTATTATTATTATTATTATTATTATTATGCTTTTCCTGCCAGGCAGAATGGAGTTGGACTGCATGACCTTTGGGGGGCCTTTCCAACTCAAGGATTCTATTCTTGATTGATTGTATTTCTTATTGTCAGAATGGGGTCAGACTGCATGACCTTTGGGGGACTACCCATCCGTGATTCTCTATTGCTCTCAATTGGGACCAATGGTTTGTTGGTTTGCCTGCATTTCCACAAAGTCGTTCGATAAAAAAAAAAAAACCCACAATGCTCGATGCCCCTTAAATAATGGAGAACCACCTCGGTTTGGGAGCGGAAAGCGGTGAATAATTCATTACAGGCTGCCGCTTTCCCTTTT